TCACCAGAGACAGAGTGGGGAGCAGAACAGGCAGAACTACTGAAATACACTGCTGAGGGGAGCAGCAAGTGAGACAGTAGAGGTCTGCTGCACCATGTGGATCAGCTCCCTAGTCAGGTATCAAACTCAGGCCACAGTGGCTGGCAATAGCTTGATAGTGCTGAGACTTTAACCCCTGAGCCACCAGGGAGGCCCAACATTGTATTCTTTTAACACAGCTATAATGTCATAAATGCAGTGCCTTAAATCCACTACATTTATAGTCCACTTCTCTTGCTTTGACATGCTGAACATACACTGATTATAAACAGCAGTAAGAAAGACACGACACTATTGAGTTAAATACAAGACACTATTGAGTTATAACTGCATCTCTGCAGTTTGTAATACAATTTACAGTATGAAGAGAAGCATTGTGAAGGGATGAGAGTGCCGTCTGTGGTCTGTAGCTACTAGTCATCTCTGCCATTGTAGAGTAAAAGAGTTCAGGGATACACAAGTAAGTGTGGTTGTGTTCCAGTAAACTTTACTTTTGGGCACTGAAATTTGAATTCCATCTAATTTTTATGTGTCACAAAGTATTGTGTTCTTCCCCCCAGCTATTTTTTTGGTGTGAAAATTATTCTTAATTCACATGTTACACAAAAATTGGCCTTGCACCCAATTTGTCCGTTGGACTAGAATATTTTTCTTTTATGATGTAAATATGATTGTGTGGGAAGATTATCTTCAAAGGAGTCAGGAAACCATGGTGTTCCTACTAAAGTTGTGTGACTGATTCAGTCATATAAAATATGGGGTTAGGGCCCAAAGTGTCTTTTTATATAATCATGTGGGTTTTTTGTGTACATATCCAATAATATTAATATATACATATCCATTAATATTAAATGTCACCATGACATTGTTGAAAAACAATCAGCTTGGGAAATTTTTGAAGGTTTTGATCTTTGAGAGAAGGGAAGGGCACAACATGGTCTCTACAGTCACTCTGGCTTTTTTCCTGGAGACACAGATTAATGGACCCCAAACAAAAAGAGACAGTCTTGCTGGACCAAAGAGGAGAAAGTAAAGTCTGGGGCTGCTAAAGTGGTTGAAATTTTAAGTCTAAGGGAACACACTCTCATCTCAACAAAGGATGCATTTGGAATATATAAAATTTCTGATGAATTAACAGAAAAAAAGACAATCCAGATTTAAAGAATATACAGACTTAAAGCGAACTTTGCAATTAAAAAGTAAAAATCAAAATCAACAAGCAACTATAAACCAGAGACACACTACAGGATGGGGGAGGAGGGAGTAGGATCAAAACAAGGGGGGTGGGAATTGTATGGAGACAGTAACCAAGATGAAAATGCATACATTGTGCAAAAATGAAAAATGATGTAAAAAATGTATAAAATAAAAAAATAGGGATAAAAAAATAATAGCTAAGTGGCCTATTGAGTGTATGAAAAAGTGCTGAACAAGAGCCAGAAAATGCAACTTAAAATCTCTTTTTTTTTTCCAGACCTCCCTGGTGGCGCAGCAGATTGAGCGCAGTGCTGTGAAGCTGTCCGCAGCCTCTACAGCGCGGGTTCGATTCCCAGCCGGCCAGGAAGATTCCCACATGGTGCCACAGACCTCTTCTGCAGCGCCCGCTGCTCCCTTCAGCAGTGTATTTCAGTCCTTCTGCCTGTTCTGCTCCCTTATGTGTCTGTGGTGAATTCTTTAACTTGCCCACACCTCTGGCCTGTACCCCAGTGCTTGTATAAATAAATAAATCTTTAAAAAAAAAAATCTTTTTTCCCCAAAGATTTATTTATTCATTCATACAAGAGCTGGGGTATAGGCCAGTGGTGTGGGGGCAGTGGGAGGGGTATGTGTGAGAAAGGACTCACCAGAGACAGAGCAGGGAGCAGAACAGGTACATCTACTAAAATACACTGCTGAGGGGAGCAGCGGGTGAGACAGGAAAGGTCTACTGTGCCATGTGGGTCAGCTCCCTGGCAGCCAGGGGAATTGAACTCATGCTGCAGTGGCTGGTGATAGCTTGATAGCACTGTTTTGAATCCTGCGCCACCAGGGAGGCCCATAACTTAAAATCTTAATGAGTACTACTATATACCCAACAAAATGACTAAAAAGAGTAATGATAGTGTTGGCATAGATGTAGAACAACATCATTAGTGGAATTGTAAATTGGTATGCCAATTTTGGGAAATTGGTGGTATTTACTTATTAAAATGAAGCCTTCCTTGTGACCCAGCAATTCTACTCCTATGTTATATTTAACCCCAAGGAAATATAAATGAATATTCATAGCATTGGTAATAATCCCAAGCTGGAAATGACCTAAATAGAATACATAAAAAGTTACGATTTATTCATATTACTTTAGTTGGCTGTCTAACACAGTAGCATGGATGAATCTCACGTGAAACAATGAACAAAAGAATATAATATACTGCTACTAAAAATTCAAAAATGTGATTATACTGAAAGATAAATGGTAACCATGGACATGCAGAACTGCTGGAATTAAAACCTGGGCTTTGTGATCTTATGCAAGATGGTTAATCTCTATCATTGTACAGTGAAGACAATAACTTCCCTTTCTTATTCGTGGGATATAAAAATACTTAAATGAGGTTATATGAAATTGCTTTGCACCTAGTAAATTATGCAGTTACAGTATCTTCATTATCCATTAAGACACTTGGATCTAGGCTCATATACCCAAATTCTGGAATCCCTCATGGGCGTTGTGATAGTGATCTAGTTTCCCTGTGTAACAGATTGTCCCAACTTCTCTTTTTAAGATGACTGGGAAATTTGTAGTGCTCTCGGAAAACTGGGACTACTAGGAGTGCCTTTAAGGAAAGACAACTGGTACTGCCCTGAGCCCAGTCCTCCCAGACGTTGAGCTAAATCATTACTAGGATTTGGTCACTTGACAGAGGCTCACGTTAGAAGTTTTGCCTTTTTTAATTGCATTTCATCAACTTTTAAAGATGTAATTGATTATGAAATACATTGTTTTATGTGCCACAAAGGAGCAGGGAGCAAACTACCAACTACAATTGTAAGAAATTACTGCTCACAAAGTGTGTCTGAGCTTCAGAGATACTAATGGGTAAAAGTGTTCATTTTAGAACCAAAGAAATGTAAGAGATTTTGCGTGGTATGTTTTTGGTAACATATAAATTGACTTATAAATTGAATAACTTTTTTGTTCTATAAAAATATTAGAGTACACATACTCAGGAGCACAGACTTAAACAGATGTACTATTTATGAAGACAAGAGCCAAAGTATTTTGCTTGTCTTGTTTATTTTGTCCCCCCTTAAACTAAAACAGATTGGTATTGGATGCATTGGTGGTAAACCTGTGCTTGTGACCATCATTTCCCACTTCCAAAACTAATGCCAGAATTAAAACTTATTCCTATTATAGGGATTTGAAGCTAAACCAATATTTTTTAGATACTTAGTGAAAGGCACAAAGTTAGGGGTGTGTCTCTCTTTTTTTTTTTATTCTTTTTCTTTTGGTCTGTATCCATGGGAAATAGGTAATTGACCTTTGAGGGCTAATGTAGAGCTGTGCTAAGTTCCCATAATGCAAGCAATTTGGATCATTGTTTTGAATTTTAGGGATAGTTTCAATAACTTATCATTTTTGAAAAATCTGAATAAGGCACATACCAACGTTATGTCTCTTCTTTGCTACTTTTATATATCTGTATTAATGGAACTTGGAATGGCTTTTGCATGTGGAGGTGTTTTTTTAAAGATATACTTATTTATGCATACAAGAACTGGAGTACAGACCAGAGGTATGGGAGGGTGAGAGGATTCACCAGAGACAGAGTGGGGAGCAGAACAGGCAGACTGACTGAAATACACTGCTCAGGAGAGCAGCGGGCGAGTCAGGGGAGGTCTTCTGCGCCATGTGGGGACAGCTCCTTGGCCAGGGATATAATTTGTGCTGCAATGACTGCAGATAGCTCCATGGTGCTGCAACTTAACCCTTTGCGCCACCAGGGAGGCCCCCCCATTCCCCCCCCCCCAAAATAAGCCTATCTCCTTGACCTGGCAAAGGAATCATAGCCTCTTTCAGCAAGAAATGTCTGGACTTAATTGTAAATGGAAGTTGTGCGGTTATATAGAAGTAGAGTCTGTATTTTCCTTTTTAAATGCCATTTCAGTCAAGATTAAATGTCAGCTAGCAGTAATTTAAAGATTAAAGAGAAAGGGCCAGTGGAAAAGGTAATAATGAGAGAAAATGATTACAAGTTTAGTTCAGTAGTGCAAATAGGAACTCCCCATGCATCATTCCTCCTCACTTCATCCCAGAAGTTATTGAGAAGCATATTAATTAAAGGATTTCATTGTTCATTCATATGAAAACTGCTTTGCTCCATCAAAATAGTTTTTGGCGTTTTTTAATACCCTTTAGTGAACATAGTGCAATAAAATTTATTAAATATCTGGCACCTTTTCCAATGTGTTTTGATCAGAAAATGGAGGAAGTAGTTGCTAAAATTGTTAGTACCACTCATAGTATTCTAAGAAAGTGTGTGAAGCAAGTCACCTACTGAAAACTACTTTTTGTCTAGTCTCCCTTTCTTCATAGACATTGGTTCTTCATGGTGGTTTGTCTATTATGTCCTCCTAAATGCAAGATTTTGCTGGGAGACTAGGCCAGAGACTCAGGGGTGCTGTTCTTCAAACTTTTTTGGTTCTCTTGAGCTGCTAAACCTCAGGTTGACTAGTGGAGAGCAAAGAAGAGGCCAGCATTTCCATGGCAAGAACCTTGAGCTGCATCATCAGGAACCAGCAATGATGGAGACAGAGAGAACCCAACCTTACTGTTAGCAGTAGGATACAGCAGCATCTATGGTTGTTTGCTGCCTATGTAACTTCTGATCTTCAAAATATGGACATAACTCTTTTTTAAGGATTATTATTTTATGAATGAATTTCAGAGAGCTGACTTTTATTCATTGTTTACTCAGTACGAGGATGTCGTCCAGGAAAGATTGTGCAGATGACTGAAGCAGAAGTTCGGGGCTTATGTATCAAGTCTCGGGAGATCTTCCTCAGCCAGCCTATTCTTTTAGAGTTGGAAGCACCGCTGAAAATTTGTGGTATGTAACTGGGTAAAATTGGATACAGTATTTCAAATCATGATGTAGAGAAAACAGTTTTGTATAAAAGAAAATTGATGGGTTTTATGTATAAAATTAAATAAAATTGAAACTTGGTAAAATGACAAGATGCAGATGAGGAAATATTTACTATATATACAGCAGGAAATATATATATTTACTATATATACAGCTATTCAAACCATATAAACAGGTCTTTAAAAAAAAAGACAATAAAATAGAAAAATAGCAAAAAGTAAAATAGAGGCAAATCTTAAATCACGGTGATAAGTGAAATGCAAATTAAACCTCAAACTATTCATGGGGAGGCATGTCAAAAATTGATAATCTGGTGTTGTTAAGATGTGGAAATTGGGCATTCTAATGCAATGATTAGGAAAAAACAAGTATACAATTTTGAGGGTGAATGTGGCAATACTTGTGTTCTTACAAATTTTTACTGGTCATTTTAATTTATTTTGATTATATAGCTTTGCAATTTGTATCTGTTCCTCTAAGTGTATTAGTTGTTTTTAACCAAAAGCAATAACTTTCACCTTAATTTGAGCAAGCACGTTGTTATAGCCAGAAAACTTGTTGCACAGAAAGCATTTCTCTCTAGTTCACATAACAACAGGAAGTGGTATAAATAATGCATCACTGATTGTTGGTTTTAAAGTACAGCTTTTTGTTATAGTGGTTATTAGTGTTTATGACATAGCTTTGATAGACTTAACCATCAGTTTTGCACATTTAAGTATTATTTGCTTTATGCAAAAGTGCTCATTCTCCTGCATGTTTCTTAGTGATCCACATTCACAGCATGTAACATGCAGGTGCATAATATGTTCTTTCAACACTTTTTTTCCTTCATGTGCTTTGTGCTCCTTTGTATAGTATCTAGCAAAAACGATACATTAGTAAAGTAAATATTAAATAATTAGCTTGGCGTATCACCTTTAAGAGGTTGCAGTTTGGAATTTTGTAGAAATGATCTATAATATGATTTCAATGAAACATATATTAAGATTAAAATTATTTTAATTCTTTGCAAGGTACGTGTTAAAATTCATTAATATAGAAATAATTTGAAGGTAATAGAAGTTATTTGTATTAAATACTTATAAATCATTGCTATTTGGTGTAACAAAGTGACCTAAGTTAAAATACCAGATAATAAGCATAACTGTACTTGTTATCCATTGTTGTATAACAAATTACCCCAAACTTTGCATCTTAAAAACATTAATGTACCATCTCAGTTTCTGTGGGTTCGAAATTTGGACACAGCTTAGCTGGATCCTGCGGTTCTGGGTCTCTCATGAGGCTGCAGTCAGGATGTCATCTGGGGCTGCAGTCATCTCAAGGTTTAGCGGCAAGGATTCAGTTCCTTACGTGTCAGTGATCTGAGGCCTCAGTTCCTAGCAAGCTATTGGCCAGAGGCCTCCTTTGCCATGTGTATTACTTCATATGGCATCTGGCTTCATTATTAAGCAAGTGAGAGGGCAAGCAAGATGAAAGTCACAATCTTTTATAATTAATCTCAGAAATGACAGCACATCTCACTTTTGTTCTATTTGTTAGAAGCAAGTTATTAACTATAGCTCACACGAAGAAGATTACATAAGCATATAAACATTGCAGTCATTTCGTAGAAACTTAACCACATTAACCAAATTTTCTAAAACTGACTTTTTCTACTTCTAGGAGATATTCATGGACAGTATACAGATTTACTGCGATTATTTGAATATGGAGGTTTCCCACCAGAAGCCAACTATCTTTTCTTAGGAGATTATGTGGACAGAGGAAAGCAATCTTTGGAAACCATTTGTTTGCTATTGGCTTATAAAATCAAATATCCAGAGAACTTCTTTCTCTTAAGAGGAAACCATGAGTGTGCTAGCATTAATCGCATTTATGGATTCTATGATGAATGTAAGTAAAAATAAAAAACACTTTTAATGATGGAAAGATTGCATAATTTTTCCATTCTGAGTTCCTTTGATTCAGATTTTTTTTCCAAATATGACCTAATAAGCGTAGGCCTTTAATGGAAGAGAAACCTGAAACTAGGAAACATGTTACCACTTGTACTGGTTTGGGGAATTCTGGTCTTGTTTCAGGTTAACTGTAGCTTATTCAGCTGAAAGACCCTCTTATAATCAGTTTACCTAATAAAAACATATAGGCAAAACAACTCATTTATATAAACAGTAGCTTCTGGCTTTCTAATATACATTAAGGTTTTAGCATTCTTGTGCTGTAAAATAGGAACTCTTACTGGCCCTGTGTCACAAAAAATACTGAAAAGTTCTGTGCAGTTATTTAAAAGTTAATTATTAGGGTTTTAGTCTATGTTCTAAGTATCACTACTTACCACACTACATTTTAATTTCGTCTGTTACTTTTGTTAGAGTATAAGAATGAATTATGTTTGGGAGCCTCCCCTGGTGGCACAGCGGTTGAGAGCTGGGCTGCGAGGCTGCCCGCAGCCTCTGCAGCGCCAGTTTGTTCCCCGGCCGCCAGCAAGGGTCCCACCAAAAAAAAAAAAAAAAAGAATGAATTATGTTTGGTTATTTGCAGTTAAAATCAATTTCACTGATTTTCTGATTGAATTTTTAAGTGCTGAATTCTGCATTTATTATCTGTTTTTGCTTTTTTTCCATCCTTAAATATGGTAGCGCCCTGTTCAGACTCATACATCCTTGATTTTGTATAGTCATTTATTTGACAAATATGACAAATAGTCATTTATTTGACAATATTTGAGAACTGGTATGTGCTGGTCACTATCCTAAACTCTGGGAATGCAGCAGCACATAAGAGGGAGAATCTCTGTTCTTATGGAGCTTATGTTGTAATTGGGATGATTTTATATTGCATTTTACATTGCATCTTTGTTTCTGACTTGTTTAAATCAGACCAGAAGACAGTTGTATGTAGAACTATAGTGTCCTGTTACTAAATCTGAAATAGAGGTATATGATTTTTTTTATCCTTAATAAAGTTATTTTATTAAACTTCTCTATTTAGCACAAAGAAAACATTATTTCATTAATGGTTCCAAAATTTCTTTAATGATATTTTGACAGTAATTTCAAATGGAGTCACATTCATATGCATACATAGATATGATTATTAAAACACACACACAATTATTACTAGTTGAATCTATATCTGAGGTAGCAAGGAAAGAAAAGGAACTGCCTTCGTCTGGGTTCTTCAGCCAAGAGATATATTCTTAAGGGGTAAATATGGACTTGAATATCTTTGAGGATGGAAATGACATAGAATGAAATAATATATAGGAGGGCAGCTTGTACACATTAAGAGGCAGGTTATATCAAAAGCATAGGAAATTAGTGCTTGTACCTTTGATCCCTTCCCCGGGTTAATTCTGGCAACTTTTTGCCAAATTCAGGAAACTTGACTAAAAAGTTAAACATAATTTGAGACTGTATGTTGTAACCCTTCATGCTGGGCCACAAGAAAATTAGAGCTTTTGTGTTTCTATTTATACTTGCTGTAGAGCCAAGTTGTAATTCACTCAAGTGATTACCAGTTAAGCACTTGAAAAATCTCCTTTCTTGGCAGTAAGTTTATGCTGTTACTCAACATGTCAGAGTTCAGAGGCACTTTTTTCATTTCTGCTTCTTTAGCTAGCTGTTAGGTTATTTCAGAGTTGCTATGTTATAGTGGTCTTAAAAGACAAACTTGTTTGATGTACTTGTTTCATAAAACACCTAGCACAACTTTGAAGTCTTTGTAATAACTTTACTGAAGTTACTGAATGTTGTTTATATTCATTATTTTTTTTAATATACAAGTAACATTACAGAAAAAAGAAGTGCTAGGTAAACGTAAAAAAGAAATCATTTCTAGTGCTGTGACTTTGAGATAACTAATGAGAACAGGTTTAGATTTATTCTGTTTGTTTCTTGTCCTTTATAGGCAAACGAAGATTTAATATTAAATTGTGGAAGACCTTTACTGATTGTTTTAACTGTCTGCCTATAGCTGCCATTGTGGATGAGAAGATCTTCTGTTGTCATGGAGGTAGATTAGTAAATTTGCCTCATGAGTTTTTCTTATTCTTCCATTATTTAGAAAAGACAAATTAAGATGATATGGGAAAGCAAAATGGTGTTTGTGTGAAAACCCAAATGTTTAAAGCTTTTAAACATGAATGAATTCTCAAATTTATTACGTATAATGAAAAATGAAAATTTAGTACTTGTTTTTGAAGAATTTCACATGAGGGGCATAACCAGAGTTTTGTTCAAGAAAAATGGCTTTCCTTTGCCTCAGTTTTAACAGAAATAGATACCTACTTTAGTAAAAATGAGAGAATCGTTATTATTGTTCCAGGTATAATTTAGTTTAATATTCTCACATGCCAAGAATTTAGACTTTATTTAATTAATATGCCTCCTTTCATCCTAAAATTGAGTTTGGTAGATTGATAAGTTATTATTGTGAAATAGTCGACTATGTAAAAAGCTCATTTGAAAGACTTACTTAACATGTGTCTAGCGTTAGCCATGAAAATATGTAGATTCTATATGATTTGTCTGTCTTGAGGAATTTTAAAACCTGGCCCAAATGAAATGTCAGGTACATACTGGAGAATGATGGGATTGGATTCTAGAAACTTGACTGCTGCACACAGAGGTTTGTTGAATGGTTTAATAACCATAATGGGAAAGTGTGACCCTGTTCCCCTAAATCATACACAGTATTGTAAGCCAGTGTTACTTCAATTAAATAAATATATGCAACCATATTGGGGTTTTGTACAAGGAAGTAACTTAATGAAAATACTATAAGGAAAAGTTTTCATCAATATGCAGGAAGAATTTAGGGAAAATGCTAGAAAGATATATGCACTTGTCTGAACTGAGGTAATAAATGGCTTATTACTTGATGGAATATAATTCACTATTAATTGAAACAGCTTGTAGTAGATACTAAACATATATATATATAAGAAATTGTAGTTTTGCACATTAGTATAGCTAAGAATAGCAATGTAGTGATATAAAATTTGAATATTTAGCTTCATTCTTTATGATGATATTTGGATTATCTACCAAGATTACAAAGTATTTTCATATTCTGTTTTTTGCTTTATATTATTCCTGATCAACAGTTCTGCTTTCATAAAGACAGTGTGTTGGAGTGAGATGTAGAGAGAAGTATATTAACTTGGAAGTAAAAATGTTTAAAATTAGTTGATAAAAAGTGGCAAAAGCAGTAGTAAGGATTGGAATTATGTTCCTTTGAAAGGCAGGAAATAGTTGGAAAGAGCAGTAGGACTTCTTTCCTTGAAAATATTTTTGAAATTAAAGGGTATTTAATTCCCGTGGTGGGAAAAAGTGGAGGTGACCGAGTCATAATTTTCTTTTACGGCAGAGTGGGGTTTTATTTAGCAATTCAATATATGTTAAAGATAACATTAAAGGGAACACTTTTAATTTTTTAAAAGATTTATATATGTATACAAGAACTGGGATGTAGGCCAGAGGTGCTTGGGGGGTTGGATGAGAGGATTAACCAAAGAGTGGGGAACAGAACAAGCAGATCTATTAAAATATGCTGCTAAGGGGAGCAGTGGGTGAAACAGGGGAGGTCTCCTTCTGCCATGTGGGTTAGCTCCCTGGCTGGCTGGGGATCGAACTCATGCTGCAGTGGCTGGAGATAGCTTGATAGCACTGTATCTTTAAGCCCTGTGCCACCAGGGAGGCCCAGGGAACACTTTCACATAGGGGTTAAAGAGATTTTGTTTTTAAAAATATATATTATTTATTTATTTATTTATTTATACAAGCACTGGGTACAGTCAGAAGCGCGGGAGGGTGAGAGAATTCACCAGAGCCAGAGCGGGGAGCAGAGCAGGCAGAAGGACCGAAGTACACTGCTGAGGGGAGCAGCGGGCAGCAGGAGAGGTCTGCACACCATGTGGGACCCTCCTCCGGTGGCCGGGGAGCAGCCAGGAATCGAACCAACGCTGCAGAGGCTGCGGGCAGCCTCGCAACCCAGCGCTCAACCGCTGCGCTACCGGGGAGCACTACTTTTAATGCTTTCTTATTTATTTGAGTGACAGAAAATTTTTCAGATCTCAGTACCACACTCTTTTTATTTATAGGACTGTCACCAGACCTGCAGTCTATGGAGCAGATTCGGAGAATTATGAGACCCACTGATGTTCCTGATACAGGTTAAGTATATAGAGAAGTTTATTGCTTTATGTAAAATGTTGGGAAATTTGAGCTTTAGCTATGGTGGAAGTAGGATTTGTTGATATAAAAATAGTAGAGGGTTTTTTTTGATAGTCTGCAAGCTAACTGCAAATGATTTACAGTAATGTAAAATGTTTTACTTGGCACTAATTATTCACCAAAACTCAGAACTCTAAAATTTTGTATCTAATCATAATAATTGTTCTTTTTAGTTTGATTTATTTATACAAGAACTGGGGTGTAAGCCAGAGGTACAGGGGGTGAGAGGTTTCACCAGAGAGAGTGGGGAGCAGAACAGGCAGACTGACTAAAATACACTGCTGAGCGGAGCAGCGGGTGAGCCATGAGAGGTCTGCTGTGCTATGTGGGTTGCTCCCTGGCTGGCCGGGAATTGAACTCCTGCTGTAGTGCCTGGCAGTACTTGATAGCGCTGTCTTTAATGCCTGTGCCACCAGGGAGGCCCCAATAATTGATTGTTCTGTCAAACTTACTTGTCACAGAAGATGTTCATTGATTCCCCTTACCTTTCCTATCTTTCTAAATGCCCTTATTCATAACAACATTGCGTATGTCCTTCAAAGACTTGTTAAAAATTCATGAAGCGGGCAATCTTGTGTCAAGACTGCCCCCCTATAGCTATGCATGTACCCCTTTTTCTTTTTCTTAATAAACCTTCCCTTTTAAAATGGGAAAAAAAAGAATTAGCTCAAGCGTTTTGTCATTGAAATCTTGGACAAGGATATAGTTATCTTCCTTTAAATTATCTGGTAGTTATCTGTTACTTTCTTCATCATCGGTACTTAAGGTTTTGAAGAGCTGTTTAAGCTCTAGAGATGTCAGTTTTATACCATTTTATGTGGAAAAAATCGACTACTCACACTTTCACTGTAATCCTTAGATAAGTCAGAACAAAGCAAGTTCCAATTGAAGATAATACACTGTTTATTACTAATGAACCTAATGTGATTTTATAGATAAATGCAAGCACATTTATCACTATATTTTATTCATTTTATTCATAGAGTACTAGTATATATAGCAAAGGATGTACTAATGATGACAGTCATATAATAATGCTGTGAAATCCTATGAATTGAATGCAGTCCAGCTCTGTTTCCCCAGTTCAGCTTTTAGACAACTGATTCTAAAGTTTATATAGGAGAAGGATTGAAAATGAAAAATCTAGTGTATTATTGGCTCGGGGATAAATGACAAACTAATGGAATAGACTACAGTGGCCAGAAACAGACATTGAGATGACTCTGTGAGGAAAGAATGAACTATTGAGGGAATGCTGCTGAATCAGTTGGTTATCCAAGTGGAGAACCTGTATTCAAAAGCCGAATAGCCCTTTCCAAATACTGTGTGCTCGGTGTACCACACATATTTCCTATAATGGGAAAGTACTGTCTTAGGAAGCCTGACGAGATTGTATGGTCACTTGCACAAAGAGTAGCTAAGTTCTGTGGATTGGGATGCTAGGGAGCCAAGCGATTGTAGTGTTTCATTAAAGGGTAAGAGGGCAGGAGACAAATTGAAAGTGATATAGATATACTTTATTTTTAAAACTTTGTTTTTTTCATTGCTTTGGTCTTTTTTTCCTTCAAAGGTTTGCTGTGTGATTTGCTGTGGTCTGACCCAGATAAGGATGTACAGGGCTGGGGAGAAAATGATCGTGGTGTTTCCTTCACCTTTGGAGCTGATGTAGTCAGTAAATTTCTGAATCGTCATGATTTAGACTTGATTTGTCGAGCTCACCAGGTATGAAATATAAAAACTCTTGGGTATTTTACGGTATTTTAACTTAGCATAAGTGCATTCCTTGTTTATGAGGAAGCAAGAAAGGTAATTATATAAGGATAGCAGAAGGAGAGATAAATGAAGCCTTTGAGCTCATAATTAACAATCTAATGACTTGTTAGCCTTTTCTCACCTCTAAGGGGAAATGTTTCAGAATATATATTTGTAGTACACTGCAATGCTAACAATATTTTCAGTATTTGAAACTTTCTGGAAATATTTTATCTGTTTTAATAGGATGTTTCTAAGTGATAACATAAATTCTGCGGCTATTGATAAAAACAAATGACATTGTAAGAAGACACATTTTTGAGTTGGGGGAATTTGATTATAGACTAGGTATTAGATATCAAGAAGTCATTGTTAATTGTTTCAGCTGTTTCAACAATGATATTGTTAATATAAGAAGAATGTCCATATTTTTCAGAAATGCACCCAGGTATGTAGAGGTAAGATCATATGTCTAGGATTTACTTTAAAATATACCAACAGAGAAACGGGTGGGAGGCTCAAACAAAACAAACATAACGAACTCTGGTAATCACTGATTTTTATCATAAGAGTACGTTCACAGTATAAGGATTTTCTTTTTATATATCTTCTGCCATTAACTCAATTGTACACCCTTTAAGGGGGGAGGGGAGACTGTGACTTGTTGACTTTAGAATATCTTCTGCCTTCTAGAACTAGCATGTATTTTTTCTATGTTGAATAAATGAATGAACAGAAGCTTGTTTTAATGATTTAATATATCATGTTCTCTAAAACATACCTGGTATAAAAGACATTGTATATTTTAAGATTCATGGCTTTTTTTGGTCTGTTAAAGCAAAATTTATTACACGTAGTATATGCTTTCCCATAATATTTCCCTTTTCTCTGGGGTTTCACTCCCCACGATAGTTAACTACGTCTACTTCTTTATGTGATTTTATGTTGACTGGTCTCATTTTCTGCCTGTTCATCAGGCAGAATTTTCTAATTTAGTTAAAATGAAGTCATGTTCCCAGATCCCTTGCTTTTGGCAAAGTTTTCTTTTAATCAGTAAACATTGTCTTTATGATTTTGATAATTAGAGTATTTTTTCCATAGATAACAAGTAGAGTTGCTAGGTTTCCTAATAAAATACTGATAATTAATTTTTTCAGCTGTAGTTCCATTCACTGGTCTTTGCAAAATAGATGATTTTTTGAAAGGTTACTAAGATAACTCCTCCAAAACTCTATTCTATTTATTTTCTGACATGATATCTCTAAAATCATGAGCCTTAGTGATGAGAAGCAACACAAAACTATACTTCCTTTAAAAATTAAACTGTTTTTAGTAATAAAGGTGTAAATGAATGAACAAGTGAATAAACAAAAAGTCCTAAGTACTGAATCCAATCACTTTGCCTAATTTGAATAGATAGGGTGAACACTTTAACAGAAAAATTTAATATCAAAAATCTACATGAGATAATTATAACAGTAGCATGTACCTGGTTCTCAAGTAGGAATTACCAAAAACAGGTGAATGATTAGGAAAGTGCTTATATTAGGAAGTATTATAGGATAGTTTTGCTTAATCAGAGGATGCCTAGTCAAAGAATAGCTCCCTTACTATAAGTAAATAAATAAAATATTTACATGTCATTGCCTACCTCCAATTTGTATCATTAAAGAGCAAATTGAATCACGAAATGACAACGTATTCTAGAAATCATAATCATTAAGGAATAGAATTATACATATAAAAATTAAATCTGCATGTAGTTTTTTTTAGGATCTATGTAAATGAAGTGCAACTAAAGAAGTTTTCAATGTGTACTTGCGTAAAACTAATAGAAAATTAGAAAATAAAATTTGCCACACTGTCTCATATTGGTCTGGTATTATTCACTGAATTAAAGATTTTGTAATCTCCCTATAGATACTATACCTATTTGCATATTTTGATTCAGTCTCAAGAAGAGATTTGGAAATGGTTTTTAATGATTTTTAAATGATTTTTAAACTTTTTAGTAGTAATTTATCTAATTTATGCTAAATCCTTGCCATTATAGAAAAGGCACACTGATTTTAATATTCTAAGCAAGCAAAGTTTGAAATAAAATTTGAACAATTCAGTTTTAATAAAAATAAAAAATGAACAAGTGATGTAAAATATATATAAGTAAATTTAAAGAAAAGAATAAAAACCAAGCTAACAAACCAGCCTTTTTTTTTTTTTTGAGATTTTTGTCATATTAAATTAGTATAGATGATTAAAAATTACATATAAGGAATTGTTTTTTCTTTTGACATTTCCTTTAACAGGTGGTGGAAGATGGATATGAATTTTTTGCTAAACGACAATTGGTAACCCTATTTTCAGCCCCAAATTACTGTGGCGAGTTTGATAATGCTGGTGGAATGATGAGTGTGGATGAGACTTTGATGTGTTCATTTCAGGTATGATAAATAGAAAGTTACAACTGGAAGTCCAGCCAGAACTATTGCCAGAATTTTTATTTCAGATTCTATTCTTTCTTTGAGCAATTGTAGATTTATTCAGAAGTGATTATACTCATAGACTCCTAGAGAATTCACTTTTCATTCACAAAGGTTTTAGCCTTTTTGGAATATATCAAATACTGGGTTTTTCTGGCACTTAAGTCATGTTGGTCATTCTTTGATGCAGATGTATAAATAATTAAATCTCTGTATGACTCCTTGGATAGTGTCACCTACTAAAAGGATGAATTTGATGAACAATTTAGCTTTTTTTCCCCTTTCACACAATGAATGCATAGCACAGATGTTGAGAAAAAAGTTATAAATTCAGAGGAAAAGAGTATTTATATAAGAAAAAACTTCAAATAAATGTAAAGTACCCTGGCCTCCCCTGGTGGTGCAGTTGGTTGAGCGCAGCGCTGTGAAGCTGTCTGCAGCCTCTGCAGCGCGGGTTCAATCCTGGCTGGCCGGCAAGAATCCCACATTACGCGGCAGACCTCTCCTGTCTTGCCCGCTGCTTCCCTCAGCAGTGTATTTCGTCAGTCTGCCTGTTCTGTTCCCCACTCTGTCTCTGGTGAATCCTCTCACCTTCTTGTGCATCTGACCTGTACCCTGGTTCTTGTATGCATGAATAAATAAATCTTTAATAAATAAATAAATGTAAAGTGCCCATTTGTATATACAGAAACACATTTTTCTTTTAAAGATATATTTTTATTTATTTATTTATTTTATTTATGCAAGCACTGGGTACAGTCAGAAGCGTGGGAGGGTGAGAGAATTCACCAGAGCCAGAGCGGGGAGCAGAGCAGGCAGAAGGACTGAAGTACACTGCTGAGGGGAGCAGCAGGCCACAGGAGGGGTCTGCATGTCATGTGGGACCCTCCTCCAGTGGCCGGGGAGCAGCTGGGGATCGAACCGGCGCTGCAGAGGCTGCGGGCAGCTTCGCAACCCAACGCTCAACTGCTGCGCCACCAGGGAGGCCCAGAAACACATTTTTCAAGGAGACCAACTTTAGCTTTTAGTGTGCTGCCTACAAATCATTCTGTTCATAGAATAAACAACTTCAACGCTTTGTTTTTGCAAAGATTATTTAGATCCCTAAAATACACACACTTTTTAATTCCCATTCCTCATTCCTTTTATTGTATTATACTGTTTATATCTAGTGCAATTCAGTGGTAAATAATTGACTTATTTCTAATTTAAGGCTAGTAACAAGATCTTACCATTCATCATTTGATGATGGTGAAGTTGGGTTAATCTTTTTTCATTAAGGTACTCTATGGTCTTCTGAATAGTTCTAAGAAATGTTTCATAAATCCTTTAAAGCATTTTTTGCCTAAATTTTGAGATTTTTCTTTTGTGTAAATCTTTAATATTTTAATGAGTTTAAGTTAGAGCTCTCTCTGCATCCATCAGTAAATATCATTAAAAACTATAAGGTAACAAGCATTGATGTAGATGTGAGGATATTATAACCTAAATACACAGATGAGGCGAATGTAAAACAGTGCAGCTGCTTTGGAAAACAATTTCCAAAAACCTTCCTCAAAAGTTAAAACATAACAGCTTCTGTATAACAGCAATTCCACATAACAGCAATTCCACTCCTGGGTATTTACCCTAAAGATTTGAAAGCAGGTACTCAAATATATGTATATGTATATTTATAGCAACATTATTCATACTAGCCAAAAAGGTGGCAACAACGCAAATGAACATTTGAAGTACTGATGCATGCCAAACATGCATGAATATCAAAAACGTCTCAGTGAAAGAAGCCAGCTACTGAAACCACATGATGTGTGGCTTAATTGATGTGAAATAACCAGAATAGGCAGGTCAATAGAGAAAAAGTAAATTAGTGATTGCTGGGAGTTGAAGGGGCTTAGGAAGTAGAAAGCAGAAATGAGTAATGATAGTTCATGGAACTAAAGCTTCATTTTGGAATACCAAAAACCTAAAAACATTTATAGTATTGGTTGTACAGCTGTTAACATGCTGAAATTCACCAGCTTTTACACTTTAAATGTCATATGTAGAATATATCAGTAAATTTTTTTTTAAGATCTACTTAACACATAAAGTCTGAAAAATTTGTGTCTTGGATACTCTGCTAAGTAAATATGGAGAGAACTATGAGAACCTACTGAATAGTTCTTTTGACTTATTAGTGTTCTTTCCTCACCAGAGATACATTAATTTGAAAAAAAGAAAATGGTTTAAATCAGGGATTAGGGAGTTGACAAGATTCACAATGTACTAAACCTTTTGTTACTAAATTATCAGTGAAATGATACATAATAGCAATATTCAGGCATTCTGACATTTAGTTATTCAGTGTGAGAAATGCTTTACAGAACTAGTTTGTCATTTATTAAAAAACCCACTATTGTAACAATTTTCTCAAGTTTACTGCACCTGAAAGAATAACATTTTTGTTAATCAATTATTTACTTTTTAAGATATTGAAACCATCTGAAAAGAAAGCTAAATACCAGTATGGTGGACTGAATTCAGGACGTCCTGTCACTCCACCTCGAACAGCTAATCCACCGAAGAAAAGGTGAAGAAAGGAATTCTAAAGAATCCATCAGATTTGTTAAGGACATACTTCATAATATATAAGTGTGCACTGTAAAACCATCCAGCCATTTGATACCCTTTATGATGTCACACCTTTAACTTAAGGAGACGGGTAAAGGATCTTAAATTTTTTTCTAATAGAAAGATGTGCTACACTGTATTGTAATAAGTATACTCTGTTATAATATTCAGCAAAGTTAAATCCAAATTCAAAAATTAACCATTAAAGTTACATCTTCACGTTTCACAGTTTTTAAAGTTGAAAAGCATCCCAGTTAAATTAGATGTGATAGTTAAACCAGATGAAAGCATGATGATCCATCTGTGTAATGTGGTTTAGTGTTGCTAGGTTGTTTATTTTTTGGCTTTTTTGTTTGTTTTTGCTAGAATAATGGCAAATATTTTAATTTTTTTTCCCTAAACATTTTAAAAAATGAAATGTGGGAAGAAGAGCTTTAAAGACATTAACTGTTTCCCCTTGTTTATTCACCTATGTACCTGTTTGATCTTACTAAGAAAACTTTTGCCCTGATTCTAGTAAAAAGGAATTTTAGAGATTGGTATTTTTAAAAAATATGCAAACTGTTCAATCCAGTGATTTAATCAAACAGTCTGGGCAAACTTTACAGCTGATAGTGAATATTTTGCTTTATACAGAAATTGCCACTGATTTGGATTTGTGCACTCTAATTTTTAACTTATTGATGATCTATTGTGCAGTAGCATTTCATTTAACTTTAAGATAAGGCTCATATAGTATTACCCAACTAGTTGGTAATGTGATTATGTGGTACCTGGCTTTAGGTTTTAATTCGCACGAAACACCTTTTAGCATGCTTAAACTTTCTGGTAACACTCACCTGCATTGGTTTTGTTTTTGGGTTTTTTGTTGTTGTTATTTGTTTTTAGATCCACAGAACATGAGAATCCTTTTTTGACAAGCCTTGGAAAGCTGACACTCTTTTCCTCCCTCTATACGAAGGATGTATTTAAATGAATGCTGGTCAGTGGGACATTTTGTCAACTCTTGGGTGCTTAACTGTCTAAAATTGCCATGTGACTGTTGTATACGATTGTAAGGCTTATGTCACTAAAGATTTTTATTCTGATTTTTCATGATTAAAATTCATATGATATTGTATAGACATGCTTTGTAGTGAATTGTAGTAGCAATAATTTCTGTACATGATCAAGGGTTTATTGCAGCTTTTCTTTCCTGTTCTCTTTTTTTAAAGGTTAGTATTAACAAATGACAAGGAGTGGAAAGAAAGGATTTTAGAAAGAGAACTTACAAAACACAGATTTGTGATTCTTTGGATGTGACACTTTTGGATGTGATTCTAAAAGCTTTTATTGAGCATTGTCAAATTTGTAAGCTTCATAGGGATGGACATCATATTTATAATGCCCTTCTATATGTGCTACCATAGACGTGAAATTCCTCACCTTAATATTGTCTTTGAAAATGTTAAATTGAGAATTCTGTTAACTTACATTTTATGAATTGGCATATTGCATTATTGCAAGATTTTCAGCCCAGTGCAAAGTTCTTTCAAATGCATTTGTCTTTTTTTTTTTTTTTTCTAATTCCATTTTGTTTTAAAGCACATTTTAAATGTAGTTTCTCATTTAGTAAAAGTTGTCTAATTGATATGAAGCCTGACTGGTTGTTTTATTCTTTTTTCCCCTTTACTGTGAGACATTTAAACACATTTTAATCAAATAGATACGTCTTTGACATACATTGAGTTGATTCTTTCCTGAAGGTGTGTACTTGTACTGGACATAGTAGATTAGGTCACATAGACTTTTATCTAAAGTGATTTAAATATTTCCTAGTTAAATTGTAAGTTGAGCAATTCTGAATCTATTCTTCGTCACAGTGAAGCAAGTTTAGAAAAAAGTCTGGCAGTAGACAGGGCAGCCTTTGATTAATCACACTATTATTTAAAGCACATTAATTTAGCCTTCCTGGTGGCGCAAGGGATTAAGTCGCAGCACTATGAAGCTATCTGCAGCCACTGCAGCACAAATTCCATCCCTGGCCAGGGAGCTAACCCACATGGTGCAGCTAACTCACATGGTGAGATAGACCTCTCCTGTCTCATCCACTGCTCCCCTCAGCAGTGGATTTCAGTCAGTCTGCCTGTTCTGCTCCCCACTCTGTCTCTGGTGAATCCCCTCACCCCTCTGCACCTCTGGCCTATACCCCAGCTGTTGTGTGCATAAATAAATATTTTTTAAAAATACATATAAGTGTATTCTATTGAGCCATGGAACTGAACTGTGTCTGCATATAAGTTCAGATACATGCTTTTATTTTCCTTGACAGTAACATTTGAACCATAAGAACAGTTTACTTCACATCTTTATGCTAAAAATGTAAGAAGTTAATGGTCAGGGTCCTCCCTGGTGGCGCAAGGAGTTAAGATGCAAGCTATGAAGCTATCTGCAGCCTCTGCAGCACAAGTTCAATCCCTGGCCAGCCAGGGAGCTATCCACATGGCACAGCAGACCTCTCTTGGCTCACCCGCTGCTTCCCTCAGCAGTGTATTTCAGTCAGTCTGCCTATTCTGTTCCCCACTCTGTCTCTGGTGAATCCTCTCACCCCCCACACCTCGGGCCGGTACCCCAGTTCTTGTATGTGCAAATAAATGAATCTTTAAAAGAAAAAAAGTTAATGGTCAGGCTTACTCTGCTGTCGAACTCTAAACTTAATCCACCTCCTTTTCCCTGTGAACCTATCCTTGAATCAAAGCTTTGTCTGAGAAAATATGTAATATCCTGAATGTACTTGAGGTATCTATGGAGAAATGTCATCTCTCTTTTTGCTAGTAGATTTCAATGTTACATAATTTCCTAAAATAGCTTAAAAGTGTTCAAAAGACCTTTACGTGATAGCATACCTCGCACAATGAACAATATTTAAGTAAAACAAACTGGGTCCATATAATTATCCACCCAGTTATCTTTAATATCTTGTAATGTTTCTTCAACAAAACAGGAATTTCTTGGTAATTTGATCTGCTGTTAAAGTTGGGATTTTATCTCTCATTTGAATGTCAGAATTCCTAAACAAATCCCCTGATTAGAAAATTGAAGAAGTCAGAAACCTTTGTTTCACCAACCACCTTCTACATTGGCTAATTTAAACCATAAAGTTCTGTAATTTCTTAGTGTAATTTACTGCCTTTTCTCATTCAGATTGCCAGTGTTTTGTGAAATGTTGTAGTTACAAAAAAGGGCCATCAGTCTTTCCTTTTCCCCTAGAGGTCTTTACCAGCTAATGTGGTTATAAAATCTTGAAATCTGGTCACCCACATTGTTTTGGGTATCTATCCGGTAGAAGAGCACAAATGAGTGAGTTGGAGAGGACCCGGACTACCTGAGGCTATTAGATTTTAGCATTTCTTCCATACTAAAAGCCACTCAGGGATCACCAAGTAAGATGGGTGTTGATTTTTGCAGCTGCCTAATCTGAGTAATTCAGTAGTTGTACACTCCAAAATTCTGACCATTAACTTCTTAAAACACATTTTAGCATAAGAACCAGAGAAAGTTTCCAAGGTGTTTCTAAGGAAAAGTGAGTTCCCAGACTGCACCCTAATTTGTAAAATGATTTTGCCATCTTTCTGTGTGAGTCCAAGAAAGAAAGGAACTAATGCATAGTTTGATCAGAGTTGCTGACCTAGGAAGTAATTGCAGGAAGAACCACAAATGAGCAAGGCCAAGTTGCTTTTTAAATGTAACAATTATAGCAGCAAAAAAATCTGGAAAGAACCCAAATACCAAAACGATCTAAATTTGGACCATCAATTGGAATATTATGCAGTTATTAAAATATTTCGATTTACAACATGGGAGAAGGGCATGATGCCAACGGGATAAAATGTTGTACGTTTCGTATACGGGAAATGAAGAGGAAAGGAGATCATGTGATAAAAGTTTAAAACCTGAAGAATTGTTATTAATTTACTAAATATTTATTAAGCATTTTACTACATGCCAGACACGTGTTGAAAGGCTATATATACTAGGTTGAAGCCCCCAAAAAGTTTCCTCTAGAAGAATTTGTAGCTGGAACAGTAGATTGAATAATACAAAGCGCCACGTTATTGACACTTTCATAGTGTAAATAATCTCCATAATATTACTTTGACATCGCAGTAATTGCAGAGTTCACCTCTGATTCCTACGGAAGCAGGACTAAGACTCTTAACTGGGACAGTCCGTCCCCTGCGTCCTGCAGTGAGTGTGGCTAGTGCAAAGCTGGGGCTGTGAGTTGAGGCGTGAAAGCCCGAAGGTCCAGCCTACGGGACCTCAACTTCTGCTCGAAGGGAAGATAAATGGTTCTAGTAAAAGCCTGACTTTGGTGAGTATCCAAGCGAGAGTGTTGAATCAGGAGGCAAACAAATCTGGGAGCGTGGAGGGGTTTTGCCGCGGGAGGGGAGAGCGAGGCCCCGCGAATCCCGGCGGGCGCCGTCCCGGGGGCGGGGCGCGCTCAGGCTCCGCCCCCAGAGCCCGCCTCTTCGCCCTGATTGGCCGGCGGCGCGTCCCGTTTGGCGGGAGGTCTCCGAGCGGGTCGTGCTGCGGTCGAGCGCCCGGCGAGCAACGGTCCGAGGCCGCGACGCGGTGTGGAGAGGCCGCCTGCCCGCGGGCTCCCCTCGCCAGCCCCAGGCTTTCGCAGGTACCTTCCGCTCGCGCCGCGCCCTCGGGCCTTGCGGACCACCCGCGTTTCCGTTGCGTCCCTCCGTCTCCTCACCCCGCCGCCCGCGGTGTGAGGGGGGCGGCGGCCTCGGCTTCTTCCCCACACGCGCCGGGTGAGGTCCTCGCCGCCCGCCGCCCGCCCCTTCGCCCGGCGGCGGAGACAGGATGGGCGGGCGGCGTCGAGGCCGGACCCCGCGGGCGGCTGGAGGCCGGGAGCCTGAGGAGAGAGCGCGCAGCCGCGGGCGCGTTCGGGGAGAAAGTGTGGCCGCGGGCGCCTCCGTCCCGGGCCCGGGCGTGCGGGCTGGCGCCGGCGCTGCGCTCTCGGGGCCGAGGGGCCGCGGCCGGGGCCGGGCAGAAGCTGGGGTGCCGCGGGCCCCCGGCCTCATTCGCGGGGAACGAGGCCCTCGGGCGGCAGCCGCCTGCGGGCACAGCCGCGAGCGTGGCGAGCGCCCGGCTGTCGCGGACGCCGTCTCTGTGCCCGGCGGGCGCGTCGCGCGACGCGGCGTCTGCGGTTGGGGGAGCCGGGCCGGCGCCGCGGACCCGCCCTGTGCCGCTCCCAGCAGGTCAGGGCCGAGCGGCGGGGCCGGGCGCGCAGCACCCCGCTCCTTCAGCACCCCCTCCTTCAGCACCCCGCTCCTTCAGCACCCCGCTCCTTCAGCACCCCCTCCTTCAGCACCCGCTCCTTCAGCACCCCCTCCTTCAGCACCCCGCTCCTTCAGCACCCGCTCCTTCAGCACCCCGCTCCTTCAGCACCCCGTCCTTCAGCACCCGCTCCTTCAGCACCCGCTCCTTCAGCACCCCGCTCCTTCAGCACCCCGTCCTTCAGCACCCGCTCCTTCAGCACCCGCTCCTTCAGCACCCGCTCCTTCAGCACCCGCTCTTTCAGCACCCCGCTCCTTCAGCACCCGCTCCTTCAGCACCCCGCTCCTTCAGCACCCGCTCCTTCAGCACCCCCTCCTTCAGCACCCGCTCCAAAAGCACCCGCTCCAAAAGCACCCCGCTCCTTCAGCACCCGCTCCAAAAGCACCCCCTCCTTCAGCACCCGCTCCTTCAGCACCCCCTCCTTCAGCACCCGCTCCAAAAGCACCCCCTCCTTCAGCACCCCGCTCTTTCAGCACCCCCTCCTTCAGCACCCCGCTCCTTCAGCACCCCCTCCTTCAGCACCCGCTCCTTCAGCACCCCGCTCCTTCAGCACCCGCTCCTTCAGCACCCGCTCCTTCAGCACCCCCTCCTTCAGCACCCCGCTCCTTCAGCACCCCCTCCTTCAGCACCCGCTCCTTCAGCACCCCGCTCCTTCAGCACCCCCTCCTTCAGCACCCGCTATTTCAGCACCCCCTCCTTCAGCACCCCGCTCCTTCAGCACCCCCTCCTTCAGCACCCGCTCCTTCAGCACCCGCTCCTTCAGCACCCTGCTCCTTCAGCACCCGCTATTTCAGCACCCGCTCCTTCAGCACCCCGCTCCTTCAGCACCCCCTCCTTCAGCACCCCCTCCTTCAGCACCCCCTCCTTCAGCACCCGCTCCTTCAGCACCCCGCTCCTTCAGCACCCCCTCCTTCAGCACCCGCTCCTTCAGCACCCGCTCCTTCAGCACCCCGCTCCTTCAGCACCCCCTCCTTCAGCACCCCCTCCTTCAGCACCCCCTCCTTCAGCACCCCCTCCTTCAGCACCCGCTCCTTCAGCACCCCGCTCCTTCAGCACCCCCTCCTTCAGCACCCTGCTCCTTCAGCACCCGCTATTTCAGCACCCCCTCCTTCAGCACCCGCTCCTTCAGCACCCCGCCAGGCGTTCCCATTTAGTTCCTTCCCTCACTCACCCCGCGAGGTGTGTGTTATGCGGCCCACTGCTAAGTCCTTTTTACTGAATGCTTGCTGTGCCCCAGCCCAAAAAGCCGAAACAAAAAACAGGTGCTGTGATGACCTGGGGTCTAGGTGAGGACGCGGGGCTCCCAGGTGTTAAGTGACGCAATCAAGTCCTAGTGCAAGTCGGTGCAACGGTGTTTTTTCAGGTACACGCTCGCCTGGCTCTGTCTGCTGCCTCCAGGTGCCGTTAAGAAGCCTGTCTTTTAAAATAATCCGCATTTCACCATTTTCCTTTCTTTCCTCTTCCTCCTAATAATTGCCGCATTTTAAAGGGAGGTGGGGTGGGCAGTTCACACCTTCTTCTGCACATCGTTTTTCTAGCAGGTCGCTTCTTTAATTCTGTCCAGTAGAGTTTCCATTTAATCCCCCCACGTCTCCAAAGTGTGTGTATCGCTTTATTCTCTAGTGGGTTGGATTTTAGTCAGATTTGAATTTATTGAAGCAGCAGTGCCTGTAATTTTACAAACGCTGTAGCATCTAGCACTTGACTGAGGGTAAGTGCTCTAGAAATATTATATGATTAATGAGTTAGGGAAAAAACTTTAAAATGTCGAAATTGTGGAGATTTGGTAAGAACCCAGCAAAACTTCCAGCGGCTTTGCCAGACTGTCCTAAATTTGCTTAATTGTTTTTCAGTAATTAGACGCTGTGGTTAGGATAGAGGAAATCCTATAGTCATTTCTGTAAGAATTCCCCTTAAAGAGTTAATTTGGCACAAAACAAAACAAAACACCAGGGTAACAAGTCCATCTCTCTTCCCCCCAGCAATGACTTATTTAGCCACTAAGTCACAATTTATTATGCACATTTGCACTGCAGGTGCTAGAATTAAATTTTTACACAGTGTAACTTTATAGCTGGGGTAGGTTTTCCTGGCAAGGGGACACTAAGTAACGTCAGACTGTCTGACTGCTTACCATGAGTCAAGTGTCTTCCCTTTGATTTAATCTTTAAAGCAGTTCAATAGTGGTTAAAGAATATACATCTTTGTTATCAGACAGTCCTGGATTCAACTTCTAGCTTTATCACTTATTTTGTGGCTGTGAGCAAATTTCTTAAACCTCAAACTCCTCATCTAGAAAATAAGAATAAAATACCCGCCTTAAAAAAAATGTTTTCGGATGAGATCCGGCGCTTTCAGGGTGGTGTGGCTTTTCAAAATCAAATAGATAATGCATGTAAAGTGTTTAGAACAATGTGTAGTATATACTCGGTTCAGTGTGAGGCCGTAATTACGAGAAAATTAATACTTAACCTGTATGCCCTGAATTTCCAACGGATATTGCTGTTAGATTTTTCATATAGGCAGATGACTCACCAAGCGACTTCTCTTACGTGATTCTGGAAGCTACCACAACCACAGCTCTTTTTATAACCTCCAGAAAGAAGAAATTATTTCAAATGCCTACAGATTTATTGTCTATTTACAAAAAATAATCCTATTCATGTATGAATTCTGGTAGGAAATTTTTCATATTGAGGGAGTCCTTGTAAAAACTCATTGATAAGGAGGGCCTCCCCGGTGGCACAGTGGTTGAGCGCTGGACTGTGAAGCTGCCCGCAGCCTCTGTGGTGCTGGTTCGATCCCCGGCTGCTCCCCGGCCACCGGAGGAGGGTCCCACATGGCGCGCAGACCTCTCCTGCCGCCCGCTGCTCCCCTCAGCAGTGTACTTCGGTCCTTCTGCCTGTTCTGCTCCCTGCTCTGGCTCTGGTGAATTCTCTCACCCTCCTGCGCTTCTGGCTGTACCCAGTGCTTGTATAAATAAATAAATAAATCTTTAAAAAAAACCTCATTGAAGGATTTTGCCATGTGAGCTTAGTTTCTCTGAGGTCCCTCTCCTTTCCTGTCACTGGCCATTCCCTGAAGTGGCCTATATTTTAATTTGCTTTTCATTCTTTTGCTCTTGCTTGTCATGAAAAATCTCATTCTCTTAGTTTATCTAGGTGAAGAACAAAATTAAATACTACCTCAAGCTACAATTTGACTAAGAATTGATAATTGATAATTTCACTCCTTTGGCTCCTGCTCAACAATTTTCTTGCCAGAGTTTGCCTGTGAACCTCAGTGAATCTATTTGGGGAATTTCAGGCATTTACTTCTCTTTCCATTCCTAAGTTTTTTATGAAATAGCCGAACACATACATAAGGATTTAGTGGGATAATGTAACATTATATTGTGAGCATGACATTTATTTTTTTGGTTGACAGAAAATTTGCATTACATGGTATACTCATAATAGTTTTAATACAGTAACACTATTTTAAGTTACTTACCATTGAGTAAAACTTATCTCCTGGAAGATATACCACAGTTATTCTATATTCTGGCACATTCCAACCTTGAGCAGAGCCCCCATACCTCAATTTGAGAAGCCTGACTATTTAGTTTTTTTCATCTAGATGTAAGGCTGCTCTTACTGGGGAGGGGGAGGGGTAGATGCAATGAGGTCTCCAGCTGTTACCCAGATGGGGTGGGTAGGAAAGAGCAGAAAATTTTTACAGACATATCAAGGCTGAGTTTATCACATTTCTTGTTCTGTGGAGTATATAGTACCACCACCCCCAGCTCCAGTATGCCTTCAGTCTGGTCGGACCTAGACTCTAGGAAAAAAGATAGAGGAAAGGGTGGGATACAAATTGGAGGAGAAGCAATTAGTGAATCAGTTGAATATAATTCTTCCACCTAATACTTCACCTTCTAACTCTATAATGTTTGATGTGGTAGCCGCTAGCCATACAGTGGTTATTGAACACTTGGACTGTGACTGGTACAGTCCAGTGACTGGATTTTTATTTTATTTAAAAATTAAATACCAAGGCCTCCCCGGTGGCACAGTGGGTTGAGCGCAGCGCTGTGGAGCTGTCCGCAGACTCTGCAGCATGGGTTCAATTCCTGGCCGGCCAGGGAGATTCCCTGTGGTGCAGCAGACCTCTCCTGTTGCACCCGCTGCTCCCCTTAGCAATGCTTTAGGTCTGTCTACCTGTTCTGCTCCCCACTCTGTCTCTGGTGAATCCTCTTACCCTCCCATGCCTCTGGCCTGTACTCCAGCTATTGTATAAATAAAAAATAAATCAAAAACATTAAATACTGAGGGAGTATAAAATAATTTTCCCTTACATACTAAACTGTTTGGGTAGGACTACATTTTACTTTAACTGTTGGAAGTTTAGCATCTGAATTGAAGTATGCTATATGTGTAAACAAACACCAGATTTCAGAAGTTTAGTATGAAAATAAAAGAATGTAAAATATCTCATTAATTTTAATAGTGATTACATATTAAAATGATACAGTGGATATACTGAGTTACATAAATATTAAAATTCAATTCACTTGTTTATTTTTACCTTTTAAATGTGGCTTTAAAATACAAAATTACAGGGCCTCCTTGGTGGCACAGGTGGTTGAGCGCAGCGCTGTGTGGCTGTCTGTGGCCTCTGCAGTGTGGATTCCATCCCAGCCGGCCAGGGAGATACCCACATGGTGCGGCAGACCTCTCCTGTCTCACCGGCTGCTCCCCTCAGCAGTGTATTTCAGTTAGACTGCCTGTTCTGCTCCCCACTCTGTCTCTGGTGAATCCTGTCACCCTCCCACTCATCTGGCCTGTACCCCGGTTCTTGTGTGTATAAATAAATCTTAAAAAAATACAAAATTACATATGCAACTCGCATTGTATTGGACAGTACTGATCTAGCCCTGCTATATCCAATTTTATTTTCCATTCCTTCCTTCAGCAGGGAAGTTTCTGAGGGTCAGAAAGGAGACTGTACTTAATTCCTTGAACACCAAGGGAGGCATGGCTGTCTGGGTCACTGTGAGTTCTGGATTCAGAGGTTCTCATTAGGGTCTTAGAGTAGTTTTCTGCTTTGCCTATTCATACCTCCATTTCCTATTACCCTGTAACTACCTTGACTACAGAAGTAATACTAACTAGTAATTATGTAAACTTATCACCACCAAATATGGTAATGATTATGCATATTGTTAAATACTGATGGCTTGACTTTGTTTCAAATTTTATTAGATTATAACACTGTGCACTCACATATACTTTACAGTCAACCACTCAACTAGCATAGTCATACTCTGGTAATTTTAAAAATTAGAGTGATTATTAGAATTCCTCAAAGCACATATACCATGTTTCTTTGCTAGAATTGTTTTTAACTTTTCAATAAATATCAATAAATGCTTGTTGAATAAGTGGATTTTTATATATATCAAGGAATTTATAAATAAGAAAATGTTTTTTTTTGTATATGAGGTTGCTTTTTAATATAATACTTAATAATAATGATCATGTTTTGGAAATAGTTTATATAGAATTATGTCAGTATAAGCAGAACAAAAAAAAAATCAACAAAAATGAATATCACAAGTAGATTATAAACCCAGCATAGTTACTATAGTTTTCAGATTTGGTTTTGAATTCTCTAGTAGTCAAAGCAAAATAATATATAAAATCTTATAATTTGGAAGAGAAAGTTATCCAAGGAAACTTAACTTTTCTTAGCACTGAATTCTAGAAGCAATTTTTCATGTGAGTCTTGTCACAAGAATTAATATTATAATAGGAACTCCAATAACATTTAATATGACTGCATTTCATATATCATCAAATTAATTGTTTTTATATACAAGTGAATGAGTATCATAAATAATTGTATGTTTTATTTTTCCAGGAATCTTGGAAAACCAAAATGAGGCATAATCAGCTGTGTTGTGAGACACCACCTACTGTCACTGTTCATGTAAAATCAGGGTCAAATAGATCACATCAGCCTAAAAAAACCATTAATCTGAAGCGTCCTATTTTTAAAGATAGTTGGCCAGCATCTGAAAAAAATGCACACAATAACAAGTCTAAACGTCCCAAAGGACCCTGTCTAGTTATACAGCGTCAGGAAATGACTGCTTTCTTTAAATTGTTTGGTAGGTTTAAAATATTGTAATAGTGGTAATTGTAAAGATTTTTAAACTTGAGAATGTAAAGATCTGTTTTATGATTCTGTTATTTTCTCTATCAGCTCTTCCATCTCAAATCAAATTTGTTTTTTTTTCACTTAGTCTTTTTGTTAATGTTGGGGTTTTGTTTTCATTACTCTTAGATTAAAAATTCAGACTCGCTTAGCCTCTTGACTACTTAAATTAGTTTTCCGGCTAGCAAATGTAAATTCTAGGCAATTTTGTATCAAAGTAAAATCCTACATAAAATCCCAGGTAAGCCACCTGACCACACAGTTTGACTGGACCAGAGGGGTTTTCTAGAACTTTCACTGCTAAAACTGAGCAGCTCTTCTGCCCACCTGTGACTATGCAGGTGCATCTCTTTTTCTTTCTCCTTTTCCTAATAAACCTGTCCTTTTAAAATATTAAAAAAAAAAAAAAAAGACACCAAAAAAACAGTTAACTGGGAAGGTTAATCAACCTAAAGAAGTTTCATTATTGCAACAGGGGAATATTGTTAAAAATTAGCTCTACCTTATCATACTCATAATGAAATTGATGTTGAATTTGTTCAAATTATGAGATAATGATACTTTGCTGATAAATTTCTTTAAAAAATAGCCGGAAAGAAACTTCTTTAAAGTACTTGTCTTTGCCAAAAGAGAAGAGTTTTTTTTTTTGAGGTAGTACGGTAAGGTAGACAAATTAGAAATAGGGTAGAATAGATGGGTTCTGGTAATTATGAGAATGAATCAAGTCAAGTAGATTGATTCAGGTAACAGGCTTCCTTGTTTATAGAAAAAGGTAGATGTGTATAAGAAGAAGGAGTTGGAGAGAAGAGTTTTTACCCTGCTAAGACGACAGAAATCTTAATAATAATAATAAAGTTGGGGTGCAAGCTATTTAAGATTGTAAAGAAATCCAAACAAGAAGATGAGACAAGAAAAAAATGGGCTTTGCTGGTGGTACAGGTGGTTAAGTCTCAGCACTGTGAAACTATCCCCAGCCACATTGGCCTGAGTTTGATCCCCAGCCAGGGAGCTAACCCACATTGAGCAGCAGACCTCTCCTGCCTCACCTGCTCCCCTCAGCAGTGTATTTCAGATACAACAGGCAGTAGATCTGCCTGTTCTGCTTCCCACTCTCTGGTGAATCCTTTCACCACCACCACCCCACCCTGCACCTCTGGCTTACACCCCAGTTCTTCTGTGTATAATAAATAAATAAATAAATCTTTTTAAAAAATTCTTCAAAAGGAAACATTCTATTTTTAAAATACAAGTCATAGCTATCTTTTGTTGTAGATGATGACTTAATTCAAGACTTCTTATGGATGGACTGCTGCTGTAAAATTGCAGACAAGGTAAATTTGGAAACAATACAATCATTAACCAGGATTCTTATGTTATTATGCCATCAGAGCTTTCATGAAACTTTACAAGAATTTCTGTTAAAGTTAGGAAAGGAGACTTGATTGCTCCTCTAAAGCAGAATCCAGGGGACCTCAAGAGTGGCACAGGAGTTGAGTCTCAGCACTATCAAAAGCTATCAAGCTCTTGCCAGCCACTGCAGCCTGAGTTCAATCCCCAGCCAGGGAGCTGACCCACATGGTGCAGCAGACCTCTCCTGTCTCACCCACTGCTCCCCTCAGCCGTGTATTTCAGTAGATCTGCCTGTTCTCCCCACTCTGTCTCTGGTGAGTCCGCTCATTGTCCCCCTCCTAACCCGCATCTCTGGCCTATGCCCCAGCTCTTCTACACAAAAATAAATGAAATTTGAATAAGGAAATAAAAATTCAGCAAGACTTCATGTCACATTTAATGTGCCAACCAACAGAAATGGAATGAATAGAACACTAGCTTGTAATTAAATACTCAAATTAATATTGGTATTAATACTTAAATTAATATTGGTGCTATCTTTTCTATTTCAAGTTTAACTAAGATGACAAAGATAAAATGGAGGTTTTTAATTTTGGAAAGTTAGTGTTGGAAAAAGACCATGTTCCTGTTGTCCAACTACAACAGTTATCAACTCATGGCTGTTCTCATTTCTTCTAATCCCATTTCCCAAAACTGGATTATTTTGAAGCAGATCCCAGACATTCTAACAATATATCCATGTATATTTCAAGATGTGTCTCTAAAATATGAGGTATATTATAGTGTTATTAACACCTTTAAGAAGTATGCCTTACCAATATTCAGGTCATAATGGAATTGTAAAGTTTAAGCTTTACAAAGGTTTTAAATGCATTACAGTAATTCCGGTTGTTGGACAGCAGGGGGCAGTGCTTTTAAAGTAACTAACTAGGACTGCATTTTAGCACTATTTTAAGATTGCGCTACTGAAAATAACCTTGAAAACTTGGAATCACCTTTGTGGCTAATCCTGTGCAAAGAAACTGAATAAACATTTTATGAGAGAAAATCTAACATATTGATATTATGACTTGTTTTTAATTTGAACAGTCAGAACATGGCATAGAATTCTAGTATCAGGCTAAACTTGTCTTTTTCTTATAATAAATACATGTAAGACACTTTTCCAATGTCAATAGAGCCACATCATCCTAGTTTCTGATTAGAAGTTATTTTTAAAAGATTACTTTAAAAAGTGAGTATGGATGTCTGCATCTAATTCACAGGGTTGGGGAGGTGGGGATTGTATATACATGTCCATCAAGCCAACATGGCAACATATTAACCAGCAGTTAATCTAATGAAGTATGTATGCCTAGTTGTATTATTATTTTTTCAACTTTTCTATAGGTTTGAAATTTAAGATAAAAAAATGGACTTAAATTTAAGAATTATAATCTAAATCATGATAGTCAAGAACTTTTTTACTATTCATATGAATTACAGGAAGTGAAAAAATAAGATCAAATAGCTAATTCTGTAAAAAGGATAAATAATATTTTAATTCATTCATATTAAAAGTAACTAATATAGAGCAGTTTTACTTATTAAAGCTAAATATTAATATCTACTTTTAACTTCTTTTCCTATAGTATCTTTTGGCTATGACCTTTGTTTATTTCAAGAGGGCTAAATTTACTATAAATGAACATACCAGAATAAATTTCTTTATTGCTCTGTAAGTATACTTTATTCTAAGTGATTTTTATGGTAGTTATTTAAAATATATGGTACCTTATTTAAAACAATTTAAAATCTAATATATGTTTCTTAATAGGCCTTCCTGTATAAAGGTTATACATTTTTACTTTAATAGCATATTTTATGTTTTGTTTATTAATCTTATTCTACTGTATGCCTAAGATTTATTTTTCACTTGGGTTTGCATTTTACCTTTCATATTTTTCAGAGTGCTCAATAAATTATCCCAAATTGCCCTCTTGTAGACTTAGATGTCTTTAAAGGTCAGAATATTCTCTTTGAAATTTCCTATTAATGAAAAAATCATCATCATTGCCCTTTTGCATTGAACATCTGTGGAAAATGCTCTTGACAAACTCATTGTGGATTTATGTCTGTCGCATAGTGGTTATTCAGATCTGATACCTGTAGCATCTACTGTTTAATACACTGAACTTTGACCAAGGACTATAGTATGTTTTCCAATTCTTCACTTGACTTTATATTAGGCACTACATCTAGCTCTATGATGTGTTGAATGGTTTTTAATGGCATAGTTTTATAATCTAAAGGTATCTAGGTCAGAAGTCTGACAAAATTGATGTAATTTAAGAATATCTGTATCAGTCTCAAACTTTTCTACCCAGTACCTGGATATAATGGTACAGTTCCCACTACAGCTCCTAACATTGATTAAGTTTTACTCAGTTTGCTTAATTCTGAATGAAAAAATGATTAAAGAAATAGGACTGAGGAGACTGATCTCTGCATGTCTTTAGGAGAGAGACACATTTCCTCATGAACTCAGTGTAAAATTTGATGATGCTTGCCAAATTGGGATATAATAGTATATTATATTATGTGCAAGGAACCACAAAAAAAGTTTTTTATAGCTCATTTAATCTCCCCTATGAGATACATATTTTTACAACCAATACTTTCCCAGTTGGGAAGTTGAGGCTTAGATCTTGTTTCTAATAGCACAAAAGTTATTAAGCCACAGAACTTGAACATACATTCAGGGGTGACTTGCAAGTGGCCAAATTCAGCCATTGATCACTAAGCTATATTGCTGTTTACATATGTCTTATGTGTAGGTGTTCATGCAATATCTATTTTGTATTTTTTCCTCACCTGAAAAGTAAATCAAAAGATGCTTTAGTTTAAATCTTACTAGATGCCTGAAATTGGATTTCTTTGGCTTTTTTGGTAAACTTTTACCAGTGAAACATTGTGTCACCTTACATTGTATAGAAGTCTTTAAGTTGCATTGCATGTTGTATTATAAACTCCATATTCAAAATGCAATGAATTATAATTTTCATTTAATATCTAAGCATAATTTTTGGATATACTGACTTAGTAGTTCTTCTCATTAAATATTTCCCTAGTTACAGGTCTAGCTCAAGTTATTTTCCTCTTTATTATTCTTCCATATTCTTATTTATAGTTATTTTTTTCATACCTAGTTGCCTCTTCTACTTGACTGTAGGTACCTTAAGGGAAAAGAACATGTGTCTTTTTTTTTTCCCGTCCTTTAGTGACTAACATATATAAAGATTTTAAATTCTTTGAGTAAACATATGCAAAAGAAATGGTCTCTACTCCAAGTCTGTTTCAAATTGGATGACAACTTACATGTACACAACACAATCTCATCACATTGAACCTGAAAAAATTGTTAATCTAGAGTAGAATCATAATGTAGTCTGTAACATAGTACATTATATGTTTTTAAACTTTCCATGTTTTGCTTAGTCAGCAAGCATGAAAGGGGCTAACCTCTATCTCTGTTTACACTTTATTAAGAATTATCAGGGATATTAAAGTAAAAACTTTATATAATTTCATAGGGGACATGTTTTGACTCATTATTTAATTGAATGGGTTTAACAATGAGAGGCTTTATAATAAGATTGTCTGATCCTCCTCAAATATTCAGCAAGATACTGATTTACAGATGTCTATAAGGGAGTTCAGCTTCCCAAATGAGGGGAAGACTGTCAGAAAGGCTCAGAGGAAACAGTGCCCACATTCACCCACAGCTGGAAATAGTGCCTGCAACCACCAGCCAGACTAAAAACTTCGTAATTTGCAGGGTATTGAGTAGAGGACTCAAGATGATTTTACCTCGTAGCAAGGGGTAATTAGGCTCACACGGAACATTGCTCTAGATCTACCTAGCAAATTATGAAATAAAATAAGACCTGAAAGGATCTGTTTCCAATTAATTTAACTGCATCCCACATCAGGGCTCAAGATTTATAGGAATACAAGCAAATCTAAAACACAAGATAAAATTCATTCTATGTCTATTTTTGATCTGCATTTCATTATGGGTAAGGTTGAACATCTTTTATGTGTTTAAAAGTGATTTGAATTTTTTGGTCAACTGTCTGTTCCTGTCCTTTACCCATTTCTTTTTTGAGTTGTTGGTCTTCTTTGTTAGGTATCTGGCTAATACAGTTGAAGAAGATGAAGAAGAATCCAAGTATGAAATTTTTCCATGGGCTTTAGGGAAAAACTGGAGAAAATTATTCCCTAATTTCTTAAAGTTAAGGGACCAACTCTGGGATAGAATTGACTATAGGGCTATTGTAAGCAGGCGATGCTGTGAAGAGGTAAGATTTTAAAATACTTCATCTGTATTCTCTGTCTTCTGTTTATATAATTTTCTTTGTCTTGTTTTTTAATGCATTTCTAAGTTTTCACTTTTTGTATAAATAAGGATACTTCATTAGCCTTGATGTTACCTGAATACAACTTGTTATTGCAATGTTTTAATTTAATTTAATTTAATTTTTCTTTAAAGATTTATTTATTTGTGCATACAAGAACTGGGGTACATACAAGAACTGTGGGGGGTGGGGGCAAGAGGATTCACCAGAGACAGAGTTGGGAACAGAACAGGCAGATTGACTGAAATACACTGCTGAGGGGAGCAGTGGGTGAGTCAGGAGAGGTCTGCTGCGCCATGTGGGCAGTTCCCTGGCTGGGGATTGAACTCGTGCTGCAGTGGCTGCGGATAGCTTCATCGATTGTGTCTTAACCCCTTGTGCCACCAGGGAGGCCCCCACAATCTTTTAATTTTATACCACAGTAATTAAAAATTGTCATTACTGTTTTTCAGAGGAACCTACCTCTGTAGTAAGTATCTTTATTTTAGTGTGTCCCTCTTGTCAGAAAGCTCACCAATAGATTGGGGAAGGGTAGTATATACTAATTCAAATTCCTAAAATTGAAGTGTGAACCATATAACTTAAACTTTAAATTGAAAATCATAACTAATTTTATACAAAATACATGTTTCCTTGATGCCAAGTTCTATTAAGATAAAGCAGAAAGATCCTAAAAATTAAAAGATCAGTAATTTAATGTTGATTTTCAATAAGGAAGAAAGTTAATGTTTCAAACTAAAAGCTTCTCATAAAAAATTAAATTGAAAGCAGTGACCTACCTTAAGCCAGTATTGTTGCAAAAAAAAGTTCGGTAAGTGTGGGCTATGTAATGCTTAATTTAATGAAATCTTACTCAGTTAAATTACTATAGACTAGGCCTCCCCGGTAGCACAGCAGGTTGAGCACAGTGCTGTGAAGCTGTCCACAGCCTCTGCAGCACTGGTTTGATTCCTGGCCGGCCAGGGAGATTCCCACATGGCACGGCAGACCTCTCCTGTCTTGCCCGCTGTTCCTTTTAGCAGTGTACTTTGGTCCTTCTGCCTGTTCTGCTCCCTGCTCTGTCTCTGGTGAATCCTCTCACCCTCCTGTGCCCCTGGCCTAGCTTATACCCCAGTGCTTGTATAAATAAATAAATCTTTAAAAAAAAATTACTGTAGACCAGAAGAGGCAATTAGTGGATTAGTGTTAAACCTGAGGGAAAAGTTTTGATCTGTCATGTTTATTAATGAGGTAAGGATGTAACAAATGTGCATATTTGTAGATTAAATTAGGAGGATTGTTGTATGTTGGAGAATGTGCACAGTTTCAAAAATAATTTAGAAGACTGAATAACCAGCTAAGCATTTACAAGATTAAATTTAGTAGAAAAAGATAAAAAATCAGATTATAAGCCACCCCTAAATTAATGGATCCTTATTAAAGGATTTAAACTGGACTCATTTCAGTTACAGGGCATGGAAAGAGTCCTGTATGATTACTTATTTATTTTTTGTCACTACCTCCCCAAGTCAAGAGTTGATAACTTGCACACCTGTTGCCATCATTGAATGCAATAATGGAACCTTATGTGAACATTTTATTTTTGGAAAGAGTGCTCTGTGCCTTGTGGGACACTCAACTAAGAGCAAGGAAGGAACACCAGAAGTAAAAGGCCTGAAAACAAAATGCTCATTGCAGACAAACCTCATGACAAAATGCCCACCTACTCCTCAGATACAACTGACATTTTTAACTGCTACAACTTTCATTTACACTATTGGATCTGAAACTAATGATATTGCTGGCACCAGACTACTAAGTGCCAGAAAATGATGTGACTGTATGTGCATATGTGCAAAAGACTAAAAAGTTTTACACCGCTCTAAACTCAGTTGTATAATAGGATTTACAGAAAACTTTCATGTCCACTTACATTAATAGAAGTATAGTATCTAGAAAAAATGAGGTATTTATTAGATTACACCTAAAAGACTGCATTTGGTTTGGTTGCACTACACTTTAAGAACATTAACCAATGATTGTATGTTCAGAGGACAACAACTGAAATAGAGCAAGGACCTAAAAGAAAAATGTCATATGAGGAATAAAAATGATTAGAGATTTTTAGTATGAGGAAGAGAAGATTCACAAAAATTGCTAGCTATTTTCAAATATTTAAAAGGTCATGGGGGGCAAGATACGGATTTGATTTGTATTTTATAGCTCTAAGGACTTCAAAGACCTGTGAATGGAAAGCTAAAAGATTCACTAATAGCTCAATATGAAGAATATTATTCTAACATTTATCTGATGTGATAGGCCTCCTGAGATAGTGATTCCTATCATTAATAGTTTTTTTTTTAACAAGCAGCTAGTTGTCTTGTAGAGGAAATTCATACTTTGGGTAAGTAATTAAACTAGATCACTCTAAAAATTCCTTCAACTGTGAATTTTAAGAGTATAAAGTTGTAAGTTTTTACTGCCTAAACTGCTGGGCAAGGTAGTTTATTCCCTAACATTTGACAGAATTTATTCACTCATTAAGTAAACATTTATTTAGTAAGTATTAAGTATCAGACATTGTATTCTTGTATTTCTTTTCATTTAAAAAAGGCTTAATGCAAAAATAGTGATATTAACACCTTTTAATTCTGGGTAGTAAAAATATGGATATTATTCTTTATACTACTTCATAATTTTTTAAAGTTTACCAATTTTAAAGGATTAATGGAACTTCAGTTTTACACTTCATAAAGATCACCTTATTTAAATGAATGATTCCTGTATCTTCTATCATAGTACTCTACCCCCTTTTATAGCACTAAACAAAATTTATATGTAGTTGCTTGCCTCTTTTCTGTTTAAACTGAAATCCTTAAATTTAATGAAGTCAAAAATCTAGTGTAGTTCTTCATCTCTACTACCCGTCTGTCCTCACATTGCGTTGAAAACAATCAAATGTTCTCTTTTACTGAGAAAATAAACATAATCAGAAAGTGATGTGAGCATGATCCTGCCATACTGTACTACACACTACCTGCTGTGTACCCATATATTCTTCCTTCTCTTTATTTCTAAGAAAGAGTTATCTTTGCTACTGTCCAAGCTCATTCCATCTATTTTTGCATTAGAGCTCATCTTTTCCTGCCTTCTCAAGGATGTCACTCCAGTAATTGTTTCCCTTTCCAGAATTTTAACACTCTCTATTTTATCAAATCAGTGCCATCAGAATACCATCAATAAAAAAAATAAAACTTTAACCCCTAGCGACCACTACCTTTCTCTGCCCTGCCTCTTTTACAATTAAACGCTTTAAAAGAGTTGTCTATACTATCTGTATTTCTTCCCCTTCCTTTCTCCTTGAGCCTATTAGACAGTCAGTCTTCTTTTAAAGATTTATTTATTTATGCATACAAGAACTGGGGTGTAGACCAGAGGTGTGGGGAATGAGAGGGAAGCTGGGGATTGAACTCAAACTCATGCTGCAGTGGCTGGTGATAGCTTGATAGCGCTATGTCTTTAAACCCTGTACCACCAGGGAGGCCCCCTATTAGACAATCTTATCCCTGTCACTCCACAGGAGTTTGTCAAGATGTCAAATATTTCTGTATTGCCAAAACAAAAGGTTAGTTCTCAGTCCTCAACTTATTCAACTTAGCAGCAGAATTTAACACAGTCCTTCATTTCTTCCTGAAAAACTTCTTCACTTGGTTTCTATGACACAAGGTATTTCTCAATCACCTTGTCAGTTCCTTTTCACCTCACCAGCCTCACTAGCATGACACAGGGCTTAGGACCTCTTCTCTTTTCTGTTGACATTAGCTTACTAAGTGATCTTGTTCACTCTGAGGCTTTAACAGTGAAAACTAACAGTTCTCTCCCCTAATTCTGGATCTGCACATGCGATTTGCTGTTTGTATTTCATTATCTAGTAAATACCTTAAACTTAACATACTAAAAGTTGAGTTTCTGATTTCCCTACACAGACCTCTAAACCTGGTCCTTCTGCAGTCTTTGAAACGTCAATAAATGGTAACTTCATCCTTCTAGTTGTTCAGGTCAAAAAAAGTTGTCACCCTAGACATTTCTTTTTCTTACATCCATACCTTGAAAAAAAAAATACACTTGCCAGTCCCATTTCCTGGATACTTCCCTGCTTAGCCTCCCCCGCTCCCCTTGGGATTCTGTATGTTGCAGTATCCTACCATTTCTTACTAACTCCAACACTACAACCCTACTTTGTCATCTCTTGCTTCAATTATTGCTGTGACCTTCCAAATAGTCTCTTTTATAATCTTTTGCCTAAAACCTATAATCTGTTCCTCATATAGCAGCAAGACTAGAACTTTAGGAAAGTAATTATGACTCCTCTACTCAGAAACCTCCAATGACTTCCCATCTCACATAGGGTAAAAGGCAGTTCTTATAATGGTCTGCCAGCTTGCCTCCCTTATTTGTTTGACTTCTCCCACCTTTGCTCACTTCACTGCAGCCACACAGGCCTTCTTGCTGCTCCTCAAACATAACAAGCACACTCCAACCTCAGGGTTTTTACACTTGCCGGTCCCATTTCCTGGATACTTCCCCCTATCCCAAAACCCTGGAATTCAATATGCTTCACTTTCTCATTTCATTCAGAACTCTACTTAAAGGTCAAGCCTTTTCTTTATACCCTACAGAGAGTAGTATCTCCCTCAGTGAAATAGAACTGAAGAACCCAGAAATAAGCCCTCACATTTATTGATTGATTGATTGATTGATTGATTGATTGATTGAAGATTATGCAAGCACTGGGGTACAGTCAGAAGCGGGGGAGGGTGAGAGAATTCACAGAGCCAGAGCGGAGAGCAGAACAGGCAGACTGACGAAGTACACTGCTGAGGGGAGCAGCGGGTGGCAGGAGAGGTCAGAGCGCCATCTGGGACCCTCGAAGGTGGCCGGGAATCAAACCAGCGCTGCAGAGGCTGTGGGCAGCTTCGCAACCCAGCGCTCAACCACTGTGCCACCAGGGAGGCCCAGCCCTCACATTTATGATCAATTGAATTTTGACCATGGTACCAAGAAAATTCAACAGGGAAAGAATAGTCTTAAACAAATGATGCTAAGACAACGGAATATATACATGCACAAGAATGAAGTTGGACCCCCTACTGTGTGTGTTTGCGTGTGTGTGTGTGTGTGTGTGTGTGTGTGTGTGTGTGTGTGTGTAAAACTTAAGATGGATCATAGATCTGAATGTAAGAGCTAAAATCTATAAAACTTTTAAAACATAGGGGTAAATCTTCATGACCTTGGATTAGGTTTTTTTTATATCAAAAGCACAAGTAACAAAAGAAAATAAAAATTGACATCATCAAAACTAAAAATTTTTGCCCTTTCAAAGGATGCCATCAGAAAGTGAAGCAAACACATAAAATGGGAAGAAATTTTGCACATAATCTATATGATAAGAGAGTTTTATCTAGAATATATAAAAGGCTCTTACAACTCAATAATGAAAAAACAAAAATAGGCAAAAGTTCAGAATAGATACTTCTCCGGGGAAGATACACAACTGGGCAAGACACACGGAAAGATGCTCAACATCAATAGCCGCTAGAGAAATGCAAGGTTAGAACCACAGGAAATACCACTTCACACCCACAAGGATGACTGTAATTTTAAAGCAGGTAAACGTTGGCAAGGATAAAATTGGAACCTTCATGCACTTCTGGTGGGTATGTGAAATGGTATCACTGCTTTGGAAAACAGTCTGGAAACAATTCTTTCAAAGGCTAAATATATGACCATCAATTCCACTCCTAATTATATACCCCAAAGAAATTGTGTCTACACAAAAACTTGTACATGAATGTTCACAGCAACATTATTTATAATAGTCAAAAAATGGAAACAGTCCAGATGTTCATCAACTAATGAATGGTTAAACAAAATGTGGTATATCCATACAATAATGTATTGACAAAGGAATGAATTACTGATGCATGCCACAATATGGGTGAATGCAAACACTACAATGTTAAATAGAAGAAGCTAGTCACTAAGGATCACATATTTCATAGTTATGTGAATTTTCTAGGAAAAACATTCAAAGAGACAAAAAATTAATGGTAGCCAGGGGCTTTTGGGAGAGGGGGAAATGTGTTAATGATTGTTTTCTTTGCAGAATGAAAAGTTTCAAAGTGTGAAGATGTTCTAAAATGATGGTAATGTGTTGGAGGTGGCCACCCCGCGTAGTGAGCAGAAGGGCCTTGACCCGAGTCCCTAAGGCATGTGAAAACACATGTGTCTTGGAGGAAAACCTCTGAGTGACAGGACTTGGTGTTGAGAGCCTGGAAAGTGACCTGCATGGAGTCAGGCTTCCACATCTCCACAGTCTGAGAGTAACAAAATGGAGAGACCCTGCGCAGTGAGCAGAAGGGCCTTGACCCAAGTCTTTAAGGCATGTGAAAACACATGCATCTCGGAGGAAAACCTCTGGGTGACAGGACTTGGTGTTGAGAGCCTGGAAGTGACCTGCGTATATCTCCACAGTTTGAGAATAACAAAAATAATGAGCGAACTTCCCAGGCTCTGGCTAGGGGGCGATAAGATTATGTGTGTGAGAACTAACCACCTGGTACCCTACTGTCTGAAGTAAATAGATAATAGTAAGAAAACAGACTAATCATTCATACATGTTATCATATGGTATGCTTTGATGTTACACCTGCTGCAATTAAAATAGTATATAATGAGCACTAAGACAATAAAGATTTACTGCATGCTGGACATGACAGTCCCCCATGTCTGATTTCCCTCCCCGTCGTGTCCCAGGTTCAGACTCACTAGAAGTCCACAGTAATGGTTGTGAAATTCTGAATGTGCTTAAAGCCATTGAATTGTACACTTTAAATGGGTGAATTGTGTGGTATTTGAGTTATATCAGTAAAACTTAAAATAACAAGTAGAACCTCCCACTACATAGCAGTGGGAAGAATCACTACATAGCACTTCATAGAACTTAACCACCATATAACAAATAGCATATTATATTCTGTTTCACATATCTTCCTAATGTCTCTTTACCCTTACTAGAATATAAATTCCAAGAGGGCAAGGTCTTTATTTTGTTCTTACTGTATCTTTAGTGCCTGAAAAATGCCTAGCTTATAGTAGGTACTCAGTAAATATTGCTGACAGAATAAATGGAACTTAGAGCATCCACTTCTTATGCATACCTTCTTATCCTTGAAATGGAAAAAAAAACACTTTTTCACTTGGCTCACTTAGTACTGCCCTTTACTCTAGTGGCAGATAAACTTTTTTTTTTCGCTGTTCCAATCATTTGAATCAGTGTATATAAAAGGCAACTTTACCTACTAGATTTATTCCTGTTCTCCTAAGTATTCAATTAATGTCTTGTGAGTAAGACACGAAAGTTCAGTGTTGTAGGGGTTATAAAGAAGCAACAGATCACATTATAGGTAACTCTGCCTTATCTAAACATGCTTTTTTTAACACTTAGATTTTTAGATGGTTTTCAAGATAGCTGTTCTTTAATTGTAGTTTTTATACTTAGTTTTACTAATTGTTAAGCTCTTTTTAAAATTCTAAAGGAACACTTTCTGCTATAGGTTATGGCCATTGCTCCAACCCATTATATATGGCAACGAGAACGCTCTGTGCATCACAGTGGAGCTGTTAGAAACTACAACAGAGATGCAGTTCAGCTGCCCCGGGGACCTAGCGCCACACCAGCTGATTGTTCACTCTGTGGTAAAAAAGGAAGATATGTTAGACTGGGACTGTCTTCATCATCATCTTCATTTGGTGATACAGTAGAGGTGATGGAAAAACAGTCTCAAGAATCACACAACTCATTCTCAATGAACATAACAGTTGATCCATCTCAAGCTTATAGCTGTTCTCAAGGTATGATTTAGTGATATGTTAGAATGAGATATATGCAAGTTACTAATAAATCCAAGTTATTTATTGACCAGTAGTCCTCACAGGCAGGGGTACATAATTTATATACAATAAGTTAAATTAGCATTGAATGTTTTCCCATTTCAGTTGTTTCATGCTTTGTAATAATTTTTTTGTTGTGGTAGCTTACCTAAACTACATTTTTAACATGACATATTAACTTGAAACCTAATACATAATGAGTTGCAAGTGTATTATTTTAAGAGACTAAGCCATTTTCTTTGAAATGTTCATTTTATTCAAGAAAAGATTCAACAAAATAAATTTACTTGTACTCTCACTACCCAGCTTTATCAGTGATTAACGATTTTCCTTTATACACTTACTAAAATTGAGGTATAATTTACATATAATGTTATTAGTTTTAGATGTACAATATAAGATTTTTTAAATCACATTTTTAAAAGATTTTATTTATGCATACAAGAGCTGGGGTACAGGCCAGAGATGTAGGGGGTGAGAGGATTCACCAGAGACAGAGTGGGGAGCAGAACAGGCAGATCAACTGAAATACACTGCTGAGGGGAGCAGTGGGCGAGACAGGAGAGGTCTGCTGTGCTATGTGGGTAGCTCCCTGGCCAGGCATTGAACTTGTGCTGCAGTGGCTGTGGATAGCTTCATAGGTTGCATCTTAACCCCTTGCGCCACCAGGGAGGCCCAATATAAGATTTCTTATATGTATACATGGTCAAGATATTTCACTACTATTATCATAGTTACAATTTTCTTGTGATAACTTTTTAAGATCTACTTTCTTAGTAACTTTAAAATATACAATATTATTACCTGTAGTGACCATTGCTATATAGTACATCTCCAGGACTTACAACAGGGAGTTTGTACCTTTAGACTACCTTCAACCATTCCCTACCCACCTTAACCACCTCTGGGAATCACCAATCTGTTCTCTATATCTGTGAGTTTTGGTTTCTTTCTTTGCTACTCCTTTTCCTTCCTTTCCTTCCCCTCCCCCATCTCCTCCTTCCTCCCGTTATTTTTTTAAAGATTTATTTATGCATACAAGAACTGGAGTACAGGCTAGAGGTGTGGGGGGTGAGAGGATTCACAAGAGACAAAGTGGGGAACAGAACAGGCAGATTGACTGAAACACACTGCTGAGGGGAGCAGCGGGTGAGTCAGGAGAGGTCTGCTGTGCCATGTGGGTAGTTCCCTGGCCGGCTGGGATCAAACTTGTGCTGCAGTGGCTGCGGATAGCATCATAGGTTGCATCTTAACCCCTTGCGCCACCAGGGAGGCCCCCTCCCTTTATTTTTTAAGTCTTTTTTTCTTACATTGTTGTTAATTTTTGGACAGTATTTGATTTCTCCCTCAAGTGTAGTCCTTGTAGTTCTCGCTTCACCATAGCACCTGTGATCCACCATCGTCCCTTGCATTCTTCCCTCCCAGTTTGAATGTGATATCATATAGTAATTGTTGGATTTCACTTAACATACCTTCAAGGTCTATCCATCTTGTTGCAAATAGTAAAATCTCCTTCCTTTTTATCTTTGTATGGCTGAATCTCTCTCTCTCTCTCTCTCTCTCCCTTCCTCTCTCTCTCTCTCTCTCTCTCTCTTCCACACACACACACACACACACACATTTTCTTTAGTCATTCATCCTAAGTTGGGTTGTTTCTATACCTTGGCTATTGTCAATAATGCTGCAATGAATACAGATAACTTTTAAGTTAGTGATTTTGTTTATTTCAGATAAATACCAAGAAGTGGAATTACTGGATCTTTAGGTAGTTTTATTTTTAATTTTTTGAGGAACCTCCATACTCTTCTCCATAGTGGCTGCACCAATTTACATTACCACAAACAATGTATAGGGATTCCCTTTTCTCAACAACTCATTAACATATTGTCTTTTTGCAGATAGTCATTCTAACCAGTATGAGATACCTCATTGTGGTTTTGATTTGCATTTCTCTGATGTTTACTGATGCTGAGCATCTTTTCACACACCTGTTGGCTACTTGTATGTCTTCTTTAGAAAAATATTTATTCAGATCTACCCTTTTTTTTTTTCAAAGATTTATTTATTTATTTATAAAAGCACTGGGTACAGTCAGAAGCGCGGGAGGGTGAGAATTCACCAGAGCCAGAGCGGGGAGCAGAGCAGGCAGAAGGACAGAAGTACACTGCTGAGGGGAGCAGCGGGCGGCAGGAGAGGTCTAGCGTGCCATGCGGGACCCTCCTCCGGTGGCCGGGGATCGAACCGGCGCCGGGGAGGGTGCGGGCAGCTTCGCAACCCAGTGCTCAACTGCTGCGCCACCGGGGAGGCCCAAAGCCCAGGCACTACTTTAAAACACTTTAAAACCTACATAGGGTGCCTCCCTAGTGATGCAAGGGTTAAAGTCTCAGTGCCATCAAGCTATCGCTAGCCACTGTAACAAGAGCAGGATCCCTGGCCTGGGAGCTGACCTCTCCTGGCTCGCCCACTGCTACACTCAGCAGCATATTTCAGTTAGTCTGCCTGTTCTCCCCATTCTGTCTCTGGTGAATCCTCTCCCCCCACCCCCATATCTCTAGCCTATACCCCAGTTCTTTTTCACTAAAAAAATAAAAATAAAAAAAATAGAGAACCTTAAAGATGAGCTACACATACTAAATGAAAAAACATTATAAGTTCTTAAAACAATAAATGACACATGGTAAATGCTAAATGCTAAATAAGTGGTGTATATGAATAATAAGCTCTAGTCCTAATTCATATTTATAAAGTAACATATTTCACTGAATGTTTGGTTTACATAACAACAGAACAATTCTAAGGTTCTTTCAAGCTGGTTAAAAGATTTGAAGATAAAAGAGATTCAAGAATTGATACATTTTTTTCTTATAATTTTTAATTATCATTATCAATTCCCCCTTATTACTATAACTCAGATTTCTTTATTTTTTAAATATATACAAGCCATTAAAATATGTATTTGAAATATAAAGATACATAAAAATTTTTCTTAAAATGCCTATTTTATTTTGGTAGCCAATGACCATCAATCAAACAAAGAAAAGAAAAATAATTTTATGAAGAAAGATAAATCTATGGCATGGTTTACAGGAAGTGAAGAATGAGATGGTGCAACAAAACCAACTTGGAATTATTAACTACATAATATCAAACTAACTGCAAGACAAGTGTCAAAATGGGACATATAAGCAGTTTTGAAATGTTACACTTTCTTTAGCTTTTGTTATTTTTCAAAATAATATGTAAAAGTTATACGAATCATAGTAATGGCTAAAATCCCAATTTATGAAAATAGTGATTTGCAATATAAAGTTCTATTTTGATACTCTTCTGTCTTCAAATCAGTTGCTGTCATCTGAGGTACTCAGCCAAGTTGTGGTTTGAACTTTCTCAACTGGACAAGAAAAGCTAATTAAGGGGAGAAAAAAGTAAGGTAACTATAACAATTAGAAGAAAACACAATTTAATATAGCCATTTAATACTCACCAGTATGACCAGTTTGCCAGTGTACAGGTCTAGCAATATAAGGAAATGATCCATATGGAAAATCAGAATATGACTCTTCTGTTGTAAAACAAAATATATATTACAAGGTATATACTTTATAATTTGCTCACAAAACTGTTAAAACACAAATTCCTTTCCTTTTACTGTTAAGTTTGTTTCTCTCACATTTTTTTAAAGCATTTATTTTGGAGCTACTTTGCCAGTTATGTTACATAAACAATTTGTCAGGGATTACAAAGATAAATTTAAGATTTTATATCCAAATAGATAATTCATATCATAAATCAGTGGCTATTTGGAAACCTGTCCTGGCCTAAATAATGTATACATACAACAAGGCCCTAAATTTAGTTCTTTGAAGAATTTTCTTCCTAGAAGCATCTTAGAAGTAGTTACTTTGGGGAATATTAGCTCTTTGCATATCAGCTCCTACTATATTTTTTCCCTTCTAATAATCATTGATCTAAATTTAGACATTTCTTCCTTAGCATATATCAGGTATTTCACAAGTGACAAAATATGACTGTTACAGAAAACTCAGTTCTTCAAAGGTATCAGTTTTATGTAAAAGGCTGTAAAGATCATTATTCTGTCCCTTAGGAATTTTAATTTAATTTAATTTCATTTTAATTTAACAGGATCAATACCACATTTCAATTTCTATTGGAAAAAAAACAACATATCCCTGAGAAATGTTTTTATAATTTATTGGTGAATACATTCAGAAATCCATTTTTCTCTTATTATTGTAAACCCAGGCCTAAATAAAAAAGAAGCTCACCATGATCATCCTCTTGAGACATCTCACCTTCAATTTTCATATTCTTTTCAGAATGTAGATCTGTGTTGACTTTAGGTTCTACTTTTTGTACTAAAATTCCATTTTTCTGTTTTGCAAGACGCACCAACCAATCTCTAACTATAACTTCGCTTATCTTTTCACATGAGAGAGCAAGTTCACAGATACGAATTCCATCTAAAAGTTCAATAACCTGTGTGATACTTTCAGAAAAGTGAAAAATATACTTTAAATTTCTATATAAATGATAATTATATATATATTTAAGTTTACTATCTCTCTTACTCAAATGCAAATGCTATGGTTAAATCAAGGGGAAAGAAAGTAAAAATTAAATTAGGGCACATAATAAGCTATTTCACAGAATACTAAGTAAAAAATATATACAGACCATAATTTAACATTATTGTTAACATTACACTTTTAAACTTTTCTTCTAAAATGTCAGAAGAAATATACATCTTACATGACCATTTATGTAAAGGATGAGTTAAGTAGCAATAAAACTGTATTTGGGACCCATGTTGTATAATAGCAGTATTATGGGATAATATATATATAGCTAACTCAGTTACAAAATGAACAGTTTAACCTGTTCATTCAGGACATAGACAAAGTAAAACTATTTAAAAATCACATTACAAAGAAGAACAGCTACATTACTCACTTTGCTAGATATACAGCACATACACCACCCTGTTTAAGATTTGGGTATAAGACAGGCAAAGCAACTTGAGGATTCAACATATCCAAAGCTACCTGTGGGGACGAGCAATGAGATCAGACTAAGTTCTGTTTAAATAAAGTATAGGTTTTCTGTTATTGTGGTGAAATTACACATTTTTGGAAAGCAATTACTCAAAATATTTCATTTTTTTAGAAAACAGTACTATAAACTGTCATTTTACTGCTCTCAAAAAAGCTTATTTATTATGCAGTTTGTGATATTACTTGACTACATAAAAATTACAGTGGTATGTCTTACACTTGGTAATACTGATAATACAGGAATCTTCCTTTAGCTTTATTTCATATACATACATACACATAAAACATTAAAACTTTAGTTCAGCTTTTGCCATATCACAAATATGCATTTTTATGTTCTAAATAAAATTTCTGAATATTAATTTTAGAGATTCTAAAATATAAGAATCATATCTCCTTAGTCTTAATTCAACTACAGAAGATAAATATAGATGTAACTCACAGAAGATGTCAAACACTAAGTAAATGAAATTTAAAAAAATAATTAAAAACCAAAAAAAAATCTGGTCAAAATAGAAAATGAGAAATTTTTATAGACAGATAACTCCAGTAAATTAAGTGTAGTTGGCACATCAGAATATTTACTTAATTATAAATTACATGAAGAAGGCCACTATAACCACAGTGGAGACAAAAGGGGGAAAATGCTGAAGATGAGTTCTGTGTTAATGGGGATGAGGTGGGAGTGGGGAAGGGACAGACTGTGTAGGATCTTAGGGTTTGGCTTTACTCAGAAAGAGAAAAGCCTCTGTAGACATTTTTAAAGAATGACATGACCTGGGTCTCCCTGGTGGCACAAGGAGTTAAGTCTTAGCACTATGAAGCTATCTTCAGTGACTGCAGCACAAGTTCAATCCCCGGCCAGGGAGGGACACGCATGGTGCAGCAGACCTCTCCTGTCTCGCCCGCTGCTCCCCTCAGCAGTGTATTTTAGTCAGTCTGCCTGTTCTGTTCCCCACTCTGTCTCTGGTGAATCCTCTCACCCCATCCCACAACTCTGGCCTATACCCCAGCTCTTGTATGCATAAATAATTTTTTTTTAAATTTAAGACAGGTAGATAAAAGGTGAGAAATAATAATGATGAAAAGTATAGCTAACATTTAATGCTGACTCTACACACTTTACATGAAATATCTCATTTAGTCCTTAGTGGTATTCAATAGTACTCTCTGAAATTAGTACTATTATTCTTATTTAATACATGAGGTGACTAAGGCACAGAAAAAATAAGTAATTTAACCATGATTATAACTGGCTATTTTGAAGCCCAAGAGTGAACCAGGCTAAATGGACTCCAAACCTTTTCTTTTTTCTACCATCATTTTCTCTTCTTGGAGGTAATAATTTCATGGTCCTGAAGTTGATAATGTTCCTAAATAAATGTATACTTTTATACTTTTATAACATACATAGCTATAAACAATATATGGTACTGTTTGTCCAGTTTTTAACTTTACATATATGTGACCATTCTATACATATTCTTATATAATCCTTTTTCACTAAGCACCATGTCTTTGAAATTTATTGAGGTAGATACAGTACATTTATTTCAGTATGTCAAATACTATGAGTATTCCATCTGTCCCATATTCCTCTTCCATGGTTAAGCTGTTTCCAAAATTTGTTTGCATTTGGTTTTGTTTTTAAATTTATTTTGGATAAAGTACTTTTTTTCTTACATCGTTAGTTTTTGGACAGTATTTGATTTCTCCCCTCTGTTTAAATTTGATAAAAATCATTTTTAAAAAATTTTTTAAAGTTGTTTTTTTTTTTTTTTTTTAAGATTTATTTATTTATGCAAGCACTGGGGTACAAGCCAGAGATGCGGGAGGGTAGAGAATTCACCAGAGACAGAGCAGGGAGCAGAATAGGCAGAAGGACCAAAGTACACTGCTGAGGGGAGCAGTGGTGAGACAGGAGAGGTCTGCCTCACCGTGTGGAAATCTCCCTGATTGGCTGGGAATCAAACCTGCGCTGCAAAGGCTGCGGACAGCTTCACAGCACTGCGCTCAACCTGCAGCGCCACTGGGGAGGCCTGATAAAAATCTTCTATTAGTCGGTTTTCTCTTCTTCTGTTTTGTCTCTGATTTAACATCTAAAAATTTCATTCATTTACCATCATTTTGGATGGCAGGAATATAGGCGAATTATATAAAAGGCTAAGAAGAAAAATTGATCAGAGTTTGAATTACACCAAGTCTTTCAATAAAAAGATCCTAATTGGTCTTCCAGTAGAAGAGTAGCAGTACCAGCAGTTGATTTAAGCTGGGGACAAGGAGAATGGACTGAAGTGTGAAGGCCCAGGAGGGGAGATGGCAGCTAGGAGAGGAATTAAGTAGTCAAAGTGGACAATTATCAACTAGGATAACAGTAACAGAAATCAAGTGGTAGGAACACAAACAGATACTGGTGTTTAATATATACATCTTGATCTCTGGGCAAGTACCACCTTCAAACAATAGTTTTACCAACTGGCGATTTTTAGATTTTCTTAAAGGGAAATTTTTTTCTCACCCCACCCCGCACCTCTGGCTTACACTCCAGGTCTTGTATGCATAAATAAATAAATCGTAAAAAACAAACAAAGTGATCCTTATTAAATGTGAAATGTCATAGAACTCACTTTAGAAAACTTACCGCATCAAATGTCAAAGCTTTTATGTCTTCAGTTGCTCCTGAAATATCTTTATGAATAAAATTCACATTGTCTGGCCATTCTTCTACGTGACTCATTTTCCATGAATCACGCCAGTGTTTGTAATTCTTCTTAGCCAGTTCATGGTGGTCTTTTCGTATTTCAAAACTTATGACTCTTCCTTTTGATCCGACTTAATTTAAAAAAATAGGATATTTCATAGTATTAATCCATTTAGAAAAATGTCATGATTTTATTTTCTCAAAGGTATTACGTGTATGTGAAAAAAATAATCCAAATAGTTCAAGGTTACAAAAGTTGCTGCTATCAAATATCCAATCTCCCTCTTCAAAGGCAACCAGATTTCTAGTTATTTACCCTTCTCAAATGTGCAAGACTTTCTGTCTTAAGGCACATTGTAATGTACTATATACATTGTCCTGTAACTTTGTTCTTACTTACCAATACCATTTAAGCAATTAGCAATCTGCATTCTTTTCAATAGCTACTATATATGTGTGTATAACTATGCCATAGTTGATTTAACAGTCACCTACCAATGAACATTTAACTGGATTTTAGTTTTATGCTATTACAAACAATATTGGAATGAAAGTACTTATGCAAAAGTCTTTGTACACATGAGCCAATATAGCTATAGAATAAAGTCCTAAAAATGGAATTGCTGGCTCAAGGAGTAAATGACTTTTATTTTGAAAAGTTAATTGCCAAATTGTCCTCCCCAAAAAATGACTCCAATTTATACTCTACCTGATAGTGATTAGTATGCTTATTTTTCCATACTTTCCCCAACAAAGAGCTATCAAACTTTTTATCTGTCTGTGACAATTTAAAAACTGAATACAGTGTCTCATTGTAGTTCTGTTTTTCTTTTGCTGTGGATGATGTTGGGTCTTCCATATATTTTTATGTATCTCTGTATATGTCTGAAGAACTTTCAAACTGTTTAGCATAGTAAAACTGGAGTTTCAAAACACTACTGCATTTTAACTTAGGGCAATTTTTCACTCACCTCTATCTGAGGTGATTTTATACCATTTGGAGGGTCTCAAATTAATCAGTCTATAGTTTACTAACGAAAAGCTTAAATCCCAGGACATCTTTTGAAACGTAACTCCAGCTGCAATTCATCATGTTGTCAAAGGAAGAAAATCTAATGTTACAGTAGCACAAACAACTGAAAATAATTATGAAGGAAAAAAATCTACCCCAAAGGTAAATAGCAATAATTTGGCGATCACTTATCATTCATGCCATGACAATGCTCAAGCACTGGAAATGTGAGAATTATAGGCACTTCTCCTATCTCATGAATATTTATAAATTCATTTTGTCAAATGAAAGCATGCATTTAGGGATCTGTCACAGGTTATTAAGAAATAACTGCCTTTAACTATATACAGAAAACAAAGATTTGAGGATCCCGAATGAATTTTTGCCCAGAATTACACACTGGATAACATTTGTATGTGACAGCATTAGGTCAAAGAACAAGAAGTTGGGCCTCCCTGGTGGTGCAAGGGGTTAGTCTCAGCACTATGAAGCTATTGGCAGCCACTGCATCATGAGTTTGATCCCCGGCCAGGGAGTTAACCCACATGGCGCAGCAAACTTCTGTCCTGCCTGCTGTTAACCCTCAGCAGTGTATTTCAGTAGATCCTCCTGTTCTGCTCCCCACTTGGTCTCTGGTGAATCCTCTCCCACCCCCCACACCTATGGCCTACATCCCAGCTCTTACATGCATAAATGAATAAAATAAATCTTTAATTAAAAAAAAGAACAAAAAGTTTAGGTTTAGTTCAGCAGATTCCTAGCTGTACTTTTATAAACACTACTCAAAGAACAGTTTTTCTCTATTATGTGAGGAAGGGAACACTGCTCAGCAGTCAGACCAGCCAAAGCGACCCTGGTCAAAAGAAACAATAATCCACTAGGATAAAAGTAACTAGAAATGAGGTAATAGAAACATAAAAAGCTACTTATGTTTAACATACACCTCTTGATCTTTGACAAGTGCTACTTTCAAGCAGTAGTTTTACCAATTGACAATTTTTAGAGACAGGAAAATTCTTTGTGATCAGGCTTTAACTTAATAGTTCTGTATTATAATGAATTTGTTTATGAACATCAACTGTAATTCTTTGCCCCAATAGTATGACACTTCAAGAGTTGCTGACAGTTCTGTTCCTCCTACATTCTTGCTTTGACACTGTTATTTTTTTTAAGATTTATTTATTTATGCATACAAGAACTGGGGTACAGGCCAGAGGTGTGGGGGGGCGGGTGAGGGAATTCACCAGAGACAGAATGGGGAACAGAACAGGCAGACCGACTGAAATATACTGCTGAGTGGAGCAGCGGGGGAGTCAGGAGAGGTCTGCTGCGCCATGTGGATAGCTCCCTGGCCAGGGATCAAACTTGTGCTGCAGTGGCTGCTGATAGCTTCATAGGTTGTGTCTTAGCCCCTTGTGCCACCAGGGAGGCCCTCTTTATTTGATACTGTTATTAATAATGTGTACATATGTGCTTCAAAAGGCAAGTATAAGAATGTTCAGAGCAGTACTATTCCCTAATATTCAATGCAAATGCCCGTCAACAATGAAACAGATAAACTGTAATGTGTTTATAAAATGGAATAACTATATAGCAACTGGAATGAAAGAACTGCTACATGCAGTGGCTGAATCTCACAAACAGAATGTTTCATGAAAGCAGTTAGACAAAAAATAAAAGACTAAAAACTAAAAAAAAAATTAAAAGGAAAGTAGACTCAAAAGGGTACTCCTATATGATTCCTTTTATATAAGGTTCAAAACTGGTGATAAAGAGAACAGTGGTTACCTTTCAGAGGATAAAGGCAGAAGGGGCATGAGGTGGCTTCTGTGGTGCAGTAACATTCCCTGTCTGGATCTGGGTAATAACTACATGAATGCAGTCACTATAAAAATTCATTGACAGATACACTTACGATCGTGCACATTTCTGTAGTTGTTATGTTCCAACAAAAAGTATAATTACAACTAACAAAAGAATTAAAAAGCATGGAAGGAGCAAGCAAGCAAAGAAAGCAAAAGGTTAGAAAGAATGACTGAAATAAATGAGAAAATTTAACTTTCTGTTATGATGAACAAATTGAATGTTTTGTCATGTCATCTAAATTTAGTTCATTTATCCCAAGCTCTTACCTGCTTTGGATAAAAATAAGCTCATTCCACCGGAGCCAGAGCCAGCTTCCAAAACAGTATCACCTGGGTGGATATTCATCATCAGCAGTATCATACTCACATCCTAAGATTAAAATACAGTATGGGTGACTCAATGACCAATAAATATATACTTAGTACCTTGCAAACTTAAAGAGTTAGGGGGAAACAAATGAGTCCACATCACTCTATATAGTAAGGTGATATTCTCTTCATTTTACAGGCCAGAGACTCCCAAATAAAAATTAAATATGGCTGTTTCCTCTTAAAATTAGCAATCACAAGATATACAAAAGTCATATCCAGGCTTAGAACAGTAAAAAATTTAACGTTCTGAGATGTGTTTTTAACTACATTAATCAGGAATATACTACTGCAATCAATTTTACCCTTTTGGGAGCCAATATGCACCTAATTCCCATAGCCTTACCTTTGGGTACGATATGGCAGGCCCTCTTTTCATCAGTAACACATAGTCTTCTAATGTCGGCCTCTTCAGTATTACGTGCTTACCCGAGGAACTTCTCACTATCTGGCCGGGGAACTTTCCCACAATATCGCTGAATGATACTTTCCCCCAGCTACCATGGAAGTGTCCGGTGTTGCTCAATTTAAATAATTTTTTAGCTTGTGTTTCTCTCCTCCCAATCTCAGCTAAAATCAGCTCCCCAGCCCGAAAGGGTTCCTCTCTGGAAGTTGACCAGGCAGAAGAGATGTGAACGTCTTCGACCCCGGCCGCGGACTGGGCTCGGGCGGGCTCCAGTGCGGATCCCCGAAGAGCGGGACCAGACTGACCCTGGTCTTCGCTGGAGTCCTCGTGCTCTCGGCAGGGTGACTCCTCTCGCGGCGTCGGCAGTCTGAGGTTTCCCAGCGATGAAAGACACCTGGTCCCAAAGCTCCGGACCCGCGGAGGGAGAAAAGGGGGCGACTCCGAGCCGCGGACTTTGCTCTGTGCCACCTGGCGCTGCTCTCCCTCTCCATCTCGTGCATCTCTAGAAGATTCGCAACACAGTGACCGCGCTCCCTCGCGGGGGTCGAGTCCAAAGCCACGTAAGAGCGAGCAGGTCCCAAGTCTTGGCCGCCTCCGAAGGCGCCGCAGCCGCAGCAGGAACTGACCGCCGCCGCCAGCTGACAGCATGGTGGCAGCCGGCGCCGGCGCAGACGAGTGACGTAGGGGCCCCGCCTCTTCCGGCCCGGCGCGCCTGCGCAGCAGCCCTGCGGGCCTTGCTCGGCCTTCCCGTCTGCGTCCCGAGGGTGAGGGTGGTCGGGACCAGGGGTGGGTTCCGCCGGGCCCCGCTTGAGTAGCTGTGGCAGGACGAGACCCTCTCCTCCACGGGGGCCCATTTGCCTCTTCGTAATGAGGGCAGAGTACACTCCTGGCCGCTGAGAAACCGCACCAGCTTCGCTCGAGAGAGGCAGCCCGACAGCGCCGTATAAACTGGGAGGTCCTGTGACAGGTCCACTAGGTAGCGAGTCATCAACACGAACGTCGTGCGATCGCCCCCGAGATGTATAAGTAAAGCACCCGGAGATGCGCTTGGCAGATGTCCTTCGTACGGGCCATCCGCTGGCCAGGGCTGGGTTCCCAGCTGACAGCCACGTTTTTCCCCATGCACGTCCCTTTTCATGGCTTTGACCACTTGACTGACCGCCCCAGGCCCAGGTAGTCCAGGAAGACTGATTGAAATGCAGTTTTCACTATATACTTACTCAAATGGGATTTTAAAAAATAAGGTAATTACACTATAACATAGTTAACTAAGTATTTTGACCTCTCCCTAACTAAGTAGAGCATCTTAAAATGGGAAAAGATTATCTTTGGAGGCCAAAGTCTCATTTATCATTAAATATCACTAACATGATATTAGTTTGTAACAGGGTGGTCCCCAGGAAAAGGGGAGGTTTCTGGATCCCTGTCCCACCCAAGGGAGGATGGAGCTGAGCAGGGAGGAAATACACTGCTGAGGGATGTCGCAGGCAAGACAGGAGACATGTGCTATGCCATGTGGATCAGCTCCCTCTCCGGGGATGGAACTCTGCTGCAGTAGCTGCAGATAGCTTCATAGTGCTGACACTTAATGCCTTGCACCACCAGGGAGGCCCTATATAATTTTAATTTTTTTTTTAATTTTTAAAAAATATTTATTTATTTATATACAAGAATTGGGGTACAGGCCAGAGATGCGGGGGTGAGAGGATTCACCAGAGACAGAGTGGGAAACAGAAAAGGCAGACGGACCGAAGTACACTGCTGAGGGGAGCAGTGGGCGAGACAGGAGAGATCTGTCCCGCCATGTGGGTTTCTCTCTGGCAGGCCGGGAATCGAACTCGTGCTGCAGTGGCTGCGGATTGCTTCATAGGTTGCGTCTTAATCCCTGCGCCACCAGGGAGGCCTCCTATATAATTTTAAAAGTTGTATACCTGTAATGCAAATTCACCAACTGTTTACATTTTCAGCCCTTTGCTTTTTTTTTCCTCCCTCTTCTTTTCTCTCTCCATACAGCACACATATGACACACACTCACATATTTTGTGAACCATTTGAAAATAGATTGGAGACAGTCTTTTATCCCTAAACACTTCAGCGACTATTTTCTAAGAATAAAGACCTCTTACCTAATCACAGTACATATTGTCATACTAAGGACATTTAATGTGATAAGATGGTTAAATGAGATTCACATCTTCACTATCACTTGTTATGTTTATCTTTTTTTTTTAAAGATTTATTTATGTATGCATACAATGACTGGGGTGTAAGCAAGAGATGCGGGTGTGAGAGGATTCACCAGAGACAGAGTGGGGAGCAGAACCGGCAGATGGACTGAAATACAGTGCTGAGGGGAGCAGTGGGTAAGACAGGAGAGGTCTGCGCCATGTGGGTTGCTCCCTGGCCAGCCAGGGATCGAACTCATGCTGCAGTGGCTGGTGATAGCTTGATAGCTGTCTTTAACCCCTGTGCCACCAGGGAGGTCCTATGTCTGTCTTTTTTTTACATTAAAACTATTCTAGGGGTCTCCCTGGTGGCACAAGGGGTTAAGATGCAACCTATGAAGCTCTCTGCAGCCGCTGTAGCACAAGTTTGATGCCTGACCAGGGAGCAACCCACATGGCGCAGCAGACCTCTCCTGACTCCCCGGTGCTCCCCTCAGCAGTGTATTTCAGTCAGTCTGCCTGTTCTGTTCCCCACTCTGTCTCTGGTTAATCTTCTCACCTCCCTGACCTCTGGCCTGTACTCCAGTTCTTGTATGCATAAATAAATAAATCTTTATTAAAAAAAAACATTCTAATGGGCATGGAGCAGTATCTTAATATTTGACATTTTCTAAACGACTAATGATTTTAAGAATCTTTTCAAGTACTTATTAGTCATTTATATATCTTTGGTGAAATATTTATGTAAATCTTATGGTGATTTTTAATTGGCTGTTTATTTTCTTCTTATTTCTTCATATATATATATATATATATATTTGCATGTGGGTATCCAGTTGGCCCAACACTTTTTATGAAGAAGAATATTCTTGCCCACTGAATTGTCTTGGCACCTTGCCAGTATCAATTTCTATGAAAAGCCCTGCTAAGATTTTTATAGGGATTGTATTTAATTTATAGAGCAATTTGACAATTTCCATCTTGACAATATTGAATTTACTAATTCATGAACATGGAATGTCTCCCCATGTATTTAGGTCTCCCTCAATTTCTCGTAGCAAGTGTTGTACTTTTTAAAATTTAAGCTGAAATTCCTTTGCTGAATTTATTCCCACATATTTTAGTCTTTTGGCGCTGTTGCAAATGAAATAATTTTCTTAATATAATTTTCAAATTGTTCATTGATTGTATATAGAAATGCAGTGAAATTTTTGTATATTTGTAACAGGGTGGTCCCCAGGAAAAGGGGAGGTTCCAGGTTCCCTGCCCCACCCAAAGGAGGGTGCAACTGAGCAGGGAGGAAAAGAAGCTGAAAAGGAGACTGGAGTAGGAAGGAAACAGGATGGAGAGCAAGAAGGAGGCCTGGAGGAGGCATGTGGAGCAGAGAGACATGTGAAGAAACTGTGCTTGCTTCTTGGTCCTGGATTCGTTGAAACAAATGTGGGTGAGAGACCCGTGGGGGAGGTTAACAATGGCAGCTTTTAGCTTGATTTTGCTCTTTTCCTCCAGACTTGTCTGACCGTTTCTGACCCTGTTCTATGGGTTCCTGCTGGAAGGTACTTTAGACTTGTGTCAGGCTTTTGGGCCTTGCTTTGGACCAATCCTGTTTGGCTGGACTTTTACCCATGAGGGGATGGGAAATTTCGGGTGCTATATTCTTTGTCTTGTCTGTATTGCATACTAATTGTATTAAAGTTCCTTTCCATTAAAGGCCTTATATGTTTTGTCTTGATGCATCAGATGGCAGAACCTATTTAGAGCAGGCAGGTTTGGGAGTTCTGGGGTGCCCCTCTCCCGGTCCTGTAACAGATTGAACTTGTGTTGACTAGAACTGGTGAGCATGAACAGTTCTGATTTATTCTCAATCTTGGGAAGAAAGCATTCGGTCTTCCACCATGAAGAATAAAGTGAACTGTGGAATTTTTGTTGGTCCCCTTTATCAGATTGAGGATGCCTCCTTTTATTTCTAGTTGGTTAAAAGTTTTTTGTTTTTTTTTTTAAATCATGAACAGGTGTCAGATTCAAAATTCTTTTCTGTATCTTTTGGGATTGTCAATTTTTATGCTTTATTCTATTAATATGGTATATTGTATTTATAGGCTTTTGAGTGCTAAACAAACCTTGAATTCCTGGAGTAAATCCCACTTTTCACAGTACGTACTCCTTTTATATGTTGCTGGACTTGATTTGTTACTGTTTTGCTAAGGATTAGCATTGAGAAGCTCTATTACTCTTTAGGATTGATAGAAATTAGTTAAGTTAAATTCTTAGTAAGGTGGATGAAGGGCTGGAATTGGGGACAGAGAGAAGATTGGTAGGGTCAAGGTTGCAGTTGTGAGAAAAAGAGCAGAATTAAGAACAAGGGTGATAATGACTGAAAATCAGAAGCAGGAAAGATCCCAGTTCAATGTCATTTATGGAGTACCTACCGTGTGCCCGGGGCATGGTATTCTATACTATTAACTTCTTGAGATGAGTTGACTCAGTTTAGTATCCTCACAGCCAGACTTGAAAAATCCTTATAGCAAGAAAGGTCTATTAAGTTTATGAAGCAAACTTTTTTTTTTTTTACTTTTTTTTTTTTTTAAATAGAGGCATGTTTTATTTATTTATTTGTTTGTTTGTTTGTTTTTGTTTTTTTTTATACATGCACTGGGTACAGTCAGAAGCGCGGGAGGGCGAGAGAATTCACCAGAGCCAGAGTGGGGAGCAGAGCAGGCAGAGGGACAGAAGTACACTGCTGAGGGGAGCAGCGGGCGGCAGGAGAGGTCTGCGCGCCATGTGGGACCCTCCACCGGTGGCCGGGGAGCAGCCGGGGATCGAACCTTCGCCGCAGAGGCCGCGGGCAGCTTCGCAACCCAGCGCTCAACCGCTGCGCCACCGGGGAGGCCCTGAAGCAAACTTTTTTTAACTGGGAACGAAGTTTAAAAAATGAAGGAGTTCCGCAAGGTTTTTATGGTAAAGTCTGTTTCCATTTAAGCTTTTAAAAGTAACTATACTGCTAAAGAATATGTCATAATTACTAATTATTAATTCTTCAGCCATATCTCATAATTTATTACTGACTTCCCATGATGGCAATTGAGGATTTAGCTCTCTTTCATACCTCAGTGCTGCCTTAATTTGCAAATATATATTCACATCCTGTCCCTGCATCTCTCAATACCATTTTATTATAACTTTAGTTGAATCAATATTCAGCACTCACATAACTATAACTACATAAATGCTGTTTACAGCTCGATCATGTTTCATTGAGCCATATGAAAGAGCTGCTTTAATATTTAAAATGGCTGAATTTCATATGATTCAATAATCTAATAATGTACATTAATTGTATAGTAATAATATTTACATGTAATATAATAGTAAGTTATTTTTCTCTCAGGCAGAAGTTTTTGTTTTGTCTTTTTATCATCATTAAACATGAAAAAATACTATAAGAATACCTAAAATGAAATCTGGTCTCAGTAGATTTTTTTTTTTTTTTTTTAAAGTGACAGTCCTTTTTTTATTTATTTGTTTGTTTCTTGTCTATACAAGCACTGGGTACAGTCAGAAGCGCGGGAGGGCGAGAGAATCCACCAGAGCCAGAGCGGGGAGCAGAACAGGCAGAAGGACCGAAGTACACTGCTGAGGGGAGCAGCGGGCGGCAGGAGAGGCCTGCGCGCCATGTGGGACCCTCCTCCCGTGGCCGGGAAGCAGCCGGGGATCGAACCGGTGCCGCAGAGGCCGCGGGCAGCCTCGCAACCCAGCGCTCAACCCGCTGCGCCACCGGGGAGGCCCTGGTCTCAGTAGATTTTTAAGTGTATCATACAATGTTGTTATCTATAGGCATAATGTTGTACATCAGATATCTAGAATTTCATTATCTTTCATAAGAGAAATTTTATATATATGTTGATTGGATTAGCATCTGAACTGGAGTGTGGACCAGAGGTGCAGGGAGGCGAGAGGACTCACCAGAGACAAAGTGGGGAACAGAACAGGGGGCTCTACTGACATACATTGCTGAGGGGAGCAGTGGGTGAGATAGGAGAGGTCTACTGTGCCATGTGGTTTATGTCCCTGGGGGGCGGGGGCATCAAATTCATGCTGCAGTGGCCCGAGACTTTAACCCCTGCGTCACCAGAGAGGGCCAGTGCTGTTAGCATTATTTTTTAACACTTATCATTTTTTAAATTTTTTTAAACAATATTTGCTTCCCCCCACCCCCTCAGATTGAGTCCCCATAGAATTTCCTTCCCCAAGGCACCCATGCACCATTACCACAGTCCCCTGTGCTCCTCCCTCTCTCCCTCTGATCCCTCTTCCTCCTCCTCCCCTGCAGTATGTCTCAGGTTTGTAATTGTCTGTTTTTGCTTTGTTGTGTCTTTTACTGTTATTATTATTATTTTTATACTGATGTCTTATTTGGTTCCCGTATATTCCTGTTATAAGTGAAACCATCCAATATTGTTCTTTTTCCTTCTGGCTTATTTCACTGAGCATCATTCCTTCTAGCTCCATCCATGTTGCTGCGAGTGGCATGAGTTTATCTTTTTTGATTGCTGAATAATATTCCATTGTGTATATATTCCACATCTTCTTGATCCAGTCATCAGTTTGTTCAATAAATGGTGCTGGGAAAACTGGACCTCCAAATACAAAAAAAAAAAAAAATGAAACTAGACCGCTACCTCTCACCATGCACAAAAATCAACTCAAAATGAGTAAAAGTACTGGACATAAGACCTGAAACCATAAAATATATAGAAGAAAATAAAGGTAAAAAATACTACAAGACATACATCTCAGAAACATCTTTAAAGACTCATAACCCAAAGCAGTGATAGTGAAGGCAAAGATAAACACCTGGGATTACATCAAACTGAAAAGCTTCTGTACGCCAAAGAAACATTAACCAAAACAGACACCACACTGATTGGGAAAAAATGTTTGCACTCAATTCAACTGATAAGGGACTGATCACAAAGATATACAAAGAACTCACACAGCTCAACAAAAACAAAATAAACAATCCAGTCAAGAAGTGGGCAGAAGAACCACAGTGCTGTTAGCTTTAACTTCAGATATATCTGGAATCTGATCACTTCTCACTGCCTTTACTGTTTTTAGCAGTCCAACCTGTCACTGTCCTTCTCTCTTGTTTCTGCATTCATTCTTGTCTTTTACAGTCTCCATCAGCATCCAGTGGGACTTTTTAAAAATGTAGACTTGTTTCTGTCATTCCAAATATTCTAAAGTGCAAATGCGTGGTAGGTAGTGCACCTAGATACTCCCTAGCCGTAAAAGCTTCAGTCTCCCCATAGCCATGAGTATAATTTGCTTTTTATTTTTTTAATACTCCAGTGGTCTGTCACGCCACTAATCCATAGGGAATGGGTCCCCGCAGCTCAGCCAACTTTCCATTGCTTCTCACACCATGAGCTGCTCTGGGTGGAGCAGGCTGGCGCTTCAGTGGAACCCAAGTAACTTTCACTTTGGCTTCCCTTTTTTTCCTGATCACTTTCTTTCACAAATTTCAGAAAGCTTTCTCAGCTCTTAGATGCTTTATACGCTCAATAGGAACATAAGTTCTCCTGTCAGGGATCTTGCCCTTTACTTGTTTGTTTACAACAGTGCCAGTTGCATGCTGGGTAACATCATAGATTCTTCAAGTTTTGCCTTAGTAACACGTGTGGGTTTCTTTTTTGAACAAGTGCCCATCCCTTTGATGTCTGCAATATACCTGTCCTATAGATTTGCATTTATGTGGCCAAAGGGACAACTAGACATTTTCTAAAAGGCCTAGAGAACGTGAAGCGGGTGCCTCCTCTCTCTCCTTCCCGTGGGTAACTTTGGTGACTTACTGAAAGTTGGTGGTTTTGTTAGGGGGAAAAGGATGTCCTAAAGCTAATTCCATACAGGCTTTGTGGACTCCACCCCCACCCCAGGCCAAAACCAAAGACACTGGGAACTCCAAATCCCATCACCACCAAAGGGAAGGTGGCTGGGACCTGAGGGTGGGGTTAAGCAGCCAAGTTGGTATAAAGGCAGACACGTGGGCTTTGGGGGTCCCCATTTTGGCTCTCCGCCAGCTCGCAGCATCCGGCCAGCTCTGAGAGTGACTTTGGGTTTCCAGGTCGGGGGATCGGGTAGGACGCATTAAAGACTTTATTTCCCTATTTTCTCCCTGAGTTGTACATTTTCCTTATTTCCTTTTCCCTTGTAAATAAACCCTTTATTAACCTTTTGTGTATTAATAAGTCCCTTTTAAGCTCTCGGGGGAGGACCCACAGCCAGGAACCCGTTCAATATTGGGGCTGTCCTATAACAGTTTCAGTGGAAAGGTGAGGGTGGTGTTTTTGTTTTCGCTGCCAGGCAATCAGCTTTGTGTGGTCTCAAAAACAGCTGGCATTTGTTGAATCAGAATGCATATATTTGGTGAATTATGAAGACATTAAACATTGTCTATTTGGTATAGTAACGTGGGATAAGTCGAGGAAATAAAAGGGAATACATGGGGAAAGCTGTTTCAATGGTGGAATTATAAGTGCATATTTCTTTTTATTTATTTATTTATTTTAAGATTGATTTATTTATTTTATACAAGAACCGGGGTATAGGTCAGATGCGCCGGAGGGTGAGAGGATTCACCGGAGACAGAGTGGGGAGCAGAATAGGCAGATGGACTGAAATACACTGCTGAGGGGAGCAGCGGCGAGACAGGCGAGGTCAGCCGCTCCAGGGATCGAACTCGTGCTGCAGTGGCTGGCTGCTGCTAGCTTCACAGTGCTGACAACCCCTTGCGCCACCAGGGAGGCCTGAATATCTCTTTGAAACCTTTACTTCAATCATATAATTGAAACAACCAAAAACCTTTTTCTTTCTTTCTTTTTTTTTAAAAAAGAAACTGTCCTGCTCTGAAGGCGACATTCACTTTCCTCCACACGTCGCTTTCCGCCTCCGCACAGAGGCGTATTGGGCCCACCCGGCCACCGTCCACAGGGTGGGCCAGCCCAGTTCCTGCTGGCGCAGCGAAGACCTCCGCCCTCCGCTCCCAGCGCTCCCTCCAGCCCGGAGCCTCCGCCCCGGCCCCGCCCCACGCCCTTGCGCCTGCGCATGGACGAACACGTGGCTACCGCGAAGCCAGAGCAGCAATGGCGGCGGGCGGCGGCGGCGTTGCGGACCCCCTGTCCCCGGCGGGGGTCCCCTGCGCCTTCTCCCCGCAGAGCCAGGCCTACTTCGCTCTGGCGTCCACCGACGGCCACCTGCGGGTGTGGGAGACCGGCAGCAACCGGCTGCACCAGGAGTACGTGCCTTCCGCGCACCTCAGCGGTACCTGCACCTGCCTGGCCTGGGCGCCCGCGCGGCTGCAGGCCAAGGTAAGGCGAGCGGGGCGGCGGGGGGCGGGCGCCCCCCGGGTCTCGGTCTGGGCTCCCCCTGACACGGCGGCGCGTGGCCCCGCATCGCGCGTGGCGGCCGGCCGCGCGGGGCGCGGAGCTCGGAGCGCGGCGGCAGCGTGGACTGGGCCCGCGCCGGCGGCCCCGCGTGCGGCCTGGCCCCGGGCCCTGCGAGGGGGCGCGGTGGGGCGCTCCGAGCCTGGGGCCTGAGCCCCGCCGGCGGGCTCCACGCGGCCCGCGCCCCGCGCCCGGCTGTCGCCATGTTCGCGAAGGCCCCCGGCCCTCCAGGGGCGACTTCCTCCGGCCAGGCCTCGCTCCTCGGCGTGCGCGCTTCGGGGCTCGGGCTTTTGACAGAGCCGGGGTTTGAAGGTATGTTACCTTTCTACGACCCCCGACTCAGTTCATCGACTTTGCCCGGGGTGGTTGGCATGAGCTAGTCTGTTTCCTGGCTTCCGGGCTGCCCCCCCACCCCGCACCCCTGCCACCCTCCGGCACCCCGCTTGGGTGCCGGCTCACCACGTGTTCCCGGCCACGTTCTGGACGCGGACTCACTTTTGAAAAATCGGTTGTCCCAGGCTGGTTTCTATTTTCTTTTAAACATTCTTCCCTTTTTATTTTTTACTGTCTGCTCCGCTCTCCCTTTATATACCCTTTCCTCCCTCCCCGCCTCCCAAGTCTGAAGTTTGCATTGAGCTGTGAAGATGAAGTGAAGCAGTTTAACTTAAGAGTCTAGTGAAGTTTCTCTACGGATGCTGAGTTAGGCAAGGCGTTTCACTGTTAGGGACCCATCTCAGGTATCTCATTCACTGTTGTGTCACTGCCCTACACTCACGCACGTGGTATAACTGCAGGATAGGGTAGTCACACCAAATCACTCCAAAGTGATACATTAGAATCCGGTATTGTGAGGTGTGTGTCATTTAGCTGAAAGCATATGTGACACCTCAAAAGCTGATATTTAGGACAACGCTTAAGTCCATCTAAGGATTGGGGAACTTTCTGCTAAATTCTGAAGATGGAAATAAGGATACATTTATTTCATTGATTATACTTTGGGAGAGTGTATTTACATATTTCCAGATTTTAAGCTAGATTTCAGTTTTTAGATGAAGTGACTCTTACTGACTAGTAAAAGAAACCTTGTCTAGGTTGTCTCTAGCATAAAATTTGCACTTAACAGTTGTTGTTAGCATTGCAGCACTCTGCACATTCTTCCTTTTCAAAGTTTTCTGCTTGTCTTTTAACAGCCCTGTAAAGTGATATTACTAATCATAATATTGAATGTTTATTAATATATTGAGGGGAAATATGGAGCAGTGGTTTGTTACACACCTGACCCAAGCTATAGTGCTTATATTTGAATCCAAACTTTGCTTCATGGTAGAAGTTATGCTTCTAATTCACCAATTGTAAAATGGGGATACTAGTACCCACTTCATTGGGTGATTGTGGAAATTTAATGTTTTTAAAATAATGAATGAAGCATTTTGAATAGTTCTTGGTGTTTAAGTGCAGTAAGTGTTAGTTGTTACTCGTATCTTACATTTGTTTGGCTAGTTCTTCAAGTTAGAGAAGGATAAACTTCTTACCTTGTTCGGGAAGAAAAACTGAGGCTCTGCAAAATTAAGCAACTTGCATAAAACTAAAAATGGAACCAGGACTAGAATTAAGATTTTTAAAGTGTAGTTCTCTATTAGCTGCAACAAATAGTTAATATTAGGCTGGCAAGATTTTGTTAACCCACTTTGATTATTTGTTGACTTAGCCACACTTTATGCCTCAGGAAAAAAAGTTTGCGATTATACAGAACACTGACACAGTAGGAAGATATCTGGATTTGGTTTCATAAATAGAACTTTTGCTTTTGTCACACTGAACATAACATTTAATTTGGCGGCCCTCACTGAAAAATGAGAGTTGGGCATCAGAAAAAAGTTTCTGTGGATATCAGAATCCTTTTGCCTATATGCTTTGATTTTAGTCAAACAATTGTGAAATGGCCTGAAATTATTGCACTTACATTACGTTATTACATTTAAAAAAACTAATTGTGAATTAGAAATAAGAAAGTTGGAACGAGTTGACCAGGGCCTTAATAAGCAATAAAATACTGGGTTGTTGGAAAAGTTATGGTGCTTTTTTTTTTCCCCCTCCATATTTTTCAAAGAAAAAAATACGTCATGACTTTTCCGACCACCCAGTAGTTGTGGCCACAAGAGTCTCGGTACAGTGAATTAACACTGTCACCCTAGATCTTGAGGTTCAGAATTCAGAGTAGGGAGGAATGTGGAGCTGTCCAGTCCTCATAATTTTGGGATTAGTTTTACTTGAAAATTAGGGAGCAAGGCAGTTTTCCTGGATTAAAACAACCTTAACCTGTTTTATGGTGTAAATTCAAAAGTCCTGTGATTTTTAAATATAGAAAATAGTGTTTTGTAGCAACTTCTTCATCTTCTCTCAAGTCCTTTGAGTCCTTGAGGTTATATGATCCTTGCCACTTAAATTTTAAGATGCTCTTATCTTATTGGGGCTTTAGAGTATGAGACACCAAAAGGATGTTATTCTGAAGCCCATGTTCTGGCATCTTAAGATTTTGGCTTATGGCATATTCTTAAATATGAAATGGACATTATATTAAATAAGGGTTTTTTAGGACTAATTAAGGGAATATATGTGAATGGCGCAACTTGGCCTGGCATGTATGTGCTCAGTAAAGGTTAGTTGTTATTGAATGAATCTGGGAATTCCACATAGGTATATCTACCACTTTACTGCTACATTTCTCAACGTAAATCAGTTTGTGAGAGTATCGTACAGTAGTTAGCATTTGCCACCCAAGGATGTTTAGTGATGTTACTCTTAGCAATGGGAAAAAAATAAATTGATGCTTGATTTCTTGAGTAACAGGAATTAAATATGGCTCATAAATGCAGAATGGTTATAATATGGTTACTTTGCATTTATGACACTAAAGTTTTTCTAGGGTTATACAAATTTTATAACTGAGTATTCCATTTAACTGATGGAGCCTGGGAAAAAAGGACCTCTAATGATGAAAAAGCAAGGAGACAAATTGATGGACTTAGATGAATGCTGTTTTCAGATCACTTCACTTTATATGTGTAAACAGGCTAAAATGGGAAATGATAGGCCAAAGTCACATAGTAAATAACTGAGCCACCTAGGGATTGATCCTACTACTTCATTTCTCCCTTAAATCTTGAAAACTGTTCTCTTTTTTTCTCCCTGATTACTGTGGCACCCTGGAAAACAGACCTTCTCTTCCATTGACTACCATTGTAAAGGTACTTACGCTGATGTGTTGTCACTGTAGTTAAGATGACTCCAGAAAGCTTACTCCTCATTCAGCAAAGCACATGGCATTTCAAATGATGGACAGAGCAAGCACAGTTGCATCAGGGATGTTTCTAGGGAAAAAATGAAGTCAGTATCATGTGGCATAATCCATTGTGGTCCTGTATAGTGTTCTCTCTCTCTCTTTTTTTTTTAAGATTTATTGATTTATTTATTTATACAAGCACTGGGTACAGTCAGAAGCGCGGGAGGGTGAGAGAATTCACCAGAGCCAGAGCGAGGAGCAGAGCAGGCAGAAGGACCGAAGTACACTGCTGAGGGGAGCAGCGGGCGGCAGGAGAGGTCTGCGCGCCATGCGGGACCCTCCTCCAGTGCCTGGGGAGCAGCCGGGGATCGAACCGGCGCTGCAGAAGGCCGTGGGCAGCTTCGCAACCCAGCGCTCAACCGCTGCGCCACCGGGGAGGCCCTATAGTGTTCTCTTAACATCTCTCCAGTCTTAGACTTCAAAAGAAGGGACAATTTGCAGATTAGATTCCATTGGGAGAAACAGACGTTCCTACGTGTTAGAATTTAATTGATTTTGCTATGAAGGCTATATAGTTATTTGCAAAATGCACATATTTTTGTCTACTGTTATCCATGAAACTTAAACATATGCCAGGGTAAATGACAGTAAGGTAGACCAAAAAATGGCATAAGAGACATTGTAGAATGAAACTTGAAACTTTGGCATAATTTTCAGTCTAGAGGTCATTATTTTTGAAAAATAGGTTCATTATTTTTGAAAAATAGGTTTTGATCTATTAGTGGATTGTGAAATAGATTCAGTAGGTTGTGACAGCATTAAAGCAATGAAACAAAATATCAGAGTGTCCTTTGCATGGTAAGAATGTTTTTCTGTGAAGCTTGTTTCAGTAATATATACATGTTTCTGTGAGTGTGTATGGAATCTGTATAGTACTCTTCTTACTCTGGGATCTCAGTGTAGAAAGTTATTCCTTATTGATCCAGTTCAGATTTCTCATCGCCTAGGAGTGTTTTTTTTTCTCTGTCTTCACATCTATACTACTCCTTCAGTCAGATTCTCACTTGGCTTTCTAATTACCTTCTGGATCAATGCTGATAGGCTGTCATCCAACCTGTTATGATATTTTTATTGCTTAGTTCTGTCAGACCTTCATATTGGAAGGTCTTATACGTTTTAGTATAAGAAATCACAATCCTTTTGGTCTTCACTGCTGGTACCTTCAGAAACTCAGATTCTCCAGTCACAAATATATGAACTAAATTTTTAACTTAGCCTTTTCATTACTTTATATATAATATTTACATTTATAGTTAGTGTACACATGACATTGTACTAGGCATGTTAGAGGAAACAAAACTGAACGTGATTAAGACATAAAAATAAAGGTAATTCAGCAGAGTATGCCGTGTGTCTTAAGAGAAAAAGGGCTTGTGGAGATGATACTTGAGGTGGACCTGAAATATGGATATATTTTCAACCAAATGAAAGTTGAAAGGTGAGTGAGGAAAGGCCCCTCTAACTGGAAGGAAAAACAAAAAGTGGGAGAGTATTTGTGATTAGGGAGTGTAATATAAAGATGGAATTAGCAATAAGACTAGAAAATGTGGGGTAGAGGCAGATTATGGGTGCTTTTGAATGCCAGAGTTGTGATAGTGATTCTCTGGGAAGTTACTGAAATTTTTGTTCACAGGAATAACTGGTTCAGATTAAAAATGCCAGCAAACTTCTATTGTAGTCTCTAATCATGAGTAGCACTAAACTCGTTTCAGAAATATTTTGTACGAGGCAATACTTAAAATACTAGGTTTCACGAAAATGCACATTGGTTGTATAAACTTTTTATCAGGCTGACCTTTTTGGACAGTCTCCTCTTGCTGAATGGGAATTTTTTTAAAAAAGATTTATTTATTTATGCATACAAGAGCTGGGATGCAGGCCAGAGGCACGGGGGTGAGAGGATTCACTAGAGACAGAGTGGGGAGCAGAATAGGCAGACTGACTGAAATACACTGCTGAGGGGAGCAGCCGGGGAGACAGGAGAAGGTCTACAGTGCCATGTGGGTCAGCTCCCGGGCCTGGGATCAAGCTCATGCTGAAGTGGCTGCAGATAGCTTCATAGTGCTGTGACTTAACCCCTTGCGCCTCCAAGGAGACCCCCTGAATGGGATTTTTTTTTTTTTTTAATTCTCTGAGAAAATACGCATGAGTCAATTCTTTGAGATTAAGTAATTGAAATATTTAGGGTTAGCCCAGTGAACCTCAAATTTGTGTATAGAGATTTTACTGTTAGTAAAATTAGGACTTTGAATATCTAAGTGTTTAATTTCTGAGATTTATTTGTGCTTCTTTTTTAAAAAAAGACTTATTTTTATTTATTTATACATACAGGAACTGGGTGTAGGCCAGAGGTGCGGGCGTGAGAGGATTCACCAGAGAGAGAGTGGGGAACACAACAGGCAGACTGACTGAAATACACTGCTGAGGGGAGCAGTGGGCGAGCCAGGAGAGGTCTGCTGCACCATGTGTGTAGCTCCATGGTGGGGGTTGGAACTCGTGCTGCAGTGGCTGCAGATAGCTTTGGAGTGCTGGGACTTAACTAACCACTTGTGCCACCAGGGAGGCCTTGTTACATCTTTTTTGTTGTTGTTGCTGACCTAAATGACTCTGATGAATCAAATTCTGCAGATGTAACATCCTCATAAGATAACTAAAAGAAAATGGAAACTGGTTTGTAAATCCGTTTGACATTCTTTCTGCACCTGATGATAACATAGTTTCCATTGATGGTTTTTGGGATGGATTAATTTTTATATATCCTACAATTGTGTGTGTGTGCTGTAGAGGAAGATCTTGGGCTGTTGAGTAAATGTTGTCTTTCCTGAGTTATTGTTCTTTTCTGAACTAAAAGAATGGATTTCTCAGTGCTTCTTTATCTGAAACATAGACTAGCAAGTGCTAACTTAAAAAGTCATAAAGGGGGACCTCCCTGGTGACGCAAGAGGTTAAGATACAACCTATGAAGTGATATGCAGCCTCTGCAGCACAAGTTACATCCCCAGCCAGGAAGCTACTCAAATGGTGCAGCAGACCTCTCCTGCCTCGCCTGCTGCTCCCCTCAGCAGTGTATTTCAGTCAGTCTGCCTGTTCTGTTCCCTACTCTGTCTCTCTTGAATCCTCTCACCACCCCCACCCAACACCTCTGGCCCTTACCCCAGTTCTTCTATGCATAAATAAATAAATCTTTAAAAAAAAAATTAAAAAGTCATAAAGGGCCTCCCTGGGGGTGCAGGGGTTAACATCTCAGCACTATCAAGCTGTAGCCCCTACACGGTGCAGCAGAGCTTGCCTGTCTTGCCCACTGCTCCCCACTCTGTCTCTGCTGAATCCTCTCACCCCTGTGACCTATACCCCCATTCTTGTATGCATAAAAAATAAAAAATCTTTAAAAATCATAAGCATGGAAGAGAAGTTATGAAATTCTAAGTAAAATTTCATCATTATGAATTCTGATGTGGAATTCTAAAGCTGTGATCGTTAATTTCCTTTTTGATGGATACACAGGAGCTGTTCGTATCATTTGGCATAAACTAAAGGAGCCTTGTGGATTTGATCTGAGCATCGGTTGAGACTTGTGCCTCTTAAGAGTCATTAGAACCACCACCACAGTGTAGCTTTAGACTATCACTGGAGCAATTTTTCTAGTCTGCTCTCTGCTGCTTTACTTGCTACAACTGATTGTTGAGTGAAATTGAAGTAAATGCATTTTTATCAAAATAAGAAAACATTTGCATCACTTTTCCTGAAAACTAAGCTAGAGTGCAAAGAAATATTAGGAGGAGAGATGAGGATCTTTGGCTTCTTGGGTGTGGCTCTATAATAATCTGCTTGGAATGCTTCATTTGGACCTGTCAAGAGTGGTTGGTTTCTGATAAGTGGGAACAGCAGTGAGAGCTATCTTATTTGCACCTTCTTTCCAGAGAGGCAGGAGACAGAATTATGAACATCTCCTCTTCCCGTTGGAGTGATTTTTATTTTGGTAGTGAGGAAGAAATCTTCTGAGAGTCTTTTTTTTTTTTTTTTAAATATATCAGTAGCATTCACTTTCCTTTTGGGGGCTAGCGGCTATTTGCATTTATGTGTTAGTGATGTTTGTTTGAAACTAAAATGTTTTTTCTTTTTTTTCTAGGAAAGTCCCCAGAGGAAAAAAAGGAAATCAGAAGCTATAGGAACAAGTAACCAGGTTGACTTGTTGGCTCTTGGTACAGCAGTTGGTAGTATTTTATTATACAGTACAGTAAAAGGAGAATTACACAGTAAATTAATAGTAAGTATATGTGTGCATGTATATTTTAATATAAACAAGATGTAACAGGGATGCTGATTATTAGAAATGAGGCAGTTCTGGTTATGCTCTAGAGTCTATACTACAGGGGCATCTTTCTGCTCCTGCATTTAAAATTCTGAATTTTTTGATGATAATTAACATAGGTCAGAAATGAGAAATTGTTGAATAGGCTTAAAGGAAAAGGTAAAAGGAATTCTAAGCATCATGGATAAGAAAGGAGCTCAGTTGAGCAGCTGTTGCTCTTGTTGCTTTTGTCTCTTAAGGAGGAGGCACTAACTGATTCCTGGTATCCCTGAAGGGAGGTGATGAGACTGATTCTCCAGGTTCTAGAAAAATTACGTATTGGGGTCAGCTGTAGCCAGAAGGATGGTCACTGCTGGGGTGAAACAGGGTTGCTGCAGAGACAAAGAAGGAACAAGTCCCTTGTTCTTCCTCCAGGTTGGTCTCCCTCAGCAGCCCCTATTGGTGGCTCCCACTAGCAGTTCATTTGGCAAAACAGAGTGTGGTACAGAGTCCTGATCTCAACATCACAGCAGAGAAAGGGAGGGTTAAGTGCTGTAAGAAAGTAACTTGAGGGGCTTCCCTGGTGGTGCAAGGGATTAAGTCTCAGCAATATGAAGCTGTCAGCAGCCACTGTAGCATGAGTTTAATAGCCAACCAGGGAGCTGACCCACATGGCGCAGCAGACCTCTTCTGTCTCACCCACTGCTCCCCTCAGCAGTGTATTTCAGTAGATCCGACTGTTGCGTTCCCTACCATCTGGTGAATCCTCTCACTTCCCACACGTCTGGCCTACACCCCAGTTCTTGTATGCATAAATAAATAAATCTTTTAAAAAAAAAGTAACTGGCATAATTGTTTCAGACATTGACTATTACTCTATGTCTGTGGTCACTGGATTCCTGTCTGTAATAGGAATAAAACAAGTATCCCTTGATAATTTGGAACTGAGGTTGAAAAAAGATAAAATTTTTTGCTTTATGCATATGTCTGAAAATATAGCTGGATTCTTGCTTATAATTAATGAATCAAAAGGTTTGAGTGTTAGGCTTTTTGTACATAATACATTAAAATTTTTTCCAAAAGTTTACTAATTTATACTTATATCAGCAATGGAAGGAGGACAGTACGTGAATTTTAGTAGTATTGCCACCACTGATTAACTAGTCCCATTAAATGTAGCACTAACAAAATCCCAGCTAATTTGGCAGGTGGAAAATCTTATCTGATTTTTCAATCTGCATTTATACTATGTTTTTATGTTAAAGGTTGTAAAAACATGCAGCTATAAAAATAAAGCAATCACGGATATATATATGTGTGTGTGTGTGTATATATATATATATATACACATACATACACTCATATCAGTATCTAGCTAGCTTGCTACCTGGAAGGGGATTTCCTTTTACACCTCCTCGCTCCTATTTTCCAACCTGAGTGTAGAAATCATAGGGTCTATTTCCCCCCTGTGGTTGGTAGCTTGTCCTTTGATTTGGTCAGTTCTTTGTGGTCAGCAGGTACCTAGATGTATATAGTATGATAACTGCTTTACCTGACTATTGCTGATGGAACCTAGAACTCCTGTGTAAATAATTTCAGTTCCTCAGAGGATTCTACATAAATTTCTTTTTTCCCCCCCAAAGATTTATTTATGCATGCAAGAAATGGGGTGTAGGCCAGAGGTACGTGTGTGAGAGAGAGAAAAAGAGAGAGAGGATTCATTAGAGACAGAGCAGGGAGCAGAACAGGTAGAATACTGAAATACACTGCGCTGGCTATATAGCTTGATAGCACTGTGTCTTAAACCTCTGCACCACCAGAGAGGTCCTCTACATAAATTTCTAGCAGGGAGTGAGTTTATTGAAATGGAACCAAGAAGGTCATGGTCAGAAGTGTTGGGATGTTATGTTGAAATAGAAAGAGACCAAGCTTTGGACCTAGAATGTCTTGAGGTTGATTCTACTAATATGTGATTGTGGATAAGTAGTTTAACTTACCTCTTACGTGAGTATATTATATACCCTGCTTGACTTTTTGAGATTTAGATGTAGTGATATATTGAAAGTGACTAGTAATAGTATATTACGACTGGCATATAATTGATATTTAATAAGTGTTTGTTGAATGAGTAAATGAATGACTGAGTAGGCAGGTTGCTAGATTGCTTTCCAGAGGGCACACTAGCCCCAGCAATGGATGATACTGCCGTTTTTTACTGTAATCTGACCAGCAAAGTAATACATTAAACAAATTGCTGGATTAACAAACTGAAAAGATTATCTTGTTTTGCTTTGTAGCGCTTGGATTAATAACTTTCAAGATAGGTGTATACTAGTGAATTATTTCTATGGAACTTATCTGTTCATATCCTTTGTTCAATTATTTGTATGTCCATAACATAGGACTTAACTCTTTGAGTAGATAACTGATAGGAGGGAAAGGAAAATAACTGAAGGTAACATATAATAATATTTTTCTTTCAAAGTGGGAGCAGTCTATTTGACAGAAGTAGTGATTCATTTTGTGTATATTTAATTTATGTGAATGCAGGTAGAAAGCGACTATAACAGTTGCTGATAGTGTAGGTGATTTACCACTTCAGTTAATGGAGTGACTTTGTCCTGGAATGTGTGTTAAGTGGGGAGGTTTGGATTTATTCTTCCTTGGTTTATATATTTCCCTCTGAGTGAGTGAGCATCTTGGTATGCTGTGTATGTTTAAAGTGTTTTTTATATGATTTGTTCCATAACACAACACAAACAAGAGTGTTTACCTGAAATCAATGATTACTTTATTGATAGATGGAGTTTTTGGTACTTTTTTAAAAGGGGTTTTCAAGGATATTTTTGATTAGACAAATTTTTACCTTGAGTGTTGTTAAATTCTTTAAAAATTCTTTGATTTTTCTAGTTCACTCAAGTGTCAAGCTTTTTGTCACTGTTCATGACGTATTTCATCATAAGTAGAGCTGGTATCCTTGAATTTATGATGTAAAAGTATGTTTTCCACTGAGATGAGAGGTTAATGCTTTGATGAAGTTATAACTGATTTAATTCATTTTTGCTGTTGAAAAGTTAAAATGGGTAGATGTAGGTTAAGATTTTTAAAGTTAGGCTAACGCTTACCATTTTAGATAACTAGTAACAGACTTCATGTTATGTCAGATGAAAATTTTTATTTTTTCTTTCAATATGCAGAACGGTGGGCATGACAACAAAGTTAATTGTATTCAGTGGCATCAAGACAATGGCTGTTTGTATAGTTGTTCAGATGATAAGCATATTGTGGAATGGAATACACAGACATGCAAAGTAAAGTGGTAAGTAACGTTGATGGGTCTGTGGGATTGGAGGGATAACCTGATTACTGTTTGGAAATGCATTTGAGTTTGGCAAATCAAAACTATATTGCCATAGGTGTTGTTTGAACAGTGTGGGGAATGTTGACATTAGGAAAGTTATACATATTTTTGAGGAACTTTAAATCAGATTTCTAAGATATGTGTAAACTACTGCAGTTGTAGTTTATACACTGATTTGGATAAAAGAGAGTTGAGGGAATTCTTTTGAGAGTGGGGAAAGGAGGCGGGGGGGAGATGGCATGAACAAAGGCTAGGAGGAACAGAAGTAAAGGATTTTTTTTTTTAAAGATCTATTTATTTAAACATGAACTGGGGTGCAGGTCTGAGGCATGGAAGGGTAAGAGAATTCACCAGAGACACAGAGGGGAGCAGAACAGGCAGATGGACTAAAGACACTGCTGAGGGCAGCAGTGGGTGAAGCAGGAGAGGTCTGCTTCGCCTTATGGGTTTCTCCCGGGAATCAAACCCGTGCCGCAGAGGCTGCTGACAGCTTCACAGTATGGTGCTCAACCTGCTGTGCCACTGGGGAGGCCCAGAAGTGAAGGATTTACATGGAATTGAGTAGAGAAGGGGCATGCTGGGGTAGTGGCTGGTAGAGACTGTGGGCCAAAGTATCTGTTGTTACAGATCAAAAATTTCAGACAACTCTTACAGTTCAAACTTCCAATCTGTGACTGGCTGTGTGGTGGCTGTTCAGTAAATGTGGACTGTTGAGTGTAGTTCAATTTATTATGTAGATGAGGACCTGATAGAGGATAATGAGGCCCATGGTCCCCCATAGCTAAGAAGTCTCAGAGAGGGAGTTCTGATCCTGCTATCTTGAATTCAGTTTGGTACAGTGTTTTTCTGTTGTACTAAAACTGCTTGGCATGTAGAGTCTATCTGGTGAGTAAAGAGACACTCAAGGTCAGTGTCTTGGGAATAAAGTCACCAAAATAATGATTTTGGGGAAAGTAATCTATTTGCCAGCACTGTGTGGAATACATGGTAAGAAGCTAGTTCAGAAGCACAGGAGCCAGATCCCAAGTGGTGGTTGTAAAATGGTAAGAGTGGGAAGTAAGAATTAGCAACACTTGGGTAGGATGGAGCGGGGATACTGAGTGACCAAAAGGACTTAAAGGTAACTACTAAGTCTTCAACTTGGTGAACTTACTAGGTGAGTAGTGGTACAGTTAAGAAGACTTATATTCAAAAGAGGGAAATTTCAGTTTTCAGACAAATTGATTTTGAAATACCAAGTGAAAGACAGGACCCAGTAGGTGAGGTGGTATAGAGGCTTAGGGAATAGGGTTGTAGGTACAGATGAGTAATAAATCATCTACCTAGAGGTGTAGTAGGTGTTTGTACTCCCTTTATCTGCAGCAGTTTATACACTGATGACTATTAGAAATACCTGTGGGGTTCTCATCCACCAGGTCTGAGTGAGGCCTATCTAACTGTTTTTATGTCTGGATGACAGTTCACAAAAATGATGCCTTTCACTCAGGAACTGATACTTTTCAAGGCACTGTGTAGCACATACACATAGTTGTATTTAATGCTAATGTTGTGAGGGTGGCTTTACCGTATATTACATTTGAGAAACTGCTGTCTCATATGGTACTTGTGTTTCCACTTTCATTCTTGGCATTTTTATGCTGCTAGTAATTGATTTTGTTTTCCATTTTAGATAACTTCCATTGATTTCTTACTAGGGAAGATGAGGATTTAGCTTTCTTAGCCTTTTTTAATTCCCATTCTTAATATTATATCACTTTTTTTTTTAAAAAGATTTATTTATTTAGGCATACAAGAGCTGGGGCACAGGCCAGAGGTGTGAGTGGTGAGAGGATTCACCAGAGATAGAGTGGGGAACAGAACAGGCAGATTGACCAAAGTACACTGCTGAGGGGAGCAGCAGGCAAGTCAGCAGAGAGGTCTGCTGCTTCATGTGGGTTGCTCCCTGGCCAGCCGAGGGATCGAACTTGTGCTGCAGAGGTTGCGGACAGCTTCATAGGTTGCATCTTAACCCCTTGCACCACCAGGGAGGCCCTATATCATACTTATTGATTAAGCAGTATTTATTGTTTATGACTACTTAAATACTTAAGCTGAACCTTAGACTGTACTAGGCTTATACTAACTTTTTGGCAGAGATTTAATATTTGTCTTAAAGTTCACTGGCATATTTTTACATATTCCTGTCATTAGTTCATTCTTGCTTCTATAGTTGTATAAATCATCTCAGCGATTTTTAGACACATCAGTTGAACAGTTATATATTTTGGAGGCTTCCTCTCCATTGTCAGTTGTTTCTTGGAGGACTTGTCTGCCTTCTTCCAAGGTCCATTGAATCATCATCTTGAAAATTCTCTTGTCAGATGGAACCTCTGTTTTCTGGATTCCACTTTTGTCTTCGTTGGTTTAATCCCTCCTTTCGGTGAAATGGCAGCTTCCTGATAAAAGGTGCATGGATGGTACATTTTTGAGATTTTGTTTGTGCCCCCGCTATTATTATTCTACTCTCACAATTGATTGATGGTTTGTAGATACAGAGATTTAGGTGGGAAATAATTTTCCCATGGGATTTTGAAGCATTGGGCCACTGGATTTTTTTTTAAAGTTATCAGGGTTAATTATCCTTAGTATTCTGAAATATCCTGTGACTTTTTACTTTAATGAATTAGATTGGCACCTCCAGGAACCTTTAGTTATAGACTGAAAACTCGTGTCCTTTCTTTTTCTTCCTGTGTATTTGATAATTTTATTAGTTGTGTTTTCTTTGATCTTTCTCTTCTACATGGTAGTTATTTAGATAAAGCATTTCTTGGACTAATCCTTAGAAAAGTTTCTTTTCCCTCCTCTTTTTTCCTTTTGTCTTTTTCTTGTGTTACCTGGGAGATTCCCTCAATTTCATGTACCATATCTAGGGATTAAAAAATTTCTCTTACTGTATTTTTAACTTTCAGGAACTGTTTTTGTTCCTATTTCTTTTTTGTTGCATCATGTTCTTTTCGGTCTTCTTTGAAGACAGAATTTGGATTTAAAGTTTTTTTCTCTTGTGGATGTATTTCGATTTGTTTGATTTTGGTCTCTTTTATGTCAAAGACATTCTTAAAGTGACTAGACATCCTCGACTGCCTAATGGTATTGGAAAATGAAACATTAAAAAGTTGATTGGAAGGCCTTTGTGGGTGTGTGGCTCCATTGTTGGGCTTCCTTTATAAGTGATCGGTGACCTTCAGATGTCAGTGTGTGTATGTCATTTCTCTGGAGCCACATTGCCAGAAGGAATCTTCTGCCTTTTCACTTTAGTGTGTGCATAGATTAGACTTAGTAGGTTTAGATGGAGGTTTGGGCGTCTTAGTTCTAACAGGTTTCTAGTTCCTACTCAGGGTTACACTTTGAGTTGCAAAGCTGTTAATGGGGACGGGAACAGGGTGTGTGTGTGGTGGAGGAATGTGGTGGTATTAGCTTCTGCACTGGCATTTTCAGAGATAAAGTGGGGAAGTAGATTTGGAAGTTGTCATGGTGGGAATTATCTTTTTTATAATTGTCAGAGCAGTGATAAATTTTGAACAGTGACTGTGAGAATTGATAAGATATTGTCAAAATGTTGGGAACCAATAAGGGAAAAATAAAAGTTTTCGCATAATAATGCTGCATTTTTCTTTATTATTGAGGTTGAGCGGTTTTCTATTTATCAACAATTGGTATTTCTGTGAATTGCTTGTGTATATCCTTTGTCTAATTTTATTTTGAATTCCTGAACTCAGGGAGCCATTTCTTGAATAAAAAGAGCTATTTATGTATTCTGAATATTCATCATTTGTCTAAAGTCTATATCTGATATTTTCTGCCAGCATTTTGGTTTTACTTTAATTTGTGACTTTTTTTAGCAACTTTATTTGTGTATAGTATAAAATAAGAATGTAATGTTTTTTTAGAATTGAGTAATTTGACATATTAACTGACAAAATTACATTCTTCCAACTTCAGAATTAACTTGGTGATATGATTGATACTATTTGTTGTTTTTATAAGTGAGTAGCAAAACTGTTACTGTAATAGCAACAAACTGCAAAGACCATGCTGCTACTCATATTTGAGGCATTAGGAAGGCATCAGACTGTGCTCATCTATGTGGATTTGAGATAGAAATAACCCATTTGATCTGTAGCATGAGGACTCGCTTGTGTTGCTCAGTAAATTAAAGCTCACTTCCAGAAGATACAGGAGCCACGATGAGAATGTGACAAACTCTCAGAGGTATAGCCAGCATGCCATATTATGGACCACAGAATACACAACTACTCATGTTCCATTCTTGTAACGCGTTCTTGTGCTTTTTTTTTTTTTTTAGCACCTTTTGGGAATCATAGTCCTCTCAGGGAGGCTTTACCTTAGTAATACGTCCAAGGTTAGCGGACACAAGCTTTAAGGAAATGCAATTTGGAATACAACCATAGGTGGTCTTTTTAAAAAAATTTTTTTTTAATTTTTAAAAAAGGCTATTTATTTATTTATTTATACATACAAGAACTGGGGTACAGGCCAGAGAGCGCAGGAGGGTGAGAGAATTCACCAGAGACAGAACGGGGAGTAGAACAGGCAGAGCGGGGAGTAGAACAGGCAGAACAATGGAAAACACTGCTGAGGGGAGCAGTGGGCGAGACAGGAGAGGTCTGCTGTGGCATGTGGGTTTCTCCCTGGCCAGCCGGGAATCGACCCCACACTGCAGAGGCTGCGGACAGCTTCACGGCGCTGCTCTCAACCCGCTGCGCCACTGGGGAGGCCCAATCTTTTTTTTTTTTTTTTTTTTTTAAAGGACTTTTTATTTATTTAGGCTAGAGGTGCGGGCAGTGAGAGGAGGATTCACCAGAGAGAGTAGGGAGAAGAACAGGCAGATATACTGAAATACACTGCTGAGGGGAACAACAGGCAAGACAGGAGAGGTCTGCTGCGCCATATAGGTTATCTTCTTGGCAGGGATCAAATTCATGCCGCTGTGGCTGGCAATAGCTTCATAGCACTGAAACTTTAACCCCTGTACCACCAGGGAGGTCCCATAGGTGGTATTTTTAATGACTGATTTGCTTTTTGTTTTTTTACCCTGAATGGTTTTCTCCCCATTTATCAAGATACTTGTTTTCCTTCACAATACAGCAAATGGAAAGGTGACAACAGCAGCGTCAGTTCTCTGTGTATCAGCCCAGATGGAAAAATGTTGCTTTCAGCTGGTCGAACAATCAAACTATGGGTTTTGGAGACCAAAGAAATCTACAGAGTGAGTGAATCAAATTGGTTGTAAGCATAATAGTCATGTATAGTAAGTATGGAAAAAGGTAGAAGTCAGAGCTGTAGACTATTTTATGAAAACAGATTCTTCATTTTCAAGTGTATCAAATAGTCAAATAGTACAATTAATGGATAAAAGTTAACTTCCCAAACTTTTTATATGTATCAGATCAGTAAATGGATTGTTAAGTAATGAAAATAATGTTAAATAAGTAGATATATTAATTTCACATGTTTTAATTGGAAAAATGAATTGAACAAATGCATGGAATTTGAATTAATCTCTACAGTAGGCAGTTGTTATGATGATTTTGATTTCTAGATTGCTTCCAGCATTTGGTACACTTGCAGTATTTAAATGGAAATTTAGAATTGCATATTGAGTGTGCAAGGGGTTACTGAACTTTTGGTGCTGTGATGATGCCTTAAAATTGTGGTTTCGACTCACTGAGAGTAAAATGAAGACCTACAATTCCTTGGCTGTGTCTGAGCACCGAAGTGCCCCTTTAAAAATGGAGAAATTAAAGTGAATCTTGAGCTAAAAAAAAAATCTAAGAAATAAACATTGTGGGATAGATTCATGGGAGTTAGAAGGACATCTAAATTTTTGGAGGGAGTTTTTAAGAAATGGCTCAAATAACTTCAATTGCATAGACTTAGATTTAACTGTTACTCCTGATTCAGATATGTATCATATATGATACATGGAATTTTAATTTTTATTACTGTTTTGTATCCATTCTCTTCTAAATGAGATATAATTTTTTCTAGCACTTCACAGGACATGCAACTCCAGTTTCATCACTTATGTTCACTACTATTAGACCTCCTAATGAGAGCCAACCCTTTGATGGAATTACAGGTCTTTATTTCTTATCTGGAGCAGTACACGACCGGTTACTTAATGTTTGGTATGTAATCTGGTTTTGAATTTGGGAGGTAATTTTGCTTTGAAAGAACTGGTCGCAGTTATGTGGTGGTTAATAATAAATGATGAGTATGAGACTTGCTTTACCGTGTTAATGTTAGAATTTACGTTAACTTGTAATAAAGAATTGTGTTTTCCTAAAAACAATTCCTTAGGAGAAAAATTTAAAAGCATTGTATAATAGAAGGTTCTCCATGCTTGTTTAGAGGTGGAGTCAACTGAGCATTTTTGCAATTGGGCAGTTTCAAAATAACTTTTCCCTAAAACTTAAAAAGAAAAATAAAAGCTTTGATTTTGTTGAAATGGGTGACCTCACTGGGTTAGTGCAGTAATGTCTATTTAGTGCTGGATTATTGAGGACATGAAATTCCTTGACTATGTCTGACCGTTCCCAACTTTTTTGCAGTAATTGCTGTTATTAATTCCTTTGAAACTACTTTTAAAAGCAAAAATAATTTGACATTAAAGGACCATCAAAAAGTTTTTAAATTTAAGAAATATAAGGGATTTCTTGCTTTCCATTTGATGTTGAATTTAACTTTTTTAACTTGCTGTTCATGGACAAATAAGTAGAGATTTAAAAACAAAAGTTGTTTCCTATTCAAATAATCAGTTGAGTCTGCTCTCTTGACCAGATAAAAGTTATTATAATTTATAACAAATACCACTGATGGAAAGAGTCATCAATCAAATATGTAATCCTTAAAGTAATTGTGTCAGGAGAAAGCTTATGAGGCCAAATGTGAACCTTTGTTCACCTTTAAAACCATTCATCGAGTGATTGTTCTGATTATGTCTCAGTCAAACTGAGTTGATTTTCTATTCTGTGTTTGGTATGAGGAGCACCTACTAGGATAATTTCTGTTAGTTTTAGAGTTTTTAACACTTACATAATAAATTAGTATTGCTGAAAACTTAAAATGTCAACTGTAAATGCTTCATCTCTTTAACTTCCTAGACAAAGGGTTCTCTAGCTACAAAATTCTACCTGTAACAGACAAATTGATTTCTGTTGTTTTAAAATCTTGAAAATGGTATGTTTATGCCTGGAACTTCCTAATAACAGAAGAGTAAATTTAAAAAACAAATGAAAAATCCACATTGAAAAAGTGCCTGAAAAGACCATTTTTATGAAACTCCAAAAACTTTTGTGTTTTGGTAGGTAGAGCAACTCCTAAGGTTCCCTCATGGTTACCTTTCAATGACACATTCTGCTTAGGAAGTAACATTTAAAGACTTACTGCCACTGAATGAAGATTAAAAAAATAACCCTTTTCTATTACTCTAAGGAGCTAGTACTTCTTTTGATGGGCTGAGGTAGCAGTTTCTTGTGTGTATAGTCATCTGATGGCAGTGATTTTGAATGATTTCATGTTAGAATGGATCTTCAATTTATTAAGAATTTATTATATATGAGAGCATTTAGAGTTTATCAGATCATCTCTTGTTTCTACATGAAAAATATTGAAAGGCTTTTAATGGTAAATATATAGTTTTACTAGTTGATTAAAAGGAAGCTGAGTTTAAATGATATTTGTAAATCATGTTTGAACTCTTCATATTATTTGTGCCTAGGTTTTTTTAATAATCACTTTGTTGAGGAATAATTGACGTAAACTACACATATTTAGGGCATGTAATAACTTCTTGGGTTTACACACACATACACACACACACGGCCTCATGAAATCATGGCCATTGTCCCATGTGCATTGCTTTTAAGAATTTCCTCATATCCCTTTGTAAGCCCCCACCCCACCCCAGTCTCCGGACTTGTTGACATGTTTGGGACATTATAATTGTTTTGGACATTTGTATACAAGTGTTTTGTGGACATACCTAGATGATAGGATAGTTGTATGTATTTACTTTTTAAAGAAATTGCTGAGTGCTTTTAAAGTGGTTATATCATTTTATATTCCTGCCAGCTGTGATAGAGTTCTAATGTCTTCATATCCTCACTGACATTTGATAAGATCATTTAATTTTTGCCATTCTAATACTTGTGTAGTGATATCTCATTGTGGTTTGAATTTGTATTTCCCTAATGGTTATTGATTTTGAGAATCTTTCATGTGCTTATTTGCTATATGGATATGTTCTCTGCTGAAATGTCTGTTCAGATATTTTGGGCTATTTTTTTATTGGGGTTTATTCTGAATATTAATCCTTTATCATATTGCTTTGATAATATTTTTCAGTCTGTGGGGGGGTGTGTGTGTGTGTAAAAACAACGGTATAGGCAAGAGGTGGGGGTGGTGTGAGGGCTGGTGAGAGGATTTACCAGAGACAGAGCAGGGAGCAGAACAGGCGGAGCTACTGAAATACACTGCTGAGGGGAGCAGCAGGCGAGACAGGAGAGGTCTGCTGAGTCATGTGGGTTAGCTCCCTGCATGGGGATCGAACTCAGGCCATAGTGACTGGCAATAGCCTGGTAGTGCTGAGACTTAACCCCTAGGCCACCAGGGAGGACTCTGTGGCTTATATATATATTTTTTTAAGATTTATTTATGCATACAAGAGTTGGGATACAGGCCAGAGGTGTTGGGGGTTGAGAAAATTCACCAGAGACAGAGTGGGGAGCAGAACAGGCAGACTGACCGAAGTACACTGCTGAGAGGAGCAGTGGGGTGAATCAGGAGAGGTCTGCTGCACCATGTGGGTTGCCCTAGGCAACACTTCTGTGTTTTGGGACCATTTTAAACAGTGAAATTACTGACAAAAAGCAAACAAAAATGTGGCACTAAGTAGATGGCAAAAAAAGTATTTGTAGTATGAAAGCTAAAATAAGAGGGCAGAACTTAGATTTGCTTATAATCTTGTGTTTGTGTCAGGCAACTCTTTTTCTGGGCATGCCTGTTAAAGACCATGAAAGAGCCACAAATACTAACTTTGGAGGCTACAAATAAACTTTAGCCAGCAGGTGACTTCTCAAAGAATCAATGAATACTGAGGATAATTTGCATATTATGAGTGTTTCTGGACAGTAGATTTTCTTGGTATTGCTATGATGTTATTCTCAAGTTAATCTATAGCTTAAATCCAAACCCAGTCAAAATCCCAATAGACTTTATTTTAGAAATGGACAATCTGATTTTAAGATTCAAATGAAAGTACGTAAGACAGAATAGCCAATGCAACTTTGAAAAAGAAGAGAAAGTTGGAGGCTAAACATTGATTTCAGTACCTCCTGTTGGCCTACAGCAACGAAGACAGTGTGGTGTTAGCATGGAGGCAGACAAATAGATGGGTGAGAAGAATAGAGAATGTTACTCATTGTTTCGGTCTCCACAGTGCATTAGTGCTTTCTCTTTTTCCACACAGCCATGTTTCATGATGACAGCCATGTTTTATCCCTTATCTTGGTCTTTTGTCACCTTACTTTCAAAAGATGAAAATGTTGTGTGGGTATCCAATGCTATAACTCTTTCTGACTCTTTAAGTGTTTGCCCTTTTTTTAAAAAAGAAAAATCTTTTATTACCTAATTATTGTTTTATTATCTAGGCAGGTCCGGTCAGAAAACAAGGAAAAGAATGCAGTGATGTCATTTACAGTTACAGATGAGCCTGTCTATATTGATCTGACGTTGTCTGAAAACAAAGAGGAGGTAAATGGCTTGAATTTTGAAATTTGTTTTGAATTTTCACAGGCATCATCTTTATTTATTTATTTATTGAAAAGTTTATTTATTTATGCATAGGGCAGAGGTGCAGGGGGTGAGAGGATTCACCAGAGACAGAGTGGGGAGCGGAACAGGCGGATTGACTGAGACAGGAGAGGTCTGTTATTTCATGTGGATTAGCTCCCTCGCAAGGGATGTTATTTCATGTGGATTAGCTCCCTCGCAAGGGATCGAATTCTGCTGCAGTGTCTGCTGATAACTAATTAGTGCTGAGACTTAACCCCTTGCACCACATATGCCCCATAGGCATCATTTTTAAATCAGGGTTTTTTTTTTTTAATTTATTTTTTATTTTATTTTTTTTTAAGATTTATTTAATTTATACAAGCACTGGGTATAGTCAGAAGCATGGGAGGGTGAGAGAACTCACCAGAGCCATAAATTTATATAAATATAAATTTATATTTATATATATATATAAATGTCTTAAACTCTTTGAAGTAACCATTAAATTTGAGTGATGTGCTCTTACGAGGGGTGGTCACTTTGCTCGTCTAACTTCAGACTGCATCTCTGCATCTCCTTGACCGTTATCTTCCTTGTCTAAATTTTTATTTGAAAGCTTGACAGCAACAATAAGAATCGTTACTATGATAACAGTAATTATATTTTAGAAGCAAGAATTGTGCATTCTTGTTGTTCTATTTCTCTGGCTAAGGGAGGGGAGAGGTGAGGAGAGTTGAATTTTCTTTTTTCTTTTTTTTTTTAAGATTGATTGATTTATACAAGCACTGGGTACAGTCAGAAGCATGGGAGGTTGAGAGAATTCACCAGAGCCAGAGCAGGGAGCAGAACAGACAGACTGATGAAGTACACTGCTGAGGGGAGCAGCAGGTGTGGCGGGAGAGGTCTGCGCGCCATGTGGGACCCTCGCCGCTGGCCGGGGATCAAACCGGCGCTGCAGAGGCTTCAGGCAGCTTCGCAGTCCAGTGCTCAACCGCTGTGCCACTGGGGAGGCCCAGAGAATTGAATTTTCATAAGTAAAATTTCATAAGTATGAATTTCATTAAAACCAAAACAGCAACCAAGTAATTCTCAAATGTGTAGGCTGAAGTACCAAACCCAGTAGAGTAATCAGACATTTTTCTTTTAGCCTGTCAAGTTAGCTGTTGTTTGCAGAGATGGTCAAGTTCATCTTTTTGAACACATATTAAATGGGTAAGTTTTTGAAGTCAAAAATGTATTTTTTTCCTTCCCTAGGTTGTTATTTTTTCATATTCCCACCATCATATACTTTGCATTATATTTCTTTTCAGTTACCTTGTCTTGAAAGCATTCTTAATTCTTTATGTGTTTGGGTACTCAAGAACTGAAGTTTTTAGAATCTTGTGGATTGGATAGGAGAGTGACTTTTTGTCATGTATGCTTAGTAAATGTTGGTAATTCTAATGATACATTTTAAAAGAAAGTGGTTCACTTGGAGATATTTGTTTTGGAACTTTGGTGAAGGCTTAAATTTTGTCTTTGGTATTGCTTCTCCTTGCCACATACATTGGATCAGTGAAGAATCGCAGTGCTGGTGTTTAGGTGGACAAAAGGGGAGCATTGCTGGGAGGACATACAGAAGTGGATTTTATTTATTTTTAAAAGATTTATTTATTTATGCATACAAGAGCTGGGATACAGGCCAGAGTTGTGGGGGGTGGGGTGAGAAGATTCATCAGAGACAGAGTGGGGAGCAGAACAGGCAGATCTACTGAAATACACTGCTGAGGGGAGCAGCGGGCGAGACAGGAGAGGTCTGCTGCACCATGTGGGTAGCTCCCTGGCCGACTGGGAGGCTGCAGATAGCTTCACAGTGTTGTTCTTAACCCCTTGTGCCATCAGGGAGGCTGACAATTGATTTTAAAACTCAAGTCTCCACTGAATTCTGCTCTCTGGAGCGGGTAACATTTTGGTGTATAACACTTGAGACCTGTATTTACCTAGTTACATGAATCCATGGAATATATGATTGTAGGCCCAGGCATTGTGGGCCATCATGAGGACTTGGGTATTTATCCTTTGGGATAATAGTAAGCCATTGAAGAATTTTAAGCAGATAAATGATAGGTTTAACCTGAGTTTTCTGTCATTTTGTCTGATGTGTTGAGAATACTCTATAGAGGCATAAAAACCAAAACAGAGGCCAAATAGAGATGCTTGTAGAGTTACCATACTGTGAATGACTGAGATATGGTGAAGGACAGGATTGGAGGAAGTGTGCAGGTTAAGGGACTGAGAGGCCAAAGTATCAAAAAGTATTCCTGCTGGACAAACACCAAAGAAAGGTGTTCCTAAGGGCTGGTGCTGTACAGAATGACAGTGAGCCAATAAATTTCAAGAAATGTGGGGAAGTGACCCATTGATATTTAGATGATGTCAGGAAGGGGGAGTTAGCTGATTATATGATGACAGTTTCACGAGTTTCAGAGGTGAAAGAGGGAGGGACTAGACTGTTTTGGTGTGTCAGGAGAGAACAAGGAGTTCTCTTAGATCATGTCCAAGGCCCTTGGCACAAAGGGTGTTGGAGAGAAAACAGCTATAACAGGAAGACTACAGGGATGAGCCATTGTAGAGCAGGAAAGTGAAGAGAATCCTTCTAGAAGAAATGGAGGATATAATTTTGCTGATAATTTTGTTTCTGGAACTACATTGCAGAGGTCAAGGTGAGGCTTTCTAGGTTAGGAGTGATTGGAGATGGGGCTGGTCAGATAAGGCATGTACAGAACCATTTGGGGCTGAAGTTTGGGGTAGTGAGAATGCATTTGGGAGCTTGGGCTTCTTGGGGGTGGAATTGACAATGTGGGATGGGAGGGCAGATAGTTCTTAAGGCAGTTTGGTGGTGAAATCATGAATGTTGGCAGGGTGGGGATAGATGAAGTCTTGACAAGTGTCCTCGGCACCCTGGGCCCTCCATATGGTAGTGTTGGAGGGCTGACGAAGGTCACATTTCATGACTTGGTGTCAGCTTCGAAGAATTAGCATGAGTTGTTTCAAATTTTCTAATCTTTAAGTTTTTCATTTCTAGATACTGTAAAAAGCCTTTGACTTCAAATTGCACCATTCAGATAGCAACACCTGGGAAAGGCAAGAAATCAACACCAAAGCCCATCCCGATTCTGGCAGCTGGGTTTTGCTCAGACAAAATGTCATTGTTGCTTGTATATGGCAATTGGTTTCAGCCTACCATTGAACGAATAGTAAGTAGATGTTATTTTAAATGATATATTCTTCTGTTTATTGGAACACATAAGAAGAAAACAATATATTTTTTCTAAACTGAAGAATTTTTCAATGAGTAGTTTATTTCAATTTGTGAGAACGATAATTTTACTTAACCCAATATATTCAAAGTATTATTTTAACATAGAAAGCATTATTTTGGTAGTGTGTCTTTGAAATCTGGTGTATACAGGTGTACCTTGGAGAAATTTCAGTTTCAGACCACTACAATAAAACTAGTCATGTGAATTTTTTGATTTCCTGTAAAAGTTATATTTACACTATAGTGTATAGTGTTGTGTATTCACTGTGCCAATAACATTATGTCTAAAAAACAAACAAACCATGTTACAGACCTAAATTAAATGTGACACAGAGACATGGAGTACAGATTATTTTTTATAAGGATTGATTGATGTGCTTTCTTTAAAATCTGTCCCATTTAAAAAAGATGTGTTGAACTTTTAAAACTATAAATGTGAAACATTTGAGCAGTATGTAACTGAAGAAAGTAAACATAAGGCTCAGCATCTTCGGAATTTACCCATTTTCTTCAGCCACCATCAATCTGAGTGGTGATCAGTGTGAGTGGTTTTCTATGGAAGCTTTTGCTACTTTTTGTATTTTTAGAAAAATACACAGACATTTGTTTATCATATTATTTGTATTCCCAGTTGCTTTGTTTGACTCTTTTTTCTCCTCCTATTGTCTTTTAAAATTATATTCCCAGGCTTTAAATTCCAAAGAAACTCATATGTGTTTAGTAAGAGACATTTCAAACTGCTGGGCCCCAAAAGTAGAAACAGCTATAACAAAGGTGAGTGATTCATACATTAGAAGTAAGAAAAGACTTGAATAATTGAATTGTTTTGTAATATTATGTTTAAACTGCTTTCATTTATCTTTTTGTTCTTTATAGCCTCCTCATGAGCTTGTCTTATAAGTTTTGTGGGTTAAGTTTTAAATGTCAAGATTGTAAAACTTAATTTCTTTTTTTTTTTTTATAGAGGCATGCTTTATTTATTTGTTTGCTGGTTTTGTTTCGTTTATACATGCACTGGGTACAGTCAGAAGCGCGGGAGGGTGAGAGAATTCACCAGAGCCAGAGCGGGGAGCAGAGCAGGCAGAAGGACCGAAGTACACTGCTGAGGGGAGCAGCGGGCGGCAGGAGGGGTCTGCGCGCCATGTGGGACCCTCCTCTGGTGGCCGGGGAGCAGCCAGGGATCGAACCGGCGCCGCAGAGGCCGTGGGCAGCTTCGCAACCCAGCGCTCAACCGCTGCGCCACCGGGGAGGCCCAATTTCTTTGTTTTTTGATTTGTGGAATGAATGGGTGTATAGATGACTAGAAACTGACTGCTTTGGATTTAGTTCTTTCCTGCCCTTATGCATGATTATCTGGGCAGGGAAATATGTTTGGTTCATTATCAATTTATCAAATTACTTAAAAAGTCTCAATTCTTAGAGTAGTGTAACTGTTGAGAGAAATGTATTTCAGGTTGAATAAAAACTGATGGGGCTGGAATTTAACACCATACAAAGAGCATTATTGTGTTGCTTATTTTGAATATAACGTGCCATCTACATGCATGTATCACATGTTTGGCAATGATAGTGAGAGACGGGAAGCCAAGACATGCTGTGATGACACCCACGTGGTTTCGCTTCTGGCTGAGTTTCAGAGATGACACCTTTCTCTTGGCTGTCTGAGCATTTCTGGCAAAATATTTGATTGGAGGTGGTCATTAAATATACAGCTTCATTCTTGAACTTTTTAAAATCACTGTCCTTATGGAATTTGTAGATTTTGTTTTTTCTGGTTTTCATTCTCATGTAGCATTGCAAACTTTGAGATATGATCAGATTATTTAAAAACTTGCTAACATTCAATGAAAGTTTATCTTACTCATATTAAGATAGTTTGAGCTTTCCAGTAGAAAAACTTCAAGTTGTTTTCCATTGGGGATACATCTTGTAAGGACTAAGGTGCAATTTACTCTGTCACCCCTCTTCTTTTGCTGTTTAAACATAGGTGAGAACCCCAGTGGTAAATTCTGAAGCAAAAGTTCTGGTGCCCGGCATCCCTGGTCATCGTGCTACTATCAAGTCTGCTCCGCCACGAGCTGAGGAAGTAGAGAGCAAGAGGAAGCTAGGGGGAAATGAGGTAATATAATCACTTTGACCATAATTGAGTTTGAAATTTATGATTACTGGAGAGATTCTGACAAATGTGTTGCATAGAGCCAGTGGTGAAACTTAAGAAATTTACTGTGTGAACTCCTTTTTGTCCCCAGCAGTGTATGTCCCAAAATTCCAAATTATGACCTTTGTAATAAGATTATTTGGCTGCTATTAAAGGAGACTAAACTCTTATTAACTAAGTTTTGGCCACTTGTTAATAGTTGGAAAACGAATAAATTAAGCCAGGACTTGCTGTGATGACTTTCATTGGTTTCGCTTGTTGCTGAGTTCCAATGATGCCTCTTCTCTTGGCTGTCTGAGCAATTCTGGCTGGCTTAGTGAGTGCTGTTTACTCTAAAAAGTTATTATACTTACAAACTTCAGCTTTTCAACTCCCAGAGCCCTCCTTTGGTTATTGTACTTGTCTATGTAGAGTCCTGTGTTATCTCCCATTCACATTAATCATTCTTGTCTAAGTAAACTACAGTTTTAACCATTTTATCATTAGGGAAGGATTGTTTATGTTTCTTTACCTTTTTTAAATGTCTTTATTGGTTCCGGGGTTGGGGACAATATCTAATCTTCAGTAACAAGATGCTTATTTAAAATCAAGGTGCCAACCTTCTACCATTTTTGTTTTTCATAAGATAATGCAAATGGGGGACTTGACCAAAGCATATCTGTTTCCTTTGGTAGTCATAGAACATTCGCATTTTAATTTAGTTGCCAAGGGGCTGGCAGAATATGGACTTGTTTTAATAAGGGAACTGATGGCATCATGTGTATCTACACTTAAATTTTAAATATTTGTTGGGAAAACTTGACTGATTAGCATGTTTCTGGAAAACATCATTTGTAACTGACAAAGAAAAAAAGAAGACATAAGTTGTTTGGGGAACATAGCTGTCTTTATGCTCTTTTGATACTTGTTTCCTTTTGCAGATACAGGGTTGATGGCAAGGAATAATAATATATGGGGAAGCTTCTATGATAATGTCTTTTCTTATACTTTTGTGATCAGATGCCAGATTTTTGCTTTTTTTGAATCTTATAGAGTGAATTTTATGAATTATATTTCATGGCTTCTTGGGCAGATCATGGCTTTTCCCACTAGAATCTAGAAACTTGGATTGCAGATGCTACACCTGTGTCCAGACTTGGTTTTATGGTAATGAACTCTTGGAATGAGAAAGAGCGTGTTTGTATTTGTGTTTTTCCAGGGTTGAGGTGGGGATCAGTCCATGCTTTTTTATCTCCAGAGACATGAGGGCAAGTAGTTTGACCAAACTATGTTAGACATTGTCTGGTTTAACATTAAAAGATTGTTTTTGTTCTGTAGGTTAGCATTGAAGAACGCCTAGGAGCACTGGATATAGAAACAAAAAAAGAAAAGGAAGACCTACCACAGACAAACAGCTTTCCAGTCCTTCTTGCACAGGGTTTAGAAAGCAATGATCTCGACATGCTTAATGTAAGTATTTTGGCAGTTTTTAAATGAATTAAGATGGTAATTTTTCTTAAAAAATGATTGATCTAGCACATTCGCCGAGTGAATAGTCATGTAGCCATTTTGAATTGTGAGTTTCCTCAAATATATATCACTTGGTGGCATAATACAGTAGTCACCAACCTACAAAGAGCGTACTGAATTGCTTTGAACCTGGAATGCATTTTCTCATGGAAATAATGTTATGAATTGTTATGGGTTCTGAGGCTTTAATTACAAAAGCCTAATATAAACATAGTGTAGCTGAATTACAATACTCAGCATTCTAGATCACAATTTATATTTTTTTCTATAGGAAAATGCGTTCCTGAGTTTTTACTCTGGATTCCAGAAACTTATTTCCCCCTGGCCGTGAGAGGGGGAGTGAGGTGAAACCTTGGCAATGGGTAGGAGGTTTGGTGGAAAAATTCAGGCGGGTTGGGGGTTGTGTTGTGAGATATTTAGAGGTAAAAGTACAAAAAACTGTATGTAAAAAAGGAGGCGTTTATGATTTCTGTGCTTGTAAGTTGGTGACTGCTTGTATGACATTATTTAACTCACTTCTCTTAATTTCCAGAATTTGATGTTGTCTAGAGGAACTGAGTGTAAAAAATTGGATTTCAGTACTGCCTAATCAGATGGCAACAGTTTACCTTCGTTAGGTGCAATTCTTACTGATGCTTAGTGATGTGACTTTAGTATATAACATATATCAGTGACACTGATTTCTGATGGTATTTTGAAATATAGATGGTATTTTAAAAATGTAATACAGATACCTGTCATCATTGCCTACTTATCTATGTTTGAACCCTTGTTCAGTGGGTACAAATAAATCAGTTACTATTTTTTTCTTTCTACTTTTATAAGAAACCATTCAAAATATTTTAAAATAGCACAGTGGCCCCCTATCAACCTAATACCCAGTTTAAAAAAAAATCAGCATGACCCAGTCATATCTGCATTTGTTTGATCTATCTTCCCCAAGTTATAGTGAAGCAAATCTCAGATGTAGTGTTTCATCCATAGATGTTTCCCTTTTCAACTCTGATAGCAGCTCCTTTCAGAAACATAATCATAATTTATTGTCACACCTAGAAAAAGTAGTCGTCATTCCTTACAATTATTGCATATCTCAGTAATGTTCACACATCTGAAAACAGGATTCCAGTGAAGTTCATGCAATATTTGGTAGATGTGCCTCTCCAGTGTCTTGCAATTTATTTTTTGGAGAAGCTAGGTTATTTACTTTGTAGATATTCCCATATTCTGGATTTTGCCTCCTCTAAAAAGCCATTTAATTGGGTCATACAGCTCAGTAAGTGGCATGATTTAGCATGTTTCTTTGTCCTTATTTCCTGTACATTGATAGTTGAATCTAGACCCTCGAAGAGATTCAGATTAAAATCTTTTGGTATGGGATTCCCTGGTGGTGCAGGGGTTGGATTCTCAACACTATTGAGTTATTGCGGCATGAGTTTGATTCTCCAGCCAGGGTGCTGACGCACATGGCGCAGCAGACCTCTCCTGTCTCACCCACTCCTTCCCTTCAGCAGTGTATTTCAGTAGCTCTACCTGTTCTGCTACCCATTCTGTCTCTGGTGAATCCTCTCATCCCCCCACACTTCTGGCCTATACCCCAGTTCTTATATGCATAAATAAATAAAATAAATCTTAAAAAAGAATTTTTTGGTAAGAACATGTCAAAGGTAAAGACAGTGTGTGCTTTAATCAGGTGTTGTAGATTTGTTGGGAGGACAAATGAAATGGTGCTTATGAAAGCACTTCTTAAATTACAGAGGATTTACCTGTTTTTTTTATACATGTAACTGCATGTATGGCCTATTTCATTATTTTCACTATTAAAGGGTTTGACTTGATACGTTATATTAAGTAGAAGTAATTGGAAACTAGTTGAATCCTGAAAACTTTGTGTACTGGACAAAATCTGTTCAAGTTGTAGGACATGGAGCAATGGCAACCCCTAAGGTCCTGCTGGTGGAAATGTAAAATTGTCCTGTTACTTTAGAAGACAATTTGGTAGTTAAATTTAAGGACATATCGATACTTAACGTTAAACCTAGCCCTTCTACTCCTGGGTATTTACCAAGAGAATGAAAAATGTGTTCATACAAAGACTTTGATGTGAATGGTCATAACAACTTTATTGCTTTAACCCCAACCTGGAAAGAAGTCATGTCCCCCAACAAATGAATGAATGAACTGATTGTTTATGTAGCCATATTGTCAATTCATCAACAATATGGATGCATCCCAAGCTAATGCTGTGAGAAAAGCTACATAAAAAAGAACATTTATTGCATGATGATTCCATTCATATAAAAATTCCAGAAAATATAGACCAGTATGGGAAGGGGTATGGAAGGAAGGCCCAGAGAGACTTCAGGTGAGAGAATGTTTATTAAAGTCTTTGTGCATAAATGTTTATGTCAAACCAATCAAATAGTACACTAATCTTTTCATCCAACATTTTATTGTTTTTTATATATCTAATATTGTCTTAATATACTAGAATATAAACAGTAACAAAATATTTCTTGGCCTGGAAGTATTTGATTGTCTAGTGAGGGACATAGACTTAACAGGAAAGCTACTCTGTAATGAACATGTGGATCAGCCCAAAGGTGCAAGTGGCCAATTTTGTACATTGAGGCTGAGAGACAGGGAGGGAAAATCTGGAGCAGGTTTATTGCAGAAAGAGTTACCAAATAGCACACTTTAAATGTGCACTACTTATGCCTCTGTTATAATACAGTAAAGTTGTAAAAGAAAAATTCCATCTTCAATACCATCTTTTTGGTAGTTATAGCTGTGATTTATAGGTTTGTTTTTTTAATCTTTTATTTATTTTAAAGATTTATTTTTGTTCATTTATTTATGCAAGCACTGGGTACAGTCAGAAGCGCGGGAGGGTAAGAGAATTCACCAGAGCCAGAGCAGGGAGCAGAGCAGGCAGAAAGACCGAAGTACACTGCTGAGGGGAGCAGCGGGCAGCAGGAGAGGTCTGCACACCATGTGGGACCCTCCTCCGGTGGCCGGGGAGCAGCCGGGGATCGAACCGGCGCTGCAGAGGCTGCGGGCAGCTTCGCAACCCAGCGCTCAACCGCTGAGTCACCGGGGAGGCCCGGTTTGTTTTTTTTTAATAGTCTTAACAGAAGTTAAATAACAACATCTTCTCTGTCATCATCATTTCACTTGCTTTAGGATAGCCTATTTTTATTTGCTATCAGAGAGTGTTTTTAGTGGGCGTAAGAATTATCTGAACTTGTTAAAACTTTTTAAGTTTTTTTTTTTTTTAAAGATTTATTTATTTATACAAGCACTGGGGTACGGACCAGAGGCAAGGGAGGGTGAGAGAATCCACTAGAGATAGAACGGGGAGCAGAACAGGCAGAAGGACTGAAATACACTGCTGAGGGGAGCAGCAGGTGAGACAGAAGAGGCCTGCACCATGGGAGAATCTCCCTGGCCTGCTGAGAATCGAACTGACGCCACGGAGGCTGCTGACAGCTTCATAGCACTGTGTTCAACCCGCTGCGCCACTGGGGAGGCCCTTGTTAAAAATTCTTTACCCCATAATTTGTAATAACTTCTAATAGCTAAGCCATACATACTCTCTGTTTACCTGTGACAGTTCTGCTTATCTCTTATCTTGGTGTAATAAATAGTGGCTCCTTTCATTCTCAGAAGTATTCCAGTTTATCTTGCAAATTATGTGGTCATTTTACATTTGGAATGCTACAGGATTTTACAAACTACAAATTTTTCAAACCTTCAGCCCTACATGTCCCTCCCTCCCCCCACCATGTTTCTTAACCAAACGTAGTAGAAATTGAAGTGCTACTATCCTACATGGCCATTTAAGACTGTTAAGCCTCGTGGTTTGGGTGAACTTTGAGGACCTCAACAAAAGCAGATCATGTCTTTAAAAAGTATGTCTGACTGGTTCAGACAGAGTATTTCCTGTAACTGGTATATCATTGAAACTTTGCAATAACTGATTAGAGGAGATTGGAGAATGTTTAGTATCAAGCACCTGAATTATTGTTAGCATTCTGATTGACTTATTTTACTTTGAAGTTTCATTTTATTTGAAAATGAAAACATTAGGTTAAATCAGCTCTAGTCGACTATTCATTTATCCGGTGATTGTGTATAAGGCATTTTCTTTTGTGTAAGAAACTATGCAGTTATGTGCTAGTTTTAAAATAGTAATAGATGAATTCAGAGGGGCTTGGTGTTAAGATATTTTTATGAGCAAATAAAATCCATAGGGCGTTCTGAAAGGATAAGCTGGTTAGGACTGTTAACATAGGTTGAAAACAAACTTTCTATATTGTAGCCTTTGGGAACCTCTGCTGTTTGTGTTCTGAGCATGACTTCTGTGACAACAACAAGCACTAAGATAGAGCATTTGTCACCTTCTGAATAGACCCTTCTGAATAAGTATTTAAAAATATTCAAGAGGAAGGGGAGTCAGAAGATTTGAGACTCGAAAGAGCTCTTACATTTTCCCCCTCTTCTCTAGATGAAACATCTGGAGTTTGGAGAAGTTGAAAGGCCTGTGCAGAATTAGTGTCAATCACTCTGTCTTTCAATAATCTGGGGTGGAGACTGGGTTTTGCCTATTGATGGACCCCAGGAGGGTTTTGACTCAAGCAGTCATCATACGATCTTTTTTATTGCCTTAAAAATTTATCAAAAAGTTGACACTAAAAGACTTGTTTGCTAAGTATGACTTTGGTATCTATTGTGCACTGTTGTGGGAATACATTTCTTGATTTCATAAAATGAAGGTTTGGAAACATCTATACATTGCTATGTATCTCTATTTAATGTCTACAGCTATTTGTTTAATATAAAAACTCAGTTCATAGAAGACTAGAATTTTAGAGAAGCTGTTCAGAATAGAAGTCCTGATATCTGAAGACTGTACTTGTCTGATTGCCATAAGATACAGTACAACACACTCAGTCCATCTACCCTGTATTTGCTAGAATTCAGATGGCTCTAATTGCTTTGTTCTTTTTAATAATGTTTACTGACAGTTGTGTCTTTAGTTCTGGAATATGCCTGTCTTGATAGTCCTTTTATTTTCTTTCAGAAAGTACTTCAAACTAGGAATATAAACCTAATAAAGAAGACTGTGTTAAGGATGCCCCTGCATGCTGTAATTCCGTTGTTGCAAGAGGTAACTGAGTTATCCTTTCCTTTCAAGGTCCTGATGTTGTGAATCAAAAAGAAAAATCCAGTATGTAACGAAGCAGGGCATTTAGAGAGTGGGTGATAGGTAACTAGGAGGAATTCCTAAATACCTAGAAAGAAAAGTGAAATTGATGAATTGGGGAGTTAGTAAAGGAAGTGTCATTAGCATTTTTACTTTCATTCTACCAAAGGCAAGTTGTTTCTTCTATTTGTCTGAAAAGCATTTGGAACTTTAAAAAATGAACAATAGAATGGTGTATATGTAGAATGGTATCTACATTGGAATGATTATTAGAGAAATGGTAACATAGAGCCCCCAGATTTTCATTCTGTTTTTTTTTTTCTCTCACCATGTCCTGTGAGAGATCTTATCGTAACATGAAGCTGCTTTTCTATGTGTATATTGGTTTTTCTGAATTGCAGAAGGGCTATTAATCTGTGTATCTGGCAATACGGATTTTAAAGCATTAAGATTACCCAGCCTTGTTATGTATAGGAGTAACTCCCTTTCTTTTAGATAGGTGCTCATTCTGCCTTCATTTCAGTAATTCCAGTGAAGGATTTTTTTTTTAAGATTTATTTATTTATTTATACAAGCACTGGGTACAGTCAGAGGCATGGGAGGGTGAGAGAATTCACCAGAGCCAGAGCAGAATAGACCAGGCAGAGTGACGAAGTACACTGCTGAGGGGAGCAGCGGGTGGCAGGAGAGGTCTGCGTGCCAAGTGGGACCCTCGCCCGGCAGCCAGGGATCGAGCCGGCGCTGCAGAGGCTGCGGGCAGCTTCGCAACTCAGCGCTCAACCGCTGCGCCACCAGGGAGGCCCCGTGAAGGATGTTAAGAGAGATATAGGTAGCAGCTAAACAAGAGGACAGAGAACAGGAAACCTGTGCACAATCCATGCCAGGCTGTGAGTGGAACCAAGGGAAACTGAGTGGAAACCCTGGACTTGGAGGTGTATACTTTACCAAGGCATGTCATATTGAGTACAAATAATTTATAATCATAGGAAACTTACTGTCTCTTAGAAGTATAGACAATGTGATTGAAGCTTGCCATAAAAGAATGTTGATTAAATCAGGCCTAAAGATAGAGTGGATTCTTTGTAATTAGGAGCTATGTTGGGTCACATTTGTTTGACATGCAGACATTTTATGAGAGTAGTTTTGATGTTGGGTGGTTTACTGTTGCTGGTAAAGGAAACTGTATTTAAAAAAAAAAAAACCAGTATCATACATATATTAGAAAAGCCTGTTTTCGAAATGTTAGGTACTCTAAAAACAAAAGTTGCCCAATTTGGATTTTTGTTCTATGTTTTTTTTTTTTTTTTTTTTTTTTGAGGTAAATTCACACACCATAAAATTTACCCTTTGGATGTATACAATGCAGAGTGGGGTTGATTTTTTTTTTTTTAAAAATATAGCCACCAGTTGCACTGCTGTCATAACAAAAAGAAATCGCCAACTCATTAACCACTCCCCATTTTCTGGCAACCACTGATTTGCTTTCTGTCTCTATGGTTTTGCCTATTCTGGACATTTATTCATTTAAAAAATAAAAGCCTAGATTTTTTTTTCCCCAGATACGTTGCTCTTATTGTGAAAATGCATCCCTAGAATAATGTTATAATGGAGTTAGAAAACTTGGGAATAATTTAGGTATGATGATACCCTAATTATATTTTTCCCGTTGTTTATATGGGTGTATGTATTGTGAGAATTGTGGAGATTGGCTACCTCTGAAATGCTAATACTTTTTTCTCCCCTTCAGCTTACAAAGAGATTGCAAGGACATCCCAATAGGTAAGGCATTCAGGTGACTTAAACAGCCTGGTTTTTATAATTATCGTATATGTGATTGTTGAAAACAGCAATGTTTGACAGCCTGAAATTACTGAGTCACTCAAAATTCTAACAGTCTTTAAGTGTTAAATATTATTCTTCTCTCTTATTTTGAGTGATTCTTATTTATAAGACTTTAATGGCTTTTTCTTTCCTTTAGAAAGCTCCCATGTAGGTTTTTCAGCTTCATATACAGGTCTTTTAATAAATTAGTCTCAATGATTCAGTACTAGTCATGACATATAAGATTGCCCAACTTGTGGTAGCTAATATGAAAATATTTTTTAAGACTAAATTCTGTGGATCTTTTTTGTTAATAACTTGATGAATAAATGTTTAAATAGGAAGTTGATAACCTCAAAGGTCCTTTGCTTATAGTTTAGTAATATCAGTGACTACACTATAGTTTTTCTTTTTTAAGTCATTTTATTTATTTTTAAAAATGATTTATTTTATTTATGCATACAAGAACTGGGGTATAGGCCAGAGGTGCAGGGGGTGAGAGGATTCACCATAGACAAAGTGGGGAGCAGAATAGGTGGATCTACTGAAATAACACTGCTGAGGGGAGCAGCGGGTGAGACAGGAGAGGTCTGCTGTGCCATGTGGGTTAGCTCCCCGGCCGGAGATCGAACTCATGCTGCATTGGATGGCAATAGCTTGATTGCACTGAGGCTTTAACCCCTGCACCACAGAGAGGGCCCATTTTTTAAAAGTCATTTTATTCCTGATAGGCTCCATTAGCCTTTGGAATTGACAGAATAAATCAAGAGTTCATGAATCAGACCCGTCTTACACATTTTTGGTCTGCGTTTGTCTTTTAATATTGGTGTGGATATCTTTAGCTGTTTGATGGTGAATAGATGATTGGCTCAAGTATCATTAGCACAAAATATGTCATTTGAGCCCAGTTTAATGTCCTCATGTCGCTTAATTAGGAAATAAATTATCGATTTTTTTTCTTGAATTTTTTTAGAAGAGATTGTTGTCCTGTTTTGCAGTGCATCCTCCTATTCCCCCAACTTCCTCAGAGGATCATTTATTACACAGATCTAGATAGACTCAAGTGAAAGTAAGAAAGGACTGTCAGATTTCATAATACTATTTATAGACCGTCGTTTTGCCTGTCTTTTCTAATTTATAACCAGTAGTACTTACTTTACATTCATGAACATTAATTTATATGGATTTTTTCCCTTGTTTTTTTCTAGTGCTGTTTTAATGGTTCAGTGGCTAAAATGTGTATTAACGGTCCATGCATCCTACTTATCCACGGTAAGTCTTTTCAGCTATAGTTACTGAATAGTTTGTTTGGTTTTGCTAAGGATTGCAAACTGCTGGCTTCATGAAATCATTCTCCATCTGTCCTTCAACCATCAGCTCCATTTTTAGAGATTTTGTTTTCCCCTAGGTGCACTGTCATCATGTCACCATTTTTGCATTTAATAATTGGTTTTCTTCCTCCTGGATTTTAGAAGTAATTTATACTCTATGGAGAACTTTGAAAGACGAGCTAGAGGAAGGAGAGAAGTTACATATCGAAACATTAACCTTCAGATGTTTTTCTGTTTACATAACCTGTTTAGTAAATTTATCTTTATATTTTATGTATTCCCTCCTAAGTTTTAAAGACTTAGGTTTTTAAAGTTTATATGTATGCTAAGATAGTTGCCATTTGTCCCAGGAGGATAAAAAATAACATGATAAAAATAAGATAAACATTTAATACCTGATGTTTTGCTGGGCCTGCTGTCAGTTTTTGGTTATCTGTGCAAATTGGAGAGGGGAGCATAAAATCTGAACGCAACACCCGAAAAATAAAAAGTTTCATATGTCACAGTATGAATTGACTTCTTTACCGCATCATTAAATCAGTTATATTTTAAGCTCGGAATAAAATCCAGCAAAAAGTTTACTCTTTTCTTCGATTACCTTATATCTTAAATTAGATTTTTTTAAAAACCTATCAGTGGATAAGTTGAAAATTCTTAATTGCTCTTTAAACTATGGTTTCCCTTTCTTAAGCAGTTTTACCAACTCCCTGTGTCATTGTCCATCTCAGGCTCCTTTCGCCTTTAGTAGTTTGAAATAGGCAAAACTACTGGATAACCTATTTTGAGGTGAGCAGGTTTTCCTTCGTGCAGATCGCTGCCAAACTGTTAGAATGAGGGAGGAGACAAGAAACAGTAAGAATGGGTATTGGGTTTCCCAGTTTGCAGGGACCCTGGGAAATGAGTTGGGGGCCATGGTGAGTGGCGTGGCTGAGTGGCATGCTGATAGGCATGGGAAATTCACCTTAAGCGTCAGGTATTGGGATGCCGGCTAATAAACAGGGTAGCATTTATTTTTGTGGCTTCAGTTACTTGCTTAGAAGCAAAAAGTGCCATAGGATACTTTGTAGTAAAATCCTTTCTGGAATTAACTACTACTTTGGTAACCTAGGTCATGGTAAAACAAATGACGATAACTAAGTACAGTATAGGGAGGACTTCACAGTCTGCAGTCATTCTTTCTCCTTAGAAAACTGCTTTTCCTTTCACCTTGCCTTCATTTCTTTCTTCCTTACCAGATTATCTTTAAGTAGCTTCTCTAAGCCAAGGACTATACTAGGCACGTGAGAGTTAGTAATTCACAGGACACTGTGATTCCTGTCTTCCTGGAGCTCATAGTCTGAATGGGGACAAATAAAATGGAGATGATGGTAATTGAAATATTATCACATTAAATGTTCCTTTCTTTCTTTCCACTTTTTATGTCTGTTTAAAGTTTAACATTTGAGTGAAACATGTATTTCCACTAAAGTGTCAGAAAGGAGGGCAAGGAAAGACTAATTTAAGTGTGGAGAGTTGGGTCCCATATTCTGTAGTTCTAGAGGAACAAATAAAAGAAATTCTTGTTTTAATTTCTGAGGCACAGTTCAGAGGATTCTTTATTAGTAAGTTTGAAATAAGGTCAGCTTTGTGTAGTCGCTTTGTCCTGCTGGTCTCTAGAAGCTGTGAAAAGTTTTCCCCATTTGCTGGAGCCTTATCAGAGAATAAGCTCATAGGAAAGCCCTCTTTAGCCCAGATACAAGTGGTAAGGATGTTTTAAATTACTACTTTGTATTGACCTTTTCTGAAATAATTTGGTCCTGTCTTACAATTTGTCCTGCCTTGCAGTTTCTTCTTGTGACCTTTCATTATTTTTCAAAATGTATTATTTGTACTGAAGTCCTCTGAAAAGTTGAGGTGTTCTTAGGCTATGTCACAAGCAGCCGCTGGATCCTGTACTTTCTAGTAGATGAATACTCAGATAGATCTGAATGTGACTTGCATGTTTGTTTATTCATATTATGTTTTAATGGTATAAATGATTATTTTCTTTAGTTGCCTGACCTGGTACCTCAGTTGGGTACACTATACCAGTTAATGGAAAGCAGAGTAAAGACTTTTCAGAAACTTTCCCACCTTCATGGCAAACTTATTCTTCTAATCACACAAGTGAGTAAATGAAATTATTTTGTGCTAAAATTTTTTAATGTGATAGGATTGAAAAGAGGAATAAGAATCATTTATATGAACATTAAAGGCTCTCTATTTCAGTAAGAAATTAGTAAATCAGGATGTACTCTTTAACTTGGAAATGTGTTATATGTTTGACATTGTGCCTATTTCAACACATTATATTGTAATAATTGTTAATGCAGCTAGGATGTTGTGATACTGTAAACTCCAAGTTACAGGATATTTATATAGTTATATTTTGACACTGAAAGAAATTCTGATCACCTTGGAAGTTTTTTCAGCTGTGCAGAATAATTCTTGTATTAGGCTAAATTATTTTTTTGACCCATATTTGGTCCACATTGTGTTAAGGTAATCTATTATAGTGGTGAATTTACTGATTGGGGGAGTTAAGATGTGGTGGTGGTTGTGATACTTGACCTATGGTTAACCTCTGTCTCATAATAGCACTTTATTTTCTTTCAGGTTACAGCATCAGAAAAAACAAAGGGAATGACTTGTCCTGAACAAAAGGCTAAATTGGTATATGAAGAAGGTAATGTGGGATGTAGGGTGGAATCTAGAATTGGAACATTTAGTTAATAACTATCACCATATGTAAATATTGCTTTTCTTGTGATGAGAACTTCTGAGATCTGTGCTCTTAGTTTATTTTTTTTTAAAGATTTATTTATGCAAGCACTGGGTACAGTCAGAAGTGCGGGAGGGTAAGAGAATTCACCAGAGCCAGAGCGGGGGGCAAAACAGGCAGAAGGACCAAGGTATACTGCTGAGGGGAGCAGCGGGCGACAGGAGAGGTCTGCGCACCATGTGGGACCCTCACCCGGTGGCCGGGGATTGAACCGGTGCTACAGAGGCTCCAGGCAGCTTCGCAGCCCAGTGCTCAACCGCTGCTCCACCGGGGAGGCTCTGTGCTCTTAGTTTAGATATACAATATAGTATTGTTATTTGTGGTTACCAGGTGTGCATGTCATTATTGGAGTTTGCACCTTTTACCTTCAGCCACTTCCCCACTCTCCATTTCTGGCAACCACCAGTCTATTTTCTCTATCTGTGAATTTAACATTTTAAAATTCCATATGTAAATAATACACAGTATTTGTCTTTTTCTGTCTGACTACTTCACTTTGGCACAATGCCCTCAAGGTTTATCCATGTTGCAAATGGTGGAATTTCGCTTTTTCATAAATGATTAAATAGTATTCCATTGTGCATATGTGTGTGCACACACCATTTTTTCTTCTTTCACCTATTGATGAGCATGGGGGTACAGATAACTCCTCAAGATTCCGATTTTCTTCATTATCTGCCCCAAAGTATACTTGGTGGATCATACAGTAATTTAATTTCTTTAGGAACTGCCTTACTATTTTCCATAGTGGCTGAGCCATTTTATATGTCCATTAGCCCTGCACAAGGATTTCCTCCCCTCTCTGCCCCGCCCCCCTTTTCCTTTTATATCCCTGGCTTAGTTTTTCATGATGGGATTTTAGTACTTTGTCCTGCTTAGTAAGATCTTGATAAAATAATATAAATGTGGTTTTATGCAGCTAGGGATATTAGTGTTACTTTTTAACTTCTTAGGTGAATGATAGCTAAATATAATATTTCTCAGAGTATATTTAGTTTTCAGGACTGTGCCATCTGTTTTTTTACCTCTTCCAGAATCTTCTGAGGAAGAATCTGATGATGAAATAGCAGATAAGGATTCTGATGTGAGTAATTAGTTTTTTGGTACATAAATTTGCCTTTATATATTGATACTTTGTAAGAACAAGACCTTCATGAATGGCTTTCTTCCTTAATATTTCTATCAGGATAATTGGGATGAAGATGAGGAGGAGAAAGAAAGTGAAAAAGATGATGATGATGATGAGAGTGAAGAGGGAGATGAGGATGCTGAAGAAAATGGTGAGGACAGAGATGTGACGAGTGAGAAAGAATTAAATGGAGATTCTGATTTAGATCCTGAAAATGAAAGTGAAGAAGAATGAAGATGGAAAAATAAACCAACTGAACTATATAAACTCTGACTTACTCAATGCTGCCGAGTTCTTCTGGGGAGGGTTTTCTCTGTGACAGGATGCCAATGACTGTTGCACATTTCCAAATTCCTAGTGGTGGTGCCCGTGCCGCCTTGTGTCCTGAGCACCCCAGACTTAACTGTGTAAATAAGAGCGTTTCATTTGAATGTTAATAAAATTTACACAGCAAATAGACACATTTTCTGCAATGTACTGACATGTGTCCAATATATGGTATATTTTTATAATATAATAGTACGATACCAAGAATTGACATAAGTGAGCAAACATTTCCCATATAGGGGTGGAAGAACTGGACTTTGGGAAGGAGTCAGCTTTTATCTCAGGTTGGTATCTTTCATCAAATCCAGATACAAAGCAGCACTAGTGAAAATAATTTTTTTAATTTGTTACATTTTCATAAAATATGAAGGGATAATTTAAAATGAGTAAAAATGACTGTGATTTAAAAAAATAAAATCACCAGTTTCCCTAGCTTATCTGTCAACTGTGATAATCTGATTTGAGTCAGATTGAATATTTGAAATGCTTCCCCAAAACAGCCACTTATTTTTTAAGCTATCACATGGAATATTTTTTAAAAACACACAAACACAATTATGATAATTAAAAAACTAAAGAATTAGTCATATTAAGGACTTTTCTTGACTGGAAGTTGCCTGTAAAGAATCATTAGTGTATAGACTTACAAGTGCTCATTACCTGCAACTTTTTAAAAAATTCAGTTATAGCTGCTTTTGAAGGGGTTTTCATTTTTATTTCACTTACTAATGGATCAAAGAACAATTTTTTATTTTTTTCTCTTTGGTTTTAGATATGATAACCTTGTTGGAATTTTTTTCCAAAGAAAATATTTTTATAATTAAGTAATTTAATGTTTTTCCTTCCTTTTCATTACCCACTCTTGGCAGTGTTAGGGTATCTGTTTACCTTTAAAATAATAAATCTGACTCAAGGTTTTTTATGTATGTATAAATAAGTATTTTGGTGTGCAACAAAAGCCTTTTCAAATTATTAGCAATTTTTTTTTTTTTTTTAAAGAATGAGCCAGTATTTGTTTAGTGCTCTCTAGGGAACAAGCAGATGAAAGTTCAACTCTAAGGAAGGGCTGGGGAGATGGGTTCCTTTTTCCTACCTGTGAATATGTAAACCACAAAACCATTATCTGAGGGATTTTTAATAACATCAGTGGCAGAGCAGATTTCTGTGCTCAAGAAATAGAACTGGAGCCATATTAGCATTTTGGGAAAGCAAGTTTGAGCCAGCTGCTGATGTAATGTACAGTTATATTTGTCTATAAATGGAGCTGTTTATGGCAATTTAATACCATCTTCTTTGTAAAGTGAATAAATACTCATCTTTACGCAGTGCTTGTCTTGTGGTGTGTTAGAGGAACACAGCTACATGGTAGGCCTTATGGTGTGAGGTTTTCAAAAGGCTCTCTTTTCTACTGGTGTTCATAATGGACGCTTTCAAGGCCTGTTAGGTAACTCAGAATTTGTAATGAAGTGAAAGAATCAATAACTTTGTCTTAATATAGTGGTGGTTTCTTGACGCAGTTCCCCTTGGTTAGGTGGCGCGTCCATGAACCAGAGCTACAGTGCCCTGACGCGTGTGCTGTTGTGTTAGGCCCTGTTCTGTGGTTTGAGCCCTGTCCCTGCACCCGACCCTGCCTGCGGAAGTGAAGGGTACAACGGTGTCGTGGTGACTGTATTTGGGTTTGGACAATTAGGCTTGCTACAAAGAGAATTTTCTAGTTTCAGTTATTTGACTTTGTTGGTCCACTCCTAATCCAAACAAACTTTGGTCTGTGGTGGTGTCTGTGGTTGTGATTGATTTTTCTTTTCAACTTCTTAGAAAAATTAACCATCCATGATCGATTCACAGATTCATGTTACATTTAGTTGTATTAATACAGATTGTTCACCCTTACATGTGTTTTTGATTTGATTTGTAAATGAGTCATTATGATTAGATTCTGGATTTAAGTTTTGTTGAGAATAGTAAATAGATGTTGGCATTTGAGATAAATTTGTAAAAACTGTTTTTAGATGTTTATAGATGGGTATACTGAACATATTAATATGTGGTGACATACATGTTGGCTCTAGGTTTGGGCTGTGAAGGCTTAGTGCAGAGGGGTGTTTGATGGTCAGAAATGGGATCTTGGTAGTGAGAACATGGACACGTTGACATAATATAAAAGCTATTTAAGTAATACCTATGGAAGTTAATTCGCATTATATTCATTTAACAAATATTTATTGGTTGCCTGTCATGTAACAAGGATTACTTACTTGCTTGGCACACACATTACTGAATGAAGGCAAAGAAGTCTTTCTGCACCTGAACTTACTTTTCATTACCCAGTATTTCTTGGAGGACTTTCCAAGTTAGTAATTCAGAACTACCTCAGGCGTGAATGTTTAGTAAGAGGGGAAGAAAATAATATGTAAGAGAAAGTAAATTCTATATTGTGTTAGAAGATCATAACTTATGTGGGTATAGAGTGAGGAGATTGAGATTGGGGTCAAGAGATACAGTTGCACAATTAACCGTATGGTCAGTGTTGGGCTTACTGAGAGGTTAAGATTGGAACCGAGGTTAGTAGGAGATGAAGGAGTTAGCTAAGTGGTATCTGGTGAAGTGTATTCTAGGCAGAGGAAACAGGAGTAAAGGTTTAGACATCAAGAAGAGGTTCATGTTCCTGGAACAGTGAGAAAGGAGAGAGTAAGCTAGAGATGCTGGTGGCTTAGACCAGGTGGTGGTAATGGAGTTGTTTGGTTTCTGGGATTGCTTGGGAGTTAGAGATAATGGGGTTTCCTATGAGGTGTGAGTCCAAGTGTGACTCCCAAGTGGTTTTTGCTCGCATACCTAGGCAAAGCCATGGGTGGGGCAGTTGTGGGACGAGATCAGGAATTGCGTTTTGGACATGTTGAGCTATGGAGACCTATTAGGATGCAAGTTGACTTGGAAGCGCTCTGGAAAGAAGTCGAGAGCTGGTGTTGAATGCAGGTTATGGCTGAGCTTCCCGAGACAGTGAATGTACAGAGGAAGACCTCCCAGACCCGGTGCCTCCTGTATTAACAGAAGAACCCCAAGGGATCCCAACCATGAGGTAGGAAGGACTGAAGTTTATTTACTCGTCCTCTCTCTTAAAATACAAATTCATGATACCCGTCAGCAGTGATTTCTTTCACTTGTACTGGTGAATCCTCATTTAGAGGGCAGCTTGCCCCAGATTAAGTACCAGCACAATATGGTTATGGTTATATCTAAGAAACAAATTTGTGATCATATATATATATATATATATGCACATACACACACGTATACACACATATATATATATATATGTGTATACATATACACACACACAAACACGTAAGGTTGCAGTATAGATGTTTTTCTGTGGGTAAGATGTGAAAGCTACTGCTATGTCTATGTGAAGATTCCTCTCAGTATATCTTTGAGATGAGGCTCTAACTTGTGGTTCTTTCCACACACTGGTGCTCTCCACGCTGTCATATACTGTTTGCTGTGGACTGAGTTTGTGTCCCCCTTGAGTTCATGTGTTGAAGCCCCAAGTGGAATCCTCATGGGATTAATGCCCTTTTAAGAAGCAGGGCCAGAATTAGCTTACTCTGCTTTCTGCCTTATGCAGATACAGAGAAGATAGCCATCTGCACACAAGAAGCAAGTACCAGATCTGCTGGCACCTTGAACTTTGAGATCTGAGAGAAGTGGTCCAGGCCATCCAGTCTATAGTAAATTATCAAAGCACCTTGACACAATAGGACATAAACTTGTGCTCGCCTTGTCAAGTACAAGGGCTGTTAGAGCTACCCATTCTATTCCATTGGCCTCTCGTGCCAGTAAATTATTTTCCAGTTACAGCTTTATAATTCATTTTAATTGTTAGTGTCTTTGTACCTTTGAAATACTTTAAGTATTTCTTGTCTTTTCGTTATTTGATATTAAAGATTCTTTGGTTGTAAGGAACAAAAGCTTATAGGTACCATAAGCAAAACAAATATATCATAATTTCAAAAACTCACACGAGTCAGGCAGAGACAGGGACACCAGAAGCACAGGTGCTGAGGCCCTGGTGCCGTCGGCCCTCTGCTGCCCTCTGCTGGCCTCTGCTCGCCTGTCCTCCCTGACGTCTCTCCCCACAGCCCCTGAGTGATGTTGTAGCCCTACCTGTCACCACTGCTGCTCAGGAGAGCTGGGTATTCTCTGCCTCTCAACACCCTCTCTTCCACCTACCTCCATCTGCTCCACGCCCGAGGAAGCCGAGTTTTACACACTGCGTTGGCTCAGCTCTCCTGCCTGCTTGCTGTTGGTATAAGGCAATGGGTGTTCTTGTAAAAAAAAAAAAGGATGAAAAGGGCCTCCCCTGGTGGTGCAGCGGTTGAGCGCTGGGTTGCGAGGCTGCCCGCAGCCTCTGCAGCGCCATTTCGATCCCCGGCTGCTGGCGAGGGTCCCACACAAAAAAGGGAAAACATTACATATAGGACTAAACTAACTGCACAGAATCGCTGGTCCCCTTCCCCACTAGCAATCATCATGCAGAGATAGCCATTGTAATTTCATCTCTTTTTTTTTTTCCCCATGGTAATTTTAGAGTTTGGATTCCTCCAAATCTTTGTATTTGCATGCATAGACATGTGCTTTTGGGAAACAAGGGCTTGCTTTTCCACCACATAAACGGTATCATACTACATGTGACATTCTGCACCTGAACTTACTTTTCATTACCCAGTATTTCTTGGAGGACTTTCCAAGTTAGTAATTCAGAACTACCTCATTTTAAAAAACCGCATCAGGATTGGCTGGAGTTGACATAGATCACTGGGCAAGGAATGAGTTTTCTAACAGTTCCTGGTGGTGGTGCTGACGTTTTTTTTTTTTTTTAAAAAAAGATTTATTTATTTATGCATACAAGAACTGGGGTGTAGGCCAGGGGTGCGGGGTGGTGAGAGGATTCACCAGAGACAGAGCGGGGAGCAGAACAGGTAGACTGACTGAAATACGCTGCTGAGGGGAGCAGCGGGTGAGTCAGGAGAGGTCTGCTGTGCCATGTGGGTAGCTCCCTGGCCAGGGATGGAACTCGTGCTGCAGTGGCTGTGGACGGCTTCATAGTGTTGTGTCTTAACCCCTTGCGCCACCAGGGAGGCCCGTAGTTCTGACATTTTGAGTTCACTTTTGAGACCTACTGCTGTGGGTGATGCTGTTGAACCATTTATTCCCTGACTGATAGACAACGAGGGCTTCTGATTTCTCAGAAAAATAAAAATTGTCTTGGCGATGTCTGCTGCTTGTGCACACGGTGGGGCCTTTCTAGGATGGTGTAGCGGGCGAGTTCTTGGTGATAGCTCATGTGCACTTTAAATTTTAGTAGATGCTGTCAGATTCCCTCAGTGTGGCTGTAGCAAGGTATGGACGAACTTTCAAATTAAAAATAAACCCACTGGGAATTTTAATTAAGCTTGTGATAAACCAGTCGATGAGGAGAATTGATCTCATCATAGAATATGATGGAATTAAAACATACTTTTCTCGTTTAATAGGATTATCATGCAATGATTTTTTTTTTAATTGGAAAATGGTGGCTCTTGATCTGCCTCAGGCTGGAGTCATTGTTTTGGGAGGAGGACTTGCTCTTCTAGGAGTGTGTGTTATTCAACATCTCTTTTAGGCAAAGTCGATAAGATTCTTAATATCTGCTGGGCTGTTTGCTCATGATTGCAAAGTTTTGTGTGTGCATGTAGGACTCCGGTAGGACGGGGGAGGAGTGAGCGTCTGCATTGTTGGGAATCTTTTTAATGAAGGGCGTTATTTTCCTACTCTTCTTTCTGTACATTGGTTGCATTTGACCGTGCTGGCATGTCCCTGGCATTGGGGCCACAGCACTTAGAGTTGCCTGGGGAGATCAGTAGAACACAAAGTAGAATGAAGTCTCTGTTACTGACTTACCAGTGAAGTGCGTGGAAGCCGTGAGACAGGAGAGCTCCGTCCGTTCCTAGCCCGGGAGCAGAATGATTTGAGGACTCGAGTACACTGCTTATTGCTCTCACTCGAGTGACCCAGGCCTCGAGGAAAAGACCTAGGAAGCAAGAATGATGCAAGTAAGAGGCAGATAGATGCTTAATAGGCGCATTCTAGAAACTTGCAACTATACCTGAACACCTTAGAACTGAGGTGCTTGATGCAGTGAAGTGTGAGAAACTACCTAGTTTGAAGAAACCCCATAATGAGTTTCAGGAAAGGAGACCCTGTGGCAGCATTTCCTCGGGTGTCCCTAAAGTACTTTCTCCCTCACTAGACACTCAGTGCCTGGGATTTGGAATGTACGTATGTGCTGCTTATTATTGTCACCTGAGTTTGCTAAGTTTTGTGGGGGAAAACCCTTAGAGCCAGGACGCTGGCCCTGGCATCCTCCCCAGCCTCTGCTGGGTTGTCCTGGTTCCTTTCTTGGGAATGGCAATGCAAAAAATCAGCCACTAGGTGGCAGCCTTGCTTCGTGTAAACTTCCTATTGCAGCTCTAGCATCCTGAGGAAAAAGCTGCTTCTCCTGACCTCTTCTGGGGTCGACTGCCTCGGCATGTGGGGGTGTGTTCTTGTACCCTTCCTGAACTTGACCCAGAAACCCCAAGGTACTGCAAGCTCTCTTTTCTGAACATCTTGAGCCCAGCAATATGCCTCACTAGAAGGGCCCAGAAGTGAATGCTGACCAAGAGGAGACTGACTC